ATTGGACGAGAAAACTTTACTTCAATGTCCCCACTTACTATCTGTAAAAGGCTGTCATAGGGACCGAGCCAGACAGACCATTTTAGTCAGCCACATGGGAAGCATACAAAGTGGTATTTTGAAGGCTAAAAACGCTCACAAACTGTACATTGGAGCAACTGAGTTAGTCACTGTATCAGTGGAATTTATGCTAATTCATGAAGTAGACTTCCCCTGTCGGTGGACACACTCCGTTCTCCCGACAAAAAACCAGAATAGTGTGGAATAGATTTTTATTTTTCAATCCTGAAATATGTGAAGCACGAGATTACCTTTTCAAATACACAAGGCATTGCAATATCCAATACAGAATTATGGGAAATATAATCTCTACAAAATAAGAAGGTAACTAAATACTTGAGCATCAATTTTCTGATATTTACTAAGATGTCTGCAGTCAACTCTTAACCAATTAATGTAAGTTACTACACCGCAATAGATTCAACCGACTAAAGAGTGGATTGCTACATAGTAATATCTATATAAATATGACTCACTTCGTAACTGTTTTACTAAATGATTGTTTCTCACACATTCGATATCTATACAATAATGTAATACGATTACATTCAGAATTCCTGAAGATCAGATGAATACTTCTATCCATTTTGTAGTAACAGATGTGATACTGTAGATATGAGCTCTTGTTTTACGAATCACATTCCACCAGACTCCATAAAATTTCATCTACCATAATGTCACCAGGATGCCTCATGGTGCAACTTGAAGGGTACTAATGGATCCTGACTATTTGGCTTTCTTTAAATACAACCTAGAGCCTTTTTGATCCACCATGATTCAGAACTTTGAGCAGTTAGAAAAGATCTTACATTTTATTTGTCGATGACTTCAGTGTTCTAAGACGCCTCACCTTAAACTATAATTTCAAGCCGGTCGTTGATAATAGTGACTTGGTAAAGGAACACAGCTTATCACGAAATGTCGTTCAATGAATCTAACACAAAAGATCTGTAGGCAGAATTTTGTTTTGCGTGGCTAGGCATTGGAAATTATAGACTCCTTAGTTTATCAATCCTTCAGCTAAATTAACTACACCCCCATCTCATTGAACCATTTGGTAAAGGATTTATCTGACTTATAGAGTAAGTACAAAGATTTTCTCGAAACCGATTAGGACACTGTCAAGGTGAACCTGAAATGTGTTCTGGTTCAACTGGAAGAGTGATTTAAGTTTCTCAAGAACAATCTTCTCCAGTAGGTCGATAGTCTCATTCTCACTAGCCAGTCATACAACTAAAGCCTTTGATAATCACACTTAAACTCTTGTACCCAGAAACCATCTAGAATAGGGGCATTAATTGGATCAACTGTCGCCTCTTCAATGGCCCAGACGACGTGTTATACAATAAGGTATTACGCTATGCATCAATGTAATTATTATTCGCTTTTCATACATATGTTCAGTGACCTCTACCTAAATGTTTCCCAAGCTGATCTAAATTTAGTGGAGTCTGAACTTTTGTAAAGCAAAGGTAATTTGATGCGTTTGAAACCATATAAGCCTATTGTCCCAGACGACTTTCAACCCGGAGTACTGAGGGAACATGAAAACCTCCATTGTTCACCTCTTGTCACTTTGTTCAAGTGTTCTAGTCAAGGTTTATCTACCACTGGACTTGAAAATAAGGATGAGTATATCTATACATAACGGAATGACGAAAAGGAAGCTCCCAACTACCGACATGTTTCTTCTCCCATATTAGCGAACGTCAAGTAAACGAGTTGTCGGTGAGTTTCTTTGCAGCCACATCCTAAGTAAATCCAGTTTCTTCAAAACTCAAAACGGCTTCCAATGCGATAGGTCCTGTAACAGAAACCTGTTTACTTTCTAGGTAGGTGACCATTAAACTTGGACGTTCATTGGCATGTTGGCCTCCTACTTGTCTCCAAGACATCGTATTTTGCAACAGAATCATGATTCCATGGGTATGGACGGAAGTCTGTCAATAGGACTCTCAAATTTTACAAACAAATCGCAAGATTGTAAGCCATCGGAGTTCTAGTTGCTGCTGAAGATTGGTTTTTATGACGGGTGGGTTACTTTAGGGCCCAACCCTTGAATCACTAAATCTGTAGACTTTTAAAATCTATTACCGAGGGCACCTGACTATGACTGTTCGTGATACTCTTGGCATCTTCCTAGAACAGTTGTAAATTTGGCAGAAAAGTTATTCAAAAGTGTTTTTAGTATTAACATCAGGTCGCATTTGGAAAAACACTCAGGTCCTGTTCAATTACCATAAGGAGGACATTGATTTATTAGGACGTGCTCATTAAGAAACTAAAATGTGAGCGGATGCAAAACCAAACCTTGCTCGACTGCAATGATGGGTCTTAATTGACGGCCTGTTAAGTTGAGAACTAGTGGTGATATGATGTTAAATGAATTGTCCATAAGAACTAATGTCAAACATAACAATGGCACACCTCGAATAGAACGGAGCAGAAGTATAAAAGATAGATCCATTCAAATACATATACGCAAACACAACCGCCTCACGATCTCTTTCCTACTAACAGTGGCCTTGCATCTATGGAGCCGGCAATCTATCAGTTGGTATGGATGACACAAAACACCAACAACACGAAGTTAGTGCGAAAGAATAAAATCCACTTATAGGTTTTGCCAGCTATACTGAAAGTATTTTATTTATATAAGAGAGAAGAGTGTTGTACTTTATCAAACTGTTTCATCAAGTCAAAGTAGAGAGTGACAACTTGATATCCTCCATCCCAATTGTTTATTACCTAGTCAAAGTATTTTAGATGATAGGCTATGCATGATGATTTTGATATAAATCCGTGTTGTGAGGATATAATCAACTGGTGTTTATTAAGATGCAATACTATTCTCTCCCTATCAAGCTGGGATATGTACAACTATGAGACTTAAGGGCGCACCATGGACTTTTTAACGGATTTCATTTCACGCAATCTTATAGAATTACAATACCGTCAAAGCACAAGTATTTCGAGCTTCCTGGTTGTGAGGTTTTGTCTTTTCATTACCCAGTACCCAAAATGTTTCACACATTTCTTTCCTCTTATGAGGGGGGTGAGAAGCTCCTTATGAACGACGATCTGTGATGTCTTCACATTGGGTCAATATGAGATCTGGAGAGGATGAATCGGGATCTGGGTTGTACCTAGTTGCATCTGTCACACGTTGCACTAAAGCACATGTGATAACCACTTCAACTAGTTTCTGTTCGAAGGAATTTTCTGACAATCCAATCCTTAGATTTTTCCAGTCAATCCTAAGTTCATTAAAGTTTGTTAAGACCAGGCATCGACCACTCGATGACCAAGTGTTGAAATTGTCAGGCAAGACATTGTTCACCTCATAGTTTGGACCTCAGTAGACCGAGACAATCAGCAGCTCTTGTCCTTCACACTTCAGGTGGGAACTTAACAATCCACACGTTCCGCTTTGCGGGTTATGTTATCGATATCTGTAAGAGGGATAGTATTTCTAGTGAACAAAGATATTTCTCCTCCCTCAGTCTTCTGGGTTTTGTCAGCTCACAGTAATGTGAAGTTTCTGAAATCAAGTTTTTTACTGCTTGCAGACTGCGTCAACCAAGTTTCTGTGACTAAGACTGCATTCGAACTGATAGAGTCTATCTGTACACTTAGTTCCAATCGCTAGTTGTTTAAGCTCCGGGAATTAGTGTAACAGATCTGTAGACCACATGAATACCTTCGTCTTGAACTCAAGCGGCTTGGGTATCGTTCTCTTTCGAAGCCTCAACATTTACAATGCTAAAGTCCTTTTGGCCAGCACCTAACCTTAGTTTCAGTTCATTTCCAGTTTATTGTCTTTTTGTACGGTTCGTGAGCTGCAAATGTTAATGTGTAGAAACTCCTGGCTCATTTAGTTTATGTCCATCTTAAAGCAATAGGTCCTTGTCATCAAGAGATTTAAACGCCACCTTTAGCATAATGTGTCCATTCTGTTTCGGGCTCGTTTGGCTTACTAGTCTGAAAATTTTTAGCAAGATGATCTGAGAGATATATCCTGAAACAACGGATGGTTTATTAGCTCTTTTATCAACTCAATGTCATGCTCAAAACGAGTTTTGGTTCTTGAACTCTCATTATCCTTGACTATTTGATAGACGACTGACTTGTTATTGTGATCAATCCAATTTCTTAACTATTGTTTGAGGGACTGGCCTCCCCTCAACAACTAGGTCGTCTCTTGTTCTTAGTTTGTACCCATTTATCAACATTACTTGGGTAATAATTACAGTCATGTTACACTAACTGCACGATCTTGGATGACTTTCGATGACTCGGGTAGTCAGGTTGTTGTTATCCCTGCTGGAAACAGACCTAGCCTTGTTACTAGGTTTTCGAGTCGTTTTGATCAAACATACTTATACCATGCTTTGCACTCACCACACAGCATTCCACATCCCGCTGGGTATCAGGGGATTGGGCGTTGACAGTTACCTTTCTTGCACTGTTCAGTCATCAATCAGAGATTTTCAAAAAACATGAAACGAAAACACCTGGAGACAAAACAGTGATAACCAGAACTATGTGATAAACCGTAAAACGTTAGATCCAAAAGTGCAAATAAATACAGATGACAAGGCGCCCTCGAAAAAAACGGTATTCATGGGGTTACTTTAACTGAAATTAATTCATTTAAAGTGAAAACGGTAGTCTTGATGCATAATAAACGGCCGAAACAGTGGAATTAACTCTGTTAGTTTTAAATAGTGCGTAAGTCACATACCCTACAGTATTAAATTTTCATTAGCAAGAAAAGATTAAGATGTTGTTCCGTCTAATACACAACTTGCCTATTTTCATTAAGCTCCTAAAAGCTTGGTTTTCTTCGTTTAGTGATACCATGAATCAACGATCATTATGACAACGTTTGACCGCTTTGTTTGTTACAGCGGTTACACGTTCTTAATTTTACTCATAACATGTTGGAAAGCAAGAAGCCAATAAATAAGGAGTACTTAGGCTTTTCCGATAAAGAAATGTATGTTGCAATAGGTTGGATGCATTTTTTACAGCTACTGCTGTCTAAAAACTATTTATCAGTCTTTTAGCGCGGTTGAACTACGTAATTGGATACATGAAAGTTGTGCTTTTATCTTTAAATGTGGAGAGGTATAAAGAATATTAGGTTTTAACAAGTCTACAAGATACATTTTTCGGATTTAGTGATTTTTCTGTGTCGCTTAAAAACGGTTACAAACGATTCATTCATAAATAACCCACTTCTTCCTGATGAAGCAAAAAGGCATTATCTGAGGGTATTCATAAAGGTATATTGCATATTGAGCCTGCTTCAGTTTTTCAGAATATTGATTATGTAGTTCTATTCAGAACTCTGGAACATTTTCTATCAGAATACGGATTTGATGGGAAATTCGAGGGGTTTATTCTTTGCTTTTTCCGTAAGCAACGTGAGTTTCTTCTCAACATGTTCGACAGTTCAATTGATTCTGATCTAATAAAGATAGGTAGGTGGGTCTTCTTTCCTGATAATGTTTATTCTAGACTCAATAAACCTTTTGAAGTTATTTGACAACTTTGCACCAAACAGTCAATCTGATATCCTGTCCGCGCAGTTACTTTGGATGAATTTCTTTACATCGCGATGGTTGTCATACAATCCAATGCATCTGCTTGATTTGAAGTTTCGTATTTCCGTTACTGCTAGTAAAGTGCTTCACTATAATGGTTACAGTGATGCATCAGAAGTACGTTTCTCAGCATATATATTTTAAATATATGTCACGTGGTAATTTTTGATTTATTCTGACTCTTATATATTCGTAACCAAACAGCAGGAGAATTTAATTTTGTCTTGAATAAATGCACATAATTCGTAACCAGATCTGATACACTGAAGGTATCTAGCTATATGAGTTCGAAAATCCATCGCAGTTCAAAGTACTAATATTTGACGACTCTTTGTCATTGACTTTCTATGCAACGTTCCAGTGATTTAAAGAAAAACCAGTTTTACAGTAAATATAAAGTTAAATTCGTATTTACTGCTTCCTCCGAGGGCTTTAACAGATGTTTTTCATTACGTTTCCCAGTCATTTTCCTTAAATAAATAACCAAAGAAATTCGATAATTCTTTCATTCTCGACTTGTGATTTTTCTTGCGGGTTTGCTTGTTATCACTTATCATTTTATAGTTGTTTGTGATATTTTGAACATCGCAATTTTCATTGATAAAATAGAAAAAGTTTTAGTAGCACTTGAAGAAAGAACAAGCTAGTGATAGTAAGTTACATTTGAATAGTACCCTAGTAGCCAAGCGTGGGAAGACCGGTAGTAGTTGTGAACTCATGGATTATTCACATTATCTGCAGGCTGGAGAAAAGTCAAAGGTTTTCGTCATTACAATAGTATGAACATTACCTCCAGCAACAAATAAAAAATTGTCTTTAAAAGCTTGGGGGCAGCTGTTCTGAATTGAGTTGGTCTGTATAGTATGGTTTGAATGATAAACCTTTTGGTTTGCAATACTTGAAAAAGCTTTACTACAATAATGTATGTTTGGAGCTGAGAGTTTTTCGTTGACAAAGTCTCAAGGGCAAATTAATTTATATTACCAAAGTTAGTTTTCATAAACTATAATACTGGTGTTTGAATTCACAATTAAATGTAATTTTTATTTTAAATACTATATATGACTTGTTTCACTGAGTAATTTGGTTCTGTAAAAAATCGTAATGATAACTAAAATATGTATAAGAAGTCATTATTATTACTGTTCAAGTGATTAACTAAATATATCCGTTATCTGTGTCCTAAAAATGAAACTTATTCGCTACATCGGAGACACTGCACAGTTGTTTTATTGTTCGTAAAATATATTGATTCAGTTGACATGATATGCTTGTTCATTCTTAGAGCACCTGTAAGAGGGCTAATCAATAATCATATATTCTAAACAACCAGGCAAAACTTATTATGTAGCTTAAAAATGTGTCATTAAATTCTATTTAGACAAAAATATGCAATTATTGAGATAACAGCAAACTCTAGATTCGTGATACTTTAATTTAAGAATCCTAAGATGTTTTAAAGAAACAAAGTGTTTATACTAAATTACCAAAGATTCTTTAAATGCTTCAAATGCTAAGCATTTTCAGCGCTTGCAAACAGTCGCAATGATATATTGAACTAGAACCTAAACATGACAAAGCTTTAGGCTTACTTTATGTGATTTTTATGAATAAATTAAATAAAACTGTTGTGTTCGATGTGATTATCAAGAAAAACAACTTAATGACTTGGGTAAAGGCAGGATGATTAGTTTTCACTGAAACAGCCACAGTTGTTTGCTGTACTTTTCGCGTTATTTATCCACATACTCTTGAGCCAGACAAGGCTGTCTGCTCTCTCCCTTCCTCTTTCTTCTGGTGGTCGACTGGATTATGAAGACCTCGACATCTGAGGTAAAACACGGAATACAACGGACAGCTCAGAATCAATTAGATGATTGGGACTTCGCAGATGACCTGGCCCTCCTATCGCATACACATGAAAAAATGCAGACACAGACAGCCAGTGTAGCAGCAGTTTCTGCATCAGTAGGCCTCAACATACACAAGGGGAAAACCAAGGTCCTCAAATACAACACGGAGAACAGCAATCCAACCACTCTTGATGGCGAAACTCTGGAAGATGTAGAATCCTTCACATAGCTGGGAAGCATCATCGATGAACAAGGAGGTTCAGATGCAGACGTAAAGACGAGGATTGGCAAAGCAAGGTTCGCATTCCTACAGTTGAAGAACATATGGAACTCAAAACAACTTTCAACCAATATCAAAGTGAGAATCTTCAATACAACGTCAAGGCAGTTCTACTGTACGGAACTGAAACTTGGAGAACTAAAACCACCATCAAGAAGGTACAAGTATTTATAAATAGCTGTCTTCGCAAGATACTCAACATCCATTGGCCGGATACCATCAGCAACAGCCTTCTGTGGGAGAGAACAAACCAGATTCCATCTGGGGGGGAAATTAGAAAAAGACAATGGAAATGGATAGAACATACATTACGGAAATCGTTAAATTGCATCACGAGACAAGCCCTAACTTGGAATCCTGAAGGGAAGGGGAAAAGAGGAAGGCCTAAGAACACATTACGTCGGGAAATAGAAGCAGATATGAAAAAGATGGATAGGAACTGGAAGGAGCTGGAAAGGATTGCCCAGGATAGGGTTGGATGGAGAACGCTGGTGAGCGGCCTATGCTCCTTCACGAGGAGTAACAGGCTTAAGTAAGTCTTGAGCCAGAAAGTCGAATTCTGTACCACACGTTATTACTAAAAATAAATGGTAAAAACTCAGAACGATTGCACATATAAGTTACTTTGAATTAAGTTAGCAAAGTGCACTGAACTTGCAAAATCAGTGAAAATGACATAGGTATTTAGACAGTTTGAACAGAAAGGAAAATCAAGTTTTCGACTTATTTAAGTCGTACGCAAATAACTAAGCGTTCAAGGAGATTTAAAATATGGAAAATGCAAACGGGTTCTTAAAACCTCCACATATATTATTGATGTAATAAGTGTGTGGTCTTATCTTTAGATAAACAGAGGACCAGGTTGGAGCACCCACAGATACTTTTTCAGAAAATTAAAAGAAAAACAAAATAAGTGAGTGAGCGAACCATATAAATACTAACATCTCATTTCTAGAAAGTAGCATGTTTAATGAAGTTATTTTTTATTCTCTCTATATACGCATTTCAAAATATCCAGACGGTTATAAGCAAGTGGTAATCACATTGATCTTTGTTTTCGATCGAATAGGCTCTGGCAAGAAAATCGCTGGTTGATTTTGCTGAGATGCATCAACTACGGGACCAGGAGAAAAGTTTGATGTCGACCACCTCCAGTAATTTATTTCACGTGGTTGCTATCGAAGTATGTAAAAACATAAATTACCGTTAACCTTTTTCCACCCTCATTACTGCTATTGAATATGCTAAGAAGTTTGTATAAAGAGGAATGATATCAAAACATTTTATTCCTTTAAACACCTAGTACATTTTTTGTCATTCAGTCGGTATCATTGAATAGATGGTATTCACTCTGTGAAATTTTTCACCAAAGCTGTTACACCAATCTTTTAAAATATTTTCGAAAATACAACATAATCTATGAACTATGGAGTTTTAGGTATGATAAAAACACTTTATTTAGTTCGAAAGTTTGAAAAGTTTAAAACTACGGCTAATTTATTTTGAGTTTACTACTCTGTCAGAAAACTGACCTTAAAGCAGTTCAATATCTACACAGAATTAATTGCACACATTCCTACTCATAAACAAACTAGCAGTTTGTATATAAACAATGCGATTGTGTCAAAATACTTCGTTTACACGGTCACGGTTTTTACTTAGATGAAATGTGTTCTTTTTTGAAAATATTAGTTTCCTCTTCTGACGCGAAGTAAAAACACCTTAGTTTCACTTAGTCTGATGATATTGATCAAACAACCTGTTAGTTAACCATTTGATGACCAATGCTACCAAATGAAACCACGAAAATCCTGGAAGAATGTTCTATCTTTGAGATCTCTAGACATGTTAGTTTTGACAGGAGTTTTGTTTAAAAGTAGCCATTGTATTATGAACTATTGAAACCATCCTGAAAACATACATGGAATGTATTCTGACTGGTTTATAAACACAGTAGAATTTAATTTCTTCCAATGCTATGTTTAAACTAATACATTTTGCTACTTCGGGAGCTAAATTTATTGTGAAGATATAATTATGGAGATATCACAAACATTTTAGGCTCTCATATTTATGACAGTTTTCTGGTTTTACTAGAGCTTCAAGATATTAGTGTGGTAGAATCTAGTTATTTTAATATTTATGTTTGTAAAATAGGAAAAGCCAGTTTGCTTGAGTGCTGATAGTGCATACAATTCATGTGAAAACAGTTTCTTATTCAAATATATTAGCAGATAGGCAGGTTTATGGAATTTTCTAAGTAAAAGGAATCAGCTGTAGATTAGTTACTGAAATTTTATTCGAACCAATAAATTTAGTGATAGTTCGGCTTGAATTCATCATAATTATGACTGACTGAATTCAATACAGCTGAAAAATTATTTCATGAGCATAAACCGTGATTAGCTATTATAAAGATAGAATGAATATGAACGTGAGAAATTATTTATCATGATTTTGATGGAGTAATTTAAAAGAGTTAATAGTGAGTTGTGAATCTTTAAACGCTGGATAACTAAATATTAAGAAAGATGAATAAAGAATAAAATAACAAAATGTGTTATCTGTATAAAGCCGTTTTTATTGACACTTCAAGTATTTGTAAACGTCATACTATTTTACTGAAATGAAATGAAGCAATTTAACCTTGCAGTATCCATTTAGTTTAAACCGACTGATTTATTCGATCGTATAATAACCCAGCTTACAGTGTGCATTGTATTGAATAATTAACTAATAAGTAAACTCCGATAATGTATAATAGTGATAATAAACCGTTTTATGATAAATTTTACAATTTAGCAAATGCTTTGTACAACATTATGTTTTATGATATTTATTTCATCATAATCCTTATCTTATTTAAAACACGTTCAAAAAAGTGATAACATTTTATGAATTTGTAAATACAGCTTTCTTCCATGGTGTTTAAACGATCTGTCTTTGAATCACGTAAACGTCCACAAGGTTATCTCCGACCAAAAGTCAGGGTTGAATTCGCTACACTATTACAGGTAGGTTAGTTTCAAAGTAATTATTTAAATATAGGAACTATTCGTAACTTTTTCGTGAGCTATACAGAATGAGCTTTTTGTGTAATTCAATCTTTGATTCTTTCATCGTTTTTTTAAACACATAGTGAATAAGTAAAATGCTAAATGGTTGGGATGATAAACTTCTAATTATAAGAAAAAAATACTTAGGTCAATACAATGATAATAATAGTGATTTTCATCCTTTTTTAATTATAACGGGGTAAAATAACTTATACAGGTCAAAAGAAATTTTTTGGTGAAGAATTTTCATTTTTTTAACTGCAACTGTGATGTTAAGAAGGCAGTTTTACTTTTATTAAAAGTGATATTTCACTGTTTACTTACAAAAAAATGTTGCAACAACCGGTTTTTCCAATGAACTAAGGGCAGATAGATTGATAGAAACAATTCAAGATAAGGCGCTATTGGTTCTAACTATGCATATTTATGGAAACTCATTTTTATTGTTAACCGATCAAATTGTAACGTTCAAGGTGTTTTGTTTATCACGATAAAGCGTAATTCTCATTCTTCTTGTATATGTTTGTACATTTCAGAATCATCTTATGAATAAACAGCATATGTACATGTCATTTTGTAAATTCAGTAACAGTGACTTGCAAACATCAAGCTTCTCAGGAATAAGATGCGTATCTGTAAAATTGTAGCAGATCTGCTTTTCAGTTTTGTATAATTATGGAGTATTTAGCGTTTACGAGCATTGATTTCGTTCAGTTAGTGGATGATTGCTGCACATAAGCGTGCAATTTTCACCACGAATTTCAATTCAAGTTTTCACTCCTACTTTATTTACTTGTTTCACTCGTGAAGTTGGGATGCGCTGTTGTGTCATGTTTATAGAAGACATATGCAGAAATCCCAATTGAACGGAAAACTGCTCGAAAATATTGACTATTTCACTTTTATGGAATACGAAAAGAAATATAGTTATTCTCACATGGTTATCACTGTGAATATGAATTCACTACAACTATATTTAGTTTTCTAAATAGATACTAATTAACAATGTTTTAGGTGGTGGAACTCACTGATCGAAATTGAATACTCTACGTTGATTGACACTAGTTTATTTGTAAAGGGTAGTGCAGCAAAGATCAAAGAGATTAGAAAGCAGTTTGAAGCTTTAATACATCTCCAAATCCTAATCTTTCCGATTGCTCCTTATACCACTATGGGATTTGAATAGACAATTGTATCTCTGTGCTAATGTGGTTTGACAACTTGAACTAATGTATATAGGTTCGAAGTTCTACATTGTTGCTGACTGACTGACTTAAAGTTCGATTAGATTAACTGTTATCGCGCAGCTTTTTGACAGTTAATGAATTATATCTAAATTATATTTTTAACGAATAAGTGCCTAATTTCTGTGTTGTTTTTCAATTTTTTTTACTTGACTTATTTAGTTTGTAACTTTTAATTGCAACTATTTCTACTGGTGTAATGAGGAAGATATTCCTAACTCAAGTGAATTATCTAGAACATTTTAAGTCAATTCTCCGGTAAAGCAGTTGATGGATTATAATTCCTATATATTGTAACCGTGGCCTGGTTTCTTAATAGCTCGAATTTATTTATCACTGTCAAAATGTCTTGATTTCCTAAAATGTTCCACAATAATATATCTACAAGTCATTTTGTTTGATCGTTATTCATTAAATGTATTTAAAATATTTTCATATTGTTTACAGCATTCATGGCCTCGAACAATTACTGAACGTTATCTAAATCAATTAATTCCAAATTCATCTGCTCAAATATTAGCTATTTTAGAAGCATTAAGCTTAAAGCCTGGAGAAAGAAGAAGTTTAATCACACCAAAACCACCAGTAGATTCATCTGATTGGGAAATGTCTGACGTTTATACTGAACTTTTTATTGCGTCAATGGAGTTAATTTATCGTAAGTAAGAATTTAACTGTGTAATTTACTCCACAAAACATTGTGAATTTTAAATAATAATCATAATAATGAATAATTAAGATCAGGTTATTTTTTAAGCAACCTTAAAGATAGAAAACATACACAAAAACCAATATATATGCAATTTTTACGTTGTAAAGTTAGTTGTCCTCATGTTTTCATATATCACTATGATATTATCCAGGGGATAGTGTGAATGTATAATACTGAATATTGCATATGAAATATTGAACTATTTTCTTTCATAAATACTTTTGATAAACTACAATTGATTTTCGATTTTTAGTTTTCATTTATAACGAACTGCAAAGTAGTTTGGTAAGATAAACGAAACCATTTGTTTATAAATAAAATTTGAAATGAATGTTTATTCTAATCTCAGTGGTTACATTGGTCGGAAAAATTAAGCTTTTTCACTGATATAATGCCTATTTAATCTTTAAAGCTGTTAATAACAATGACAAGCTATTTGGTATCAATTCTAATACTGACATAACAAATAAGATCGGATTTTAAAAAATGATTTCCATTTACAACGAGTTGAAATGCCGACATGAAAGTGAGCTACAATCGGTAACACCACTTTATATTCATGATTATATCAGAGTAAATTTTTTTGTCAGATTGGTTGTAGTTTTTCATAATCTAGTTCTAAAGAGCAAGAACCGAATAAGATAAATACAGCAAATACCATTCATATAAGTGATAGTAGTCATGAAACTGAATACTCTACATTGTTCAGTAACAACTGATTGAGCTAAAAATTAAACTAAACGTAAAATTAAGCAGGTGATGTGAAAAAGATGCATAGAACAACTTTTCTAAACACTGTAACTATTCAAATAGTTTTAATTAATTGGTCATCTTGAATATTCAAATATCCGAGTAATGGTCCAAATATTTGGTCAATTCATGTTATTTTCTAAAAAATTCATGTGTTAGTTGTCATAAAATCTCAAATATTTATGAACGTATTTATTTCAGTATTTTTGTCTTGTGTTATTTATGATAGTTCCACAACTACGTTGTATAATATTAATTACAAAGGTAAAGATAAGTGAGATCTGATAATCAAAGCATATATAAAAACCTAACACTATTTACAGTTTCATCGTAACAAGGTACTTCGGAGTGTAAATCACAACTATGCGCCTAAACTGAAATGTTTATCTGGGATATAATGAGATTTATATTCATTCGGGGTTTTGTACTGGACAGAATCACAAAGAAAGCCTAACAAGAGTTAACGTTAAATCTAGCGAAATTGGAAAAATAACAGCTGTAATCTGATTCATTGAGTAAGTGTTTAAAAAGAAATGTGTAAAAGTAACCAAAACATGTAGGCGAATCAATAAAACCAAGGGGTACCCTGTAACAATACTGGAACCGCCTTACACTGTACTGTTAATTCCAATACACGTCGTCTCAATCCCCTCCCCTAAGGAAAGGCTCTTTGCTAACTACTGCATCTTTTATAAAATCTATTATTCCAAAGGCTTGTAACGTTGTGACCATGCCAGTTTATCAATGTACATGTATTGTTTTTGCAATTATATTCTTCTTACTAAAGAAATCTCTATCCTTACAAGAATGATGACTATGTGTATACATCGATGACAAAACTATATTACAAAATACTGTCAGTTGTAACTACATTTCACAGGCATTATATCTTCTGCACCATTAAAATTTTTGTAGAAAATGTCCAGTGGAAACAACTTTTGTACGTCTTTTAAAATAAAGTACCTTTAATGATATATAGCATTACTGTAAATTGGTGCATTATGTAATTAAGTCTCCTTCAATGAGAACGTGAATTACTTTCGTTATTTAAATTAATTTACTTTAAAACAATAATTGGTCCAAACAGAAAGAAAGTTTAAATCATTTTCATTTATTTAATTTTTTCTTGACTCAGCAAATTCTTCTAAAAAATTGATTCCTAATTTTCTATCTGGAATACACGTCATTCGTAAAATACCAGTAGATAGAGAGAAAACTTCTACAGGTTTAATAAATCATACAATAGCATTGAATGAAACAAAATTTTTGAAATGGACACAACTAGATTTAATTCATTATCAGTACAATTACCATGATTCCGCCGAAGAATATGATGAAAACGGAGAATTGTCATCAGAATCAAAAGCAACACCTTCATCAACTATAAATACAAACGTTAGTTGTACAATAGATAGTTTGATGAAATTAATACAAATCTATTTTGCATGTGCTCAGTACGATATTTTCGATTTGGTATCACGAGATACTTTGCATGTTTTCGAAGTAAGTAAAATATTTTAGTTACCTTCAATTAAAGTATAAAAAGCCAGTAATTTTATTTTATTGAACTGCAAAAATATTGTTCATTCAGATACTGATTCGTATATTGCCTTTAAGAGGTAAAGAATTGTCATTAAAAATGTAAAACGCCTGATTACAACACTGAGTGATGTAGGTTAGAATCCTATAGGAATCATCAATATTTTGTAGATTACCGATGCGTCAAGCTTTCGCGAACCAATTAGGATGAAGCATAGGTCTTCTTCATGGCTAAAAGTACAGTAAAAGTGTATTCTAAATGCCATATTGATTTTCTATACTTAAGATTAATGTTACGTTGTAAAACTTTTCGAATATAGAATTTCATAGCAATAATCACTAAATAGAAGTAAAACCAAACTTAAAGTATTCATTATATTTAAAGCGTATTTCATGAAAAGCAGATGGACAAATTCCGTTCGTTTTTGTTTTATAACTCAAATTAATTGTCATCCATGTGATGTACAGTTATGTAGCAAGAAACTCATACTCATACTCTTTACATTATACGGGATATAGTAGGAAAGTTAAATATTATATCGTTTAGAATATAACTAAAAAAGTATTCATAGCTTCTTAATTAGGAATATTGGACCTAGTTTTCCTAAAAGACAGTTGTAAGAACAAAAAAAATGGGATGAATGGTATCAATCTATTCAACAAACAGTCTTTTAATGTATTTGTTTCAGTAATGAGTGGGAAATATTGTTCATGCAACCAAAACAAGTTGATGATTTAAATCATTGTCTTACATTTAAGCTTTTCTAAACGATTACCCATATGTTTTTTATTCTGTTGGATGCCGAATTGATGCTATTCTAAACTACTTTTCGTTGTCTACCTGAAACGTGATGTCTATAATCCATTAGACATCACTTCTATTTAGTGATTGCCCAGATATTTAGACAAAGGTAGTAAGGAAGGTAATTTGAACTACCATGATTACTTCCAAAATGATTTATTCATCTAATTGTTTAACTTAAATGCCATTGAAACAAGAAGAACTGGTAGTACAATGGAAAAGTCATCACATGAACAATTAACATATCTGATATAATTTACTGATTTTTACACATGTATCATACATTTGCAAATATAAATAAATGAATGATTAACACTCCAAGTATAAAGTTCTCCAGCTATGCTTTCCACACATATTATTTAGTTTTATCTAATACAAAGATTGATGTTGATTTCTCTGTCACCTTTTTATTGAGATAGTTCACGTAGATCTTTTAACTCTAAAAGAATTCATAAAAGTCATAACAGTGTAGTGAACGAGAACACAAGCGGTGTAAACTAAATGTATGTGAACACAAAATTACAGAACCTTTTAGTAAAATTGAGAACCATACAGAAAAAACTTCACTCGCAAAATGCTTATTAATTGTCTCAGGCTTCATTGTTCTTCCATTTCCATATCAATTGCTTTCTGTTCCCCTTCTTTCTTTTTCGATCTTCTCAACCTTCTGTGTGTAAGACTAGCGTTATATACTACTTATGTCAACATAACTGACACACACCATAGCAGTAATTTTTTTGTAATTCTGTTGTTAAATAAATCTCTTTAATCTATTATATATGAAATTGCTTTCTTTCTTAATTATAATTGATATTCTAAATAAGATTTGTGCTATTCATTGACATTAATAAAGCAGCAATACAAACCCAATGATTTAACCAATTTAAATAGCTAAATTATTTTTTACCAACAGGAAAAACTATCAGATCTAATTAAAGAACAAGCACCTAAAGAATTTATACATTATATTCAAGCACAAATTGATACATTAGAATTACTTCGTGCGTTACACTCTGCACAGTTGTCAATAAAAGTATTGAATAAAAACGAGATAATAGAGGATGTATTACAACAACCTATTGCACAAGAAACTCCAGCGGCTAATTTAAGTAAAAGTTCTATGAAACAACAGGATACATCAAATTCGGTAAGTTCATAGGAAGGTGTAATCTTGTTGTAACTTAAGTAATATACAGTCCAGTCAATTAAGACCGAACTCAAACACTTGTTAGAGATGAACAGAATTTAGTCCGTTATCAATGATGTATTATAAATAAATAGATTTTAAGAATATCACAGTCAAAATATGGTCGATTGAATTTACCAAAGTAAGAAATTTAAAAGGATGCACTGAACATATGGTGTTGTAGGTAAATCTTTTTATCAGAATTCGGCTATGAAAAAGGAATGAATAGTTTAACAATATTCACTGGTCAATAGAAAGGCGATGTAAATAAGTAGACTTTGTAAATAGCTGATGTGTATCAGTAATGAATAACTGTAGCATTTTCAACTAACATGGTAACTTGAGAATTTAAATCTTTCAGTAAAATTGAGTTCTATGGAAGGTATTTATAAAAGTGAACGAAATTTAAAACTAAACTTACAATTTCATGCTTACTAATACAGTGATCTTGGACTTAATGTAACTTTATCAACAGGCACATCTATAATGGTTCGTGTATAAATAGTCAAACAAAGTAGGTATATGTTATGCAGTTGAGTTTCATGGATTTTAATGTAACAAATCACATGGCGAAATGAACCAAGTCAGATTAATAATCTATTATCTTATTTTTGCTAGATTTTCTAAAAGGTGAAGCTGTTTACTGTTCTGTGGTCATTCATAAATGTTAATAGTCACAATTGATGAAGTGAATTCACCTAGTTGTCTGTTTAGCAAAACCAAATACAAGTTATCTGTCAGACTGATAGGCATCTAAATTTTACAAATTTAATACTAGTGAAATGAAATAGGGTGAACGAAGTTAAATGAAACTTTGAATATATTACGATCCACTTCTTCTCTAGATGATGATTGAATGACACTCATTGAGTAATGTGGTATGTCAGAGACTGGAATTGATAAGGACTTACAGACTATCTATATTAGAACGTTAAGAGTATGTTGATGAAAAGAGGATTCAACCAGTATTTTGATCGTTTAATAAGTTGTCTTGTACTTAACTACGTTGTTGGGAAGAGATCTATCATTTCAAGTATACATTATGTGATCTATTTATATACCTTTTGAAGTACAACTGGTACAAACTAGGGAGGGCAAAGCCAAGAATAGACATCAGTCATCAATTTTCAAACTGAGCAGTGTAGGTAGGTGTAGACTACTTGGTTTGTGTGCTTTTGGTTATCATAAATAATAGTTAGAGACTTCTGATGATATGGCTGGGGTCGTCCCGATGGCTTGAATCTATTCACAGTTTATCTTGTCTTAGATCTTGAGCTCTAAGATATTTTTTATACTTTTTATTCATTGAATACGTTCTTTCTACTGAAATGATATCTTCTTTATGTTACCATCAATACTGTTAATAGATCTACTAGTCTGGGATTTGTTTTAATACTTTCGTGCTGATATATTATAGGTTCACTCTTGTTTATAAGTGAGTAACTTTTATTTCGTCGGAATATAGTGATTATAGTCCTATTTTTAGTGAGTATAATAATATTTTATACATATCATTGGATAATTCATAAGTAATTAGTTAATCGAATAATAAATGTATGGAATTAACTCGTATGGTAGTAAGTCATTTAAATTAAGCCTGATAAGTATTTAGAAAAATCTACGCTTTCTATGTGAGATTAAAATAGTGAATGCCTAAGGGGTAGTTTGTCAAGAATGAAAAATACTGTATCTTACAAATCTCTTTCATCTTGTTATAGTTAGGAAGTAGATGTTTTTCGAATTTGTGTCAACAATTGGTAATATTAAAAATACTCTGGGATCTAGCTGTTAGATCTCAAAGCAAAACATGAATACCCAAGAACAAAACACATCAAAAAAAGAATTACAAACGTTTGAAAGTTTAGCATCAACTAACACACAAATAAAAGGATACCAGTTACTTTATTCTAGTTTGATATCAAGATTGGAGTGTAGATGTATAAAACTGATCAGTCTTAAATGGAATGAAACGCTCATTCTGGTTTCTTCTACTAGTCACTATTAAACTTTGTTTAAAATGCTTCCCATCATTTTATTGTTTACTTAATTGGTATAGGCAATCGATTTCTTGGATAGTGATAAAGAAGTAAATTCAACTAGATTATTACATAATCAAACATTGATTTTAAGTAAGTTACATAAATATATAGTATCCTATATATGTTTTAATAATCAGACTTTTTACCAAAAGGTATAATAAAATTAATACAAAAATTGCATAATATCGTTAAGAAAATAGATGAACTTCAGGTAAATGTGAATATGATTTTATATTAAACATTACAATAGATCTCTATGTATGATAATGCAATTTTGATAGATATTATTATAATATTATGGGATTATTGTCATATATTATGTCATAAATGGTTCATTCAGAATAAATTGAAAATAGAATATTTCAACACAATTCAAATGAAACTAATTGGAGTAAGTTAACATTAAAATTTGTTACTTAACTATTAATCAATATAGAAAACAAAGAAAGCTGATTCTTTTAATCTTTATTTTTCTTGATATTTATAAATGACTAGGTAAAAACAGATTCTTTTATTGAAATAGAATCATTTGAAGAAAAAAAAGACCTTCATTAAGATCTTTTGAATTCATGATGTAAAAAGGTTATCAGGAATTTAATCAATTCATTACCATGGAAGGTGATATATTTTATTAGTAATAGAATCTTTCATAATACTTCAATATTTGGGATAAAATGATTAATATGATAGGATGTTCATTATTACAAATTTAAACCAATCGGTTCATGATCTCAATCAAAACTTAATAATCTTTACAACATCTATACTGGTGATTACCATGTGCTCACTAGTGACTAGCTTCGTAAGAAAATTCTCGGAGTTCTGGTGAGAAGCCGTGACCAGTGGAGCTTATCTGTGTCGGATAGAAACAGGTGTCTGTCTCAGTACAATGGAAGATGGTTGCGCAACTTCGTAGATTGGCTGAGGTTAGACATTAACACCGTTAGTTGCCGGCTCAGTGGTCCAGTAGTTTAAGCGTTAGCGCGTGAGACTGAAGGCCCTTGGTTCAAATCCCGCGAGCGGGATCGTGGATGCGCACTGCTGAGGAGTCCCACAATAGAACGAAACGCCCTTCCAGTGCTTCCAGGTTTTCAATGGTGGTCTAACATCAATCGGTTCATGGTCTCAATCAAAAATTAACAATCTCCACAACCCCTATACTGTTAGACTATTTTATCTGAATAAATGAACTTTTAAATGTGCTTATGAAAAATAGACATGTAATTTTCAAGCAAGAGATCTAATATAACAGTTTATACAAAGGTAATAAATCAAGTAATCTATATCACATATGATGGAGATTTAGTTTTTATTTTAATAAAAATATTGGTTATTTAAGTTGGCTACCAGATCATAGACAAATATTTTACGTCACTTTAGAGTGTAGAAAGTCAATTGACATTCAATCTGACAGCTTATTTTGAAATTCTGCTTTTGTTAGGAACGCAATGTGATAATTGTGAAAAACCCATATATTTATTTGAAAACATAAATATTGGTACAAAGGGGCACCGAATACACATGTGCCACACAATAACAATGAAAGTGTGAAGAGATAGAGAATGTAAAGTGTGCATAAGAAAAAGGAGAACAATAACGAATAGAAATTAGTGTATGATAGTGAAATAATAATAATGGGAGAAACAGTTCAGTTAGCAAAGATACAACCAGAAAGAATTCTTTCAGTTAAAGAAGTTACGTCCATTTTTTATGAAGAAAGTAAAATAAAGTTACAGCAGGATCGCCACTGGCTTCTATTCTGAGCCATATTTGATAACTTCTATAGCCACTGTGTTGTACCATCTCTAAGGCCCCAACCAGGGGGTTGTGAATGAACAACTGAAGCTGGTCCTGTACAGCTTTCTTTCATACCATGACACCATGTCGCACACTGACAACCTCTACGCTTAATTATTGAAATGACAATCATTACTGCGAAAACCTGATAAGATTTGATTAAAGATTTCTATAATAAATATCCTCATGTTTGCAACATTAAATTTTATACAATACTGCACATTAGTTCCATAATATTTATGTGGCTTCATATAGAAACTTCACCATGTTATAAATGATTTATAGGAGACCCTTTAAACAAAACTTTTATGCAAGGAGAACATATTCAAATTTGATTCAGACCGTAAATGAACAATATTAATTAAGATCAAAAGAGTAAACAAAATTACTTCCATTAGAATTTACTTATGATATTGTTGCTAGTTAAAGTTGTCGAATATAACGTTTTTTTCAAGTTCTTATCATCATTTGTGTTAATTGCAGAAATATGCATTATGTTGCCTAAATTTAGCGCATATTGAATCAAGTAGTAACACATTTCTATGAATGAAGCCTATACTAGTCCAAGACATTCAAAAAAGAACTGTAAACCGTATGAATTCTTCAAGATAGCATGAATGAAAAACTGCTAAATCTGATCAAAACAACTTAAAAAATTATCTGTTTATGAGTTAGATATAAACAATCAGAATATTCGATTGATTGCTTCTTATAAATTAGTTACTAATTAATTTAATTCTTCATATTCTTATCAATTCATGATCTTGAATTAGCTAAGTTTTTAATAATTATCCAAAATAGACATGAAAAATAGAATTAGTTTGTATAGGCATAAATGTATCTATTTCACGTTCAATTCAATTACATATTTGTAATATTAACATATAAAACACATCACTTATTATTTCAATATTCATTTTGTTTAGATTCTTTACTTATTTAGTCTTATGAAGACCTTACTTGAATCGTTAAACATTGATGTAGCAGATGGTTTGATGTCATGTAATCTCATATTTTATGTTATATGGATTACGGAAATGTTTGAGCAAAAATTATTTCATCATAATTCTAGGAAAGAATCAAGTCATAATTTTCTATTAGATTCAATGAATATTAAATTATTATTAAAAGCATTAACGTTACAAATGAAACCAGATGATGTTTGTGGTAGGTTCACAGTCCAATAACTTTCATTTACCTGCTACTAATTTTGATATCAATTTCATTTTTTATTGTTTGTTTGTATCTTTTCACTGATGTTTAGGACTGCAATTGATCAGTCCGTAATTGACATATGCGCATCCTGTGCGGATATCCTCGATACTGTGTTTCGTTCTATTTTGAACTCGTTAGCTGGATGTACCTGTAAGTCAGAGTGGATATTCACTTTGGGAATCGAACCCAGCACTGTTCAGGTACGTCCAGTTGATGAGTCCCAAGTAGAACAAAACGTGCGTTCTGGATTCTACTGCTAGCCACCATCCATTTTGCCTATAATTTTGCTATTGACTGAAATGTTCATTTTTAAACGAAAAAAAATTATTGTGTGCGATATCTCAATGAATTGTATGCGAACCATGAATATTTCAAGCAAATTTACATTGGAAAGTAATAGTCTAAAATGATAAATTATAGGATAGTTAATAGTGTGGAAGCTAGATGTTGGCCGAGAGAAAAAGTGTTAAATAAATATAACTCCAAATTAAAAATAAATTATTCAATAACGGTTCCCATCTTATGCTTATTTAATGCATTGAGTACACAATTTATCAAGCAGAGTATCTCACTAAAATCAGAGAACCATATAGTAAATAGTTAATTTGCAAAATATTTATCCATCGTCTCAAACACGACTGTTTCTTTTGCAAATATCAGTTCATTGTCTCAGATTTCATTTTTCATGTATTTCATACCAATTGCTTTCCATTCCCGTTTTTTTCCTTAACGACCTTCTACTGAAATACATTCTATACCTGACCACCGTTATATACTACTTATGTGGATATAAGTAACCCACATCACACTATTACCTTTTACGAATTATTGACTTAAAAAAGGTTAATTTTCTTTGTTTTCAATGATTTTTCTATCTAGAAAAATCTTTCGCATTTGATCATTTTATTCTCTATAACTGATGAATAAATTGATTTCTAGATATTAAAAGTCATTAGACTATCCTTTCAGTTCATTAGTTTCCAGTTACTAATTTCTTAAACGTAAAACACATTATGCAGAAGAGTAACCAGTGATTTATCTTATTATTATTGAATAACCTGTTGAAGAATATTATAAATGAGTTGTTTCATTAATTAGCCATTGGTTAGTTATTTATCTGTCAACTTTTGTTTTTAGAAACAAACAGCCTTTTTCTTAAAAATCTAATGATTTTTTTATGTAATTTCTTAAGGTGCTACAGAATGCAATGAAAACGATAAGTTAGCCATATGTTTAATTGATCTTTGGACTGGTATATGGAATAAAGTAATGGATATAATTTACTGGTCACGCAATATGATTAGTAAAAGAATGATATTCCTTCAGATAAATCATGTAAGTACCACATGTAATATGATTTTATACAACATGGATTTGAATAAGGAGTTGTTGTTAAAGATGCATTTACAAATATATAAGTGTTGTTGTATAAGTTTGAATCATTCATAAATTTAGAAATTGGTAAAATACTAGTAGACCATCAAATTATCCTCCCTTGAAAACGAATCGCATCGCCATAGAAAAACTAAATAAATACATAATCCTCATATTCAATAGTATCAGTTATACATTAAATCAAGAATAAAACTGTTGGTTTTGATGAATAACAGAATTAAATCCTTCTTCAATAATACATTTTTTATCAAATGGTTGTAAAAAGGAACTAAATCTAAACTATCAGAATGGGTTTTGTGGAGATTTTTTAGAAATTTAACTGGTTGAAATCATGTCAATTGAAGCTAGACCACCATGGAAAACCTGGAAGCACTGGACGGCCGTTTCGTCCTGGCATGGGACTCAGCGGTGCGCATCAACAACTCCGCACCCCGCGGAATTCGAACCCGGGACCTATTGGTTTAGTGCGCGAGCACTTAACCATTAGACCACTGAGCCGGCTTCCAACGGTGTTAATGTCCAAATTCAAACAATCCACGAAGTTGCGCCACCGTACACTATTGTCTTCAGTGAGTCCTTATCTCACAACAGACCTGGTTGAACTCCACTGGTAACAGCTTCTCACTAGAACTCCAGGAGTGTCTCCTGAAGTCAGTCACTAGTGAGCAAGTGATCATTATTATTATCAGAATGGGTTTTGTGGAGATTTTTCATGGTGGTCTAGCTTCAATTGACTCATGATTTCAACCAGTGAAATTTCTAAATCTAAATTGTTTACTACTGAAATATGAATGAAATGATAACAATATTTAATTATTTATTATCTAACACTAGATTCATATCATTTAATTACTCGTTTGTTTAGTCAAAATGTAAAATACTACTTATTATTATAATCATGATACCAGTTTTATATCTATCGAGTAACTTGAGTACATTTTTGAAATAGTTTTTAAATAAGTAAAAAAATTTCTTCATTTAATTTCTTATTTTCAATTTGCTGTGAGTCATATTTAACCAATGACCAAATGATTGTCATTTTAATGGACTTACGATCGAGCAATAAATTTATTCTGTTCGATTAACGTTCAATTCTTGTTAAATCTGATCAGATGACATTGATTTGTTAATTTATTGATGTTTTGAAGTTAAAGTGTTTACAAAATAGATAAAGGGGTGGGATTATAATTTATGAACGAACCAATCAGGTATAAGATAGCAGGTTTCGGTTTTTGTGCGAAATTCACTCATCCATTTGGATGAAGAGTTTTGGCATTATAGCTGACGTCAGTTCGTGATGAAAACCCTAAACCTAGTTTCTAACCTTAATCATCAACTGTAAATCATAACTGTAATTCCTCACACAGGTTTCGAATCCTCATTTGGTCCTGGTTATTAGGTGGACACTCACAATGTCAGTCTAGCGTTGCTCAAAGGTCGTTCATAAATCGTAGTCTCACCGATAAAGCTCTAAAATATATGTCAGCTAGTAGATTATCATGATGATTTTAACACTACGAACTGTGTTTTTCATTATATAAAAAATCAAGCCGAAGAATTTGGAAATTAATAGTCTTTCAGAGCTACAAGTTGAACTGTTGTGGTTCGAGCACACAATCCGATGGAAACTCCGAAATTTAGGTAAGTCTGTGTAAATTATTTATATACAATAATATTCAAGGCTTGGTGAATTATAGAAACACTTTAAATGGTTTAATATTTCTTATTTTGCATATTGATTAACCATGGGATCCAAGATAATCGTTTCTCTTAACTTAATATCTTCGTAATGAAATGCATTTATATTTCAACAGAGATATCTTTTTCAAAATCTGAACTGAATGTTCACTTGAAACACGTTTTTGTTCAACAGTTTGGTGTTATGAGTACAGAATGGAGATTAAATACATAAGAATCTAAAATTTCTATTTAAATAAGAAGAAATCTGTCTAGTTTTACACATACATGTGTTTCCAGTTCTCTTCAAGTATTTCATACAACATACAACTTCAACAGGCTTTTGAAATTATTCATAATAAGAATTAATATATGACAGACCTAACGCAAAATTTATCCATATGTGTGACGTTGCAGTTTTTTGTATCGATTTATTTCTTTGTAAAATGATATATGCTTAGGTGTCTAGTGGCGATTGACTAATCAAATGTGTAGATTTCTATCTTCAAAGAGAAGGAGCTTTTGCTGAAATTACTAGCAGTAGGAATGTTTATATATAGTCTAAGAGCTAAAGCTAACTTTATACCATTATTATCTAGATTCACAGAGAAAGATTATCACTTATATTTACTTGAATGGTAGTTTGATAACAAAACAAAAATTGTATTGAATAAACATGAAAATCACCTTGGTTTGTTTTTTCTAAAATATTTCAGAATGGTTAACGTGGTGTGATTTGAATGAAATGTCCAAAGAAAAAGTACACAAGAAAATTGAACAAATGGATGAAAATTCACTTAAACAATGTGGTCGAAATAAAATGTCTAAAGTATTTTACTATTGTCTTAAAGCAGAAACTGAAGTAAACAATGAAACAGCTAAAAAATATTACAAGGTAAAGATTATTGTTAATGGATAGAAATGTTTATAACGGTGTATTGTTCTATTTCATGAATTGAATAGTACCCCTTTTTTAACGTGGATCCATGAACATAAATTATAAAAGCAATAAACATGTCCTTATTCAGTTAACTGCAAAACGTTTGGCTGTTGGATAAGTTAGTGATCAGTATTAGACAAAAGGAAGAACAGAAACCATAATTGCCTTATTCTTTCTAAATTTATATTTGACGTTCCATAAAGACAAATTGATAAACAAGATAAAGGATAATTTGTGTCAAATATTACTTTAAACACAGGCCTTTCAGTCAATCTTCATGTATGAAAGCGGAACTTTTAGAATAGTGGTATATCAAAGGTCGAATACTAATTGCATTTGGCATAAATATGTTTCAGGCATAATACTATTAAAAAGCGAACAAGTAGAAAAAAAGTGTAACGATTGCATAAAGCACTGAAGATCTATAATATAGGAACTCAGAATAATATGATTCAGTTCTTACGTTGTTTAGAAAAATGCGGAAAGTGGGTAGTTGCAAACGTACTATCATACACAGATGTACAAAACACTCTCAGGGCTACGCGTAACTGGCAAGGGCAAATATAATTGGTTACAGAATAAATAGAAAACTTATAGAAGGTTATGAAAAATCACGGAGACGTGTAACGATATTTACTGTTGCTCAAAAGTTTGAAGTTATGTAATAGAGATGAAAATGAATCCAATCGCTTTCTGCTTAAATTACACGTGAAAAGTAAGGGTCAATCAAAATATCTAGCTAATTATCAACCACATGTATGAATACATTCATTGTATATTATGATTTCATTATTATTATCATTATTCAACAGATTGCCGAAAAACTACTATTCAATAAATGGTCAAATGAATTCCATTCTATTGGTAGTAAAGAAGTTATCGATTGTCAACGATCAACTGGTTTTAGTAAGCCACATGAAAATACACTGGCTACTGAAAGGTTTCGGTCTGATAGACCGCCACCACCTATAGTGATTGCTAAATGCGAAAATTCAATGGTATTTCAAACACAAAAGTGGAATCCGTTATCTGGAGAACAGGTAATTTGAAAATAATTGTGCAAGAAATCGAGTAATTTCACCAGTTTTCATTAGAGTACATTTTAATGGTATGAAAAAATTTAACTCGAATTCATAGAGGAAAGTCTCTTGTTTCATTAAATCTTTATGTGCAATAAGATCATATCAAATTAGCTTTTAGTTATGATCATTGATCATATTTTATTAAAAAAATGATAGCAACTAAATGCTAATTGCTTTTATACTCAGTTTATTAATATCTCACCGACACAAAGCTTTCTTCATTTCTTTAAATATTAGAACACGGAGATATTTCGAAAGCTTTGAAATGTTAATAAATCATTTGATATGGGTTTATGGATATTTATTACTGTGGCATCTTAAACTAGAATGAAACAACAATCTAGTCCCCTTTCCCAGTATTTTTAACAGCATTTTAGCTAATGTTAAACAGTGATGTAAACCATCTTCATTGTCTTATATCTAAAAACAAAATAATTAGCAAATGAAATACAAAATAAACATGTTAAGGAATAAAGCAAATAGGTAACAATGAAATAAAGTTTCTTAATAATAACTTTTACAAACTGTATAACATAGACTTTACTTCAAACTTTACCATTCAATAACACTGAACGCTTATGGTCATTTTATATTTTTAGGTTCATTTTTATGCATTATACGGAAAACAGACATTTGTATCCAATCAGAAAGTTCACATCACTGATAATAAGTTAACCAACACCGGGATTTTGGTGAGAATAAAAATAATCTATTTACTGTAATCAACTTATTACATTTTGTTATAGTATTCTTGAATTCATGCTTTCTTTGAAAATATTTTTGAGTCTATTGTACAGCATTAAGTCAAACCTTCGTATATTTAGCTTTGTTTCATTTCTTTAAGCCTGGAAAACAATTGCCGACGCATACTATGTTCATATACTAGTGAATATTAAAATCTTGAACAAATACTCAGAAGTACTGATCTAATATGTTGCTTTAAATGACTTGGAAGATTTTTCTTATGAATGTAACATATTTTATGAGGTACATGTTCATGTACTTGAGCAAGAGTTACCCAACTTTCCGAAATGAAGTAAATAGTGAAAAGTGCAAACCTATGACTCATTAATTGTAAGCATTTCATGTTCTAATCTTGTTACATTTTATTCAGTGATGGACACTAAGTTTTATATCAATAATCTGGACGCTTCCAAACATCATTGAGCAAATACCTCCAACTGAATATATGATTTGTTTTCAAAAATAGCTGACTTAATAGTATGGTTGTTAACCTTCATTTATATATATATTTTCATGAATCAGTGGTATTTCTTTCTACACGAAACGAACTGCAAACAACTTTAGAAGATAATTTTTGTGACGAATTTGTTATTAAGACTAAAGTTTCGCTTTCCACTCATGACATGAAACCTACTTTTTGTGTGGCAAAAATATCTAATTGGTTCAAACTGATCACAGTCAGATAGTTTGTAGATGTTATCACAATTCCAAACGGTTATGAAGCTACTCATATGAATGTGCACGTGAACAAATTCAGATCAATACGATTTATAACAGACTGTTAAAGTGTGTTCTAAACTTTTCCAGTCTGGGGTAATTAATGTTATTCATAAATCCGTTTAGCAAATAAACATCTAATCACTGATTAGAATACTTTTCTATTTCTTTTTTAGGTCATTTGCAATAACAGTTCCAGTGTTTTAAAAGTGACCGATCTAACACCAAATGAAGAATATGTTTTGCTGTAGCGGCTTACAATAAAGAAGGTCACCCGATAGGATCACATAAACATGGTTTAGGTCACAGTACAAAACCGGTTTTAGCTTATTCTTCGCTATGCATTTATACGGGATTATGTCATCTTCTACAGGTTAATTATTGTTTAAAAAAACGAAAATTAAATACAAGCAGTTTTTCGATTTATTATAATAAACAATAAATTTATAATTTAGTTTTAAGGGTTTGAGTTCACAGGCCACTGTCTATTTGGATCCAGTCACTCAGTGAATATCGTATAGACGTTCAAAGTGAAAGGCACTAGGTTTAATTTTGTCCAATTCAGCAGCAGTCACTTGTGAGCCAATTGAGATTTGTAAATTTTGTTTACGATTAACTATCATGAAAATTAGATCTGGTCATAATTACTTGAATGATTATTTTTTAGAGTTTTACTAAAGTGTATCGAGAGCTGTAAAGTTGGATACATATCTTATTTATGATAAAATTAACATGTAATCGGGCGTGTTTCCTAAAATACAATTATACTTATATTTTTATAGAGATATAAGAGTGACGAATTTTTCTTAATGACAGTCTTGATCTAATAGTATAGTGTATAAAAACAGCTATATCTATGCATAATTTTTTGTTCGCAGGTACGGACACTCAGTTTAGGAAACAGACATAAAACAACTTGTCAACAGATTACTGAATTTCTAATGAAAAAGTAACAATTTTCATTACTGTCTACTTTATTCAGAGAAAGTTATTAAGGTACTATGTGGTTTAGAGTAATAAAGATTACCATCACTCGTTTATATTTATTAACGTAATAATTCAACCACCAACCAGTCCAAATTCAAATGAGCACGACAAACATTTGGTAACAGGATCTTTAAATGATATATGTCAAGAGAAGAGAAAATACTAACTCAAGCAGAGATATTCAAGTGTGTATTAAAATGGATTACACACTGACATAGTGGTGAACTTATAATCTTGAAGGAGCTGATCTTCAATGAGGGATTCAAACCTGTGTTAACCGGTTTCACAAATTAACACACTAGCGCTGAGCTATTCGAATCGCGATTGAGCTTTGGGTTACAACTGGTCGGTCACTAAGTAGTAACCAACCAATTATATATATATATATATATAATTTTACACTTAAAATTATTTTACTGCGATAATTTCTTTTTTACTGAATCGTCCGTCAGTTCACCATTCATTTTCTTTTATATAGTCGGCGTTTCGACGTAATCTATCCCAATGTCTAATGGCTCAATCAGTTAACATAATCTGGGAATATTTAACAGAGAAATATGATACAATAGATGATGATAATTCAACTCATTTAACTGGTTTAAAGTATGTTGAAAATTGCTATTTAATCTGTATGATACCTTTTAATTAATATAGGTTGAAAGAACTAAATAGTTTCCAATGTTCAAGCATATTATTGAAGCACCTAACGACATGTATTTTATGGCACTGCTCATTTATTCAGAAGTCTGAAAATCTACGTTCATGTACATTTGATAATTCCACTTATTTGTTGGACAAACAAGTAAGACTATTGTTAACGATTTTATACCTTGAAAAAATTCCACGTTTAATTAGGTCATTCGATGTGAGAATAGGTGGATCATTTTATTTTTTTTAATAATTTAGTGATCTACTAAACTTGATGGGTAATTCACTGTATCAAAGATTTAGTACATATTTCCAATAGACAAAGGGACATTCACAGTGAATATATCCCTGATCATTTTGAACGATGATGCTTTCGACAAAGGCTACAGAGAATTCAATCAACATTACTATAATATTTTCATTAGAAAACGTTGCTAGGTTTGGTTGTTTCTTTTTACATGATAATGTGAAATAAAAACTTTAAGACTAACAATTTTCATCAAGACATGAATTGCGGGATGAGAGCATTGACTTTCGTTTCAAGTGTAAAAACCAGAATATATATATATATATATATATATATATATATATATATATATATATAATATATATATATTCTTACATGTCCCCTAATTTCTAGCTTTAATCACTAATCTTAATTTCTCCGTTCGAATTCCAAACCCTAACCTAAAAACATTATGATTATCAAGCCTGAATTCCAATCCTAAACCGTAATGCGAAACCCTAATTCTATTACTTAAATCATAGTCCCAGCACTATAAATCACTCATTCATGACTGCATAGGTCAAGAATTTATCAATGTTATGTAAAACGTTCTGAAGCTCTCATTTATACTTGAGGTTAGCTATAAAAATTTATTTTAGTTTTGTTTAGGTGAGAATGCTGAATCTATATTGAATATATACTGGCGTAAAAAAAATTATACACATATATAACCTGAGATGAGGTAGTGTGTCTTCAGTCTAAAAGTTTCGACTTAAGTCATTTAACATTGTTATTTGATTGATTATAGTTGTAAATTGTTATTTAAACTCATTCAGTGATAGAAAGTTGATAAATGTAAAGAAATAGGGTAGACCATGATCTATTGAGTAAATTTATAAGTGAATTAAATAGAGAGAAAACTATTATTTATCTATACTTTAAAGTCAGATAGTTTTAGCTGAATGAATATAATTGATCGGATCAAATTTTTCTTCTTTCACTTCTACTAAATTAATACCATTTAAAAATTTATTTATTTGTATACTCTGAAATTAAATTTTATTCTATTTTCTAACAGATTCAGAAAATCCATTTGTCTGAAAAGTTGATAATTGGTTTGGAGTTAAGCGCTGTGTTGAATGATGTGCAACTATTGCTAGATTTTGCTAATCTGATCTATGAAACATTGAGTTTTAACATAGAAATGAGTTCTGTAACGCATGATTATGCTAAGGTTAGTAAATAATAATGAAAAAATATGATAGAAAAGTTGTTTTCTACTAATGAATATTCTTTCAACAGTTTTCGTTATTATAGTTAGCTTATATTAGTGTTGGCTCATCAGTTCAACCACTTCAAAAGTAACCCAGTTACCTACCAATGGCTCTGGATAACTGTTGTATAATAGAGGGAAGTGATTGACGTTAGATGTATAAATTATTTGATTTAAACTTAGTAATCCTGAATGTTAAGCGATTGTCACGAGGCCTGAAGTTCACAGGTCCGAGCCCAGATGAAGCTGTAGGCAAACATTGGTAAGACGTCCTATGTCAAAATAAAACAGCTATCCAGTGTTTCCTAGTTTTCAGTGGTAGTATAGCTACAGCCAGTCCGAGATGTAAACTACAAAATATTGAAGCCATTGATGATTAAAGCAAGTGATAGGGTACAATCGTTTTCGTACAGATGGTATTTTGTGAGATATCATAAACTGGTTAATCTATCTCATATATAAGGCAGCGTAATATTGTCGAGTGATTTAAAATGTCTAGATACATTACTTCGATGAAATGTAATGCAATAAAACAGCTCCCATTATCACTTAAATGGTTTTCATCAAGTAAACATAAAACAATATGTGGTATATATATATTTCATTGTAAAACATACGTTGTTAGTAGCTTATTAACTTAATATAAAATGATCTTTATGATTTTAGATTCTATTAAAATCATTAACAATAATTCTTGGCGTTAGAAAATGTACTACAAAATTAATATTATTAGATGAAACATTGAATAGAAAACTTACTCAAATAATGATCAAGTTTACATTTGAATTAATCAAAGTTTTCGAAGTGTTAAATGAACTTAAAGGTATTGTTACAATATTGAAAATTGTAAAAGTCACATTAAGTCAATTAATGAAAGGTAAGTAATATGAAGAATTACTATTGAATGGTTAACTTTAAAAGAGAGTAAGAACGAAGATTGGTGCAGAATAATATGAATTCCTTTTATTTCATTAGGTTCTTATCAGCTGCTTACAACCTAAATTATTTGAAAATCAACGTTATCACAGATATTGACATAAGAGGGTGATTAAAGATATATCATGATATAACAAAGATTTCACTAGAGTTAATGAGGTCATAAAGTTTTTGTTTCGGATAAATAAAGTGTGTGGGGGGGGAAAGCTTCAGAACATTAAAATAGTGAGTAGAACTCATGAAGCTAACAAACATTAGATGATTGTGTAATGAAGCAACTGAAAATAGATTAATGGTAATAAAGAAAGATATGAATTGAAGAAAAATGAAAATGATGCAATTTAAACTTCAGAAAGAGTTGAAATAATGAATGAAATAATAAATAGCAAAAAGGGAGTTTAATGTTACCAGGGCAAAGAAAGATTTATTACTTCCCCTTTCTGGGTACATAAATCTGGGTTTAGACGTTTGATTGCTATCTTTTCGGCAACTTTCAAAAGGTTGGAGTTTGATTGTCTGTAAATCACCTTGAAAGACTTTTAATTGTTGAATTACTATTTGGAAATAAATTTATTAACATTGAATGAAAACTTTTAAGTTTTTATTTTAATTAGTTGATGGACAAGAACTTAATTTAACTGATAAGTTGACAGTAGACATTCGTCATTGCAAGGAATATTTTATAGTGATTGATACAGTTGTTTAAATGGATAAATATATTGTTCTTCAGGGAAACTGAAGATACCCTAGTTTTTTTTTGTGAACTTAATTCACTTGAAGTAATCCTTGTTTAGGTAAACAGTTTAACAAAATACAAACCACAGAATATTTGTAATTCATTATCAGAATGACTATGTTGTGTATTATGAAGTGGAATTGTTTATCGAACACCACGGGTGTTTATGGAATGTGTAGGATAAAGTTAATTAGCTCTTATTATAAACTGATATTTTCGTGTAGTACTGAAAGAAATTGTAATCACAAACGTGTTGCATCAGAAGAGTAACTAGATCGATGGATAATCACATATTTCTGAAATAGAACTACGTTCAGTTGGTGTCAGTAAATTGGAGCAGTACATTCAACACAGTCTTATTTGGAGATCAATATGAATCTTGAGAGTTAATAGCGTTTCGCAGATCCTTGATGTGTGGGTCTTCTCGGTTCCTTTAAATTACATAGGTATGTATATAATAACATAAGAGAAAAAAGGGACGATCAGAAACAAACAGTAATCAAAGTAACTTTGTACTTGAAATACGAAAATAAATGCAGTAAGTTACAATCCCACCTGGAGTTCTGCTAAACAGTTCTTGTGATGTCAGATGACTCGGAAACAACCATACATCTAAAATTTGTGTTTTTTTCCTGGGATTTTGTTGACCTAGTTTACATATCGGCTTACCTTTATTTTTCATTCGTATAGATATCAAACCAAGCATTAACATGTCAACAAAAAAACGGATTTCTCAGGGTAAACTAAGTTCGAATTATTTAACTGGACGAAGAAAATCAAGGCAGAATACCGATCAAATGGATGAATTAAACTCAGTCATTAAAACGATAGATGCTTATAGCTATCTGGTTACAGCTAAATTAAGTGAGTATAAACCTTGGTTTTTAGTTTTCTTGAAAAAGAGCAAATACAACTTTAACAGGATATATATCTACACATATGTTGCTTTTTTCAGAGAATTACGTAATCTTTACCAGTCAAAACACTAGAAATCAAGCGGTCTGTCAACGAGACTGAATTTGTTTAAGGGATCCATAAATAAGTTGTTACACGTCAGCAATTACTCCTTCAATTTAGCTTATGCTGGACAATTCCTGTTGGATACATTTATTGGAAACATAGAAGTGATTATACCTCTCTGGCAATAACTTAAGAACCTAAAAATCGTTTGGCTTCAGCTATTGTTTAATTGAAAATTAAACTTTATAGTTTACTTCAAGGAATGATCTTAATTGAACAACTGGTGGAAATCAGGAATCGCTGGACAGCTAATTCTTTCTATGTTGAGACTCCTCATAAGTGTACATCCACGACCTCTGAGGAGATTCGCTCTTTTAACGCTTTCCTAAGGTTAGAGATATAAACTGTGAAATTCTATAATCTCTACGGATCTTCTGTACTGAGAGTGGTGAACTATTCACTTTGCAGCGTAACACTTTAAATTAGTAATTTTAGATAAATAAATTATTCTATAGCATTCATTTAAATGACTACTAAAATTATGAGTTGTTTATTAACTGTATGTTTATTTACAAAGTAAAAGCTTTATCTCTTTCGGTTACTTAGATCCTCCAAGAGGAGAATTATTTGGTTACGAAGATGAATATCAAGCGATTGCATGTATGGCAACTAAACCAATAAAAGCTGCAATAAAAGATGGTGAGTTTAAGGAATCTGTTGATCATGTTAAAAAACCAGGAGCTAACAAAATTATGTGTTATATATACTCATTAGTGATAAAAACAAGATTATTGTCAAAATCTCTGTATTTCTACTTGCCTATTATCAAAGATATACATATACTTATTCGACTTGACGATGCTTTCAGATTCCTAACCAGATTTTTAATATAGCAAGATGATCTACATGCTTGGTTGATATCAAATAAACATAAAAATTAGATCCAATTTATTATTAATCATATCACAAACTATTCTCAACAGTCAAAGATTCCTATCTCTTGTGTACAATAGTGTAACACAAATAACCGAGTCTCATGTAGTCAAGGGGTATAAACAAAAAGTAACAATAATAATAAAGACATGCCTGTTATGTATTAGACAAAGGAAATCCGTAGTGTTTAAGCAAAGACAGTGATTTAAAGTGTGATTAATTGAAATTTTCTAGCTGAAATAGTTAAGTGGAACAAAGAAAAAGCAACTATGATGCTTTAGGATCTATATTTAGTGAAGCCTTAGGCTAAGTTACTTTGAACAGATGTTACATTCGATCGCCATTTTTGATGTATTCTCAAAATTTTGTTGCTATATTCAACAAATGTACAATTTTATAAAGTAGTGCGTCATGTACTGGAAGAATGTAGACTTGTTAATTTTAAGGAACAGAACATACTCAATAGAAAGTTTAATTTTAGGGGGAACTGTCATATTACGAACATCAACCAAATATTTGTCATGTAAAAATCTAGCAACACCAATGGATTTTAATTACAAATAAGTTTTTGGAATAAATCAATAGTTTCTTACAAATAAATATAATGCTCCTTGCTAAGTCACCAGTATGAGTATCATAATGTATTTATTTGTGTTATATATTATCTCTTATAAGGATAGATAAACGATAAATCAAGAATAAAAAATCTGCTCTACAGGGTGCAAACATTCAGCAAAACTAGAAATCCCAACAGCAAATTTTGAGATACATATTAAGCAGAGGTGTTGAAGTTAAACACATATGTACATAAAATTGTCAATATTTTTGGAAAACATTGATGGACATCTATTAAAACAGGTTCTGTATACTTGTTTTGATGTTAGTTCTAGAATGTTTTATGATAGCTAGAACCTTATGGCATCTTCAGTTGAACATCGAAACAATTCGATTTTCGATATATCGTCAGTCAATAAATAGATATGAGTATACAACATTAAGTGACGAGAAAATTTTACAACCACTTATCACCTCTGCAGGTTTCCTTATTTCTTAGTTGTTTAGCACAGTCAGTCACCTAAATTAATTGTTGGTATAGGATATATCGAAGAAAAAATGTAGATGTAATTACATCGATTGTGAGCTCAGTGACAATAATATAATACGATAATAGTCTATTTCAATTTCTTTAATGCTGTCCAGATGCCATTAGCGACCAGCGCAATATTAACGGATAGTGTTAACTGTTTGGCATCAAGTATCCACGAAACAATCGGTTAATAGTTAATCCACTTGACTTCTAAAAAAGCCTGCTACAACATTTATTCACCGATAAATTTTAGGCAAAGATTTCCGTTGATTTATTATAATTAAATATGGAACGTTAAGAAAATCTATCTCAGCCATAAAATTATTCAAATCAAAACTGGACTAATATAAAGAACCACTATATAGTAGATAGTGAATAGCTGTTTTATCTTCATGTACGTTAAAACTCATGACTATTTCTTATGAAAAAGCCTGAGAATTTCAGTTATCATACAGTTACTTAACTGACATTCAGTGAATATTACGTTCCAGTTACAATGGAATTTTAAAGTAACCATACTAAATTGGTTCATTGATGATCGAAATACCTGAAAAAGTTAACTTTTGCCAAGTTAATCACTAATATTTAATAGTCTTCTTTACGTTAGGAGTTTCATAAACAAGAATAACCGAAATATATAATAGAACAAGAAATTAAAAATAAATAAACATTGATAGTAACGGTTTCACTTGAATTCAGGATTCACCCGAATAAGATGAAATTCAAATCTTCTAAGTTCGTTAACAAACTTCACAGAACATCACTCGAACTGATAAGAATCAATAGTTCTCATAAATCATGACTGTATTTTTTTCAAAGATGATCAAACTGAATATTTTCTTTGTTAACTTTCATAGTAATAAAATTCAATCGGCGAACAATATTTTTACAATTGGTCAATGTAATTTTAGAAAGAGTTCATGTTAGTCAAATTAATTTGATTCAATCATGTTTAAATGAAATACGTACATGGTTGAATCATCGTGATCAATTACTTGTTAAATCATGTCAATCCTATGAAACAACAGATATAATGAAATTAAATGATAATATGAATGCAACCAGTCTAGATAAGACAAAATCAGCGGGCTATTCGCAAGTAAGTCGTGTTATATATATATATATATATATATATATATATATATATATATATATATATATATATATATATATATATATATATATATATATATATATATATAATATTGATGTTTTCTAGTTGTTGAAGCGGCAAAATTATATACGACAAATATAAAGCTCTTATTGTATTCATAGAAAAAGAGTAATTCGCTTACCAATTACTGGATTATCCAACACGTTTAAACTATAGTGTTTTTTAAGGTTAGTGATACTATCCAGCTTGTTGAACTGACGTAGACAAAGCAGGATTCAAAATCTTTGATCTATAAATTGAAGGTTAAGTGTTTCAATTACAAAAAATGATCTACTTATGGTCTGTTTATAACAGATTCTTATTACGCAATTAGAGTTTTATAAGCTGGATAAATTTAAACGATAGTTCGATCATATTGTTTATTAATAGTCCGTATCACTTGTTTCGTTGGAATACTGTCAGATTGCTCAGGAAACTAAAATAATTTGATAATTCAAACAATATGAACATGCATTTTACATGCAAGTTTCCATTTATTATGTTGAAGAGAGCAAAAGTAAACATTTGAACACATAATGACTTTACCTGGAATTTATAGTAACAATGTGTATAAATGTAAGAGGTTCAATAAAAACATTACGAATATTATCTTACATCAATTTAGAAATATAAATTACTTTATACGTTGGTTCATTGACTAGAGAGAAAGAATTCACTTTGCTCAATTTATTAAAGATTTTAACGAGATATACTTGTAAGAATTAGAAAAGATGAACAGCATTGAATTTCACTGAACCTTTGAGTACTGCTAAATTACGGTGAAAATAAAATTTCAAAAGTCTCTAAATGATCAGTTCGTAATTCAAGCATTAAATAACTATTAATAAATAACCATGATATGTTCATACTAATTTTCATGTCCTAAAGGACAATTTATTCGCTACTAACCTTACCTAGTATCTATCTCACCACGAAACGTTGAAATGAGGTTGTAAGGATTACACTTCACCCATAATTAACTGAGAATTCAATTTATATTTTGTAAGTTAGATGAAAGGTTACGTCTTTTCTTTCAGGAAATGAATCACCTGTTCAGTTTGCTAACTGATTATTACTCGCACAAAATGAGACGTATGAAACTGAGAAATGTATGCCAAGATGAATGGACACAACGTTCACAGGTGAGACAAAGGATCATTTACTTTTGGTGAAACTATGAAAACTTTTCTAACCTCAACTACACGGATCCTAAATAAAATAAATAGACAGTTTCGTTATTCAACTGAGTGATATTATATGATAGAAGAAAAATATCCTCAAAGTTGAAGACGTTCAGTTATCGTATATTCATCATGTTAAATCCTTAAAATTATCCCATCAAGCAAGTTTTCGAATGCTCCACATAGATAACTATGCATTTTACGATGCAATGCACGAATACATACAAATATGGTAATTAAAGAAAATCAGAAACAAAGTAGAAAGTCAAATTTTCAAACGGCACTTCGAGTTGATTGGAGAAATTTAAAAATATAACTTGTGAAATCGAAGCACGTTAGGAGCAAATTGTGATTTTAAACGAGAGTGCAAGTAATTGGATAGGGTGTTATTGCAAAGGCCTCAGATCTCGGTTACGAACTCATGAAACTATGAAGGGAATAATAATACTAAGCTATTTATCCAACTAAGTAAACCAGAATTCATGAGAAATATTACCAATATTGTATAAATTTAATACAATACTAGTAAATTATTAATGGTAGCAAAGTGTGTTTAATTGACACATCATATCTCATTGTTTAGCTTCCGTTGCTTGGTAAACTATCAAGGATTGTGCTATTAAAACTAATTCTTTCTTCATAAGAACACAAAGTACAACAGTTTATGTTTTATTTTCCTCCAGTTCAATCTACTGCAGGCACAAACTGAACAAAATGAATTATTGGAGAAATGGCAACCGATTATTGTTCAGACAGAAGTATTGGTGAAGATGTAATATATATATACCCATTTAGTATTAATTTTACTATTTATCGAATTTCAGCGTACCGTATACTAACAACTAAATGAATTACTGCTTAAAATAAACAATAATTCCACGTGAATTTAGTGTATAAACCTATCAATATCACCTAAAATCCAGTTTTCGATAAGTGGATCTCCACGTGAAATACGTACAAAGGAACACATATTTACAAATCTGGTCATCATTATTATCTTTTAGAAAACATTTAAATCTAACTTTAGATAGCCTGTCTGTTTATTTACTGATACCTTAGTTTAAGAAAAGGTTTTCCGTAAGCAGAACCAGTAAATACCTAAGACAGAAAATCCTTTTCCCAATTATATTGCCAAAGGCGATTCTAATTGGAGGAAATTTTAACTACAACAATTCATTAGTTGACCACAACCGTAAATTAGCATGGTACTAACGAGTACTGACGAAACTAAACAAAAACTTTTCACCACATGATTATATGTGATTACTTCTATATGAAATAATCCATAGTAGGAGGACCTCATAGAATAAGTGTAAGCACATCTAAGCTGTATACACCACGTCTATCCCGACTATATTTTTACTAATTGGATTTTATAAGACGGTTGTGATTAGAAGACCAACTTTTGTGTGATCTGATATCAAAAGAAAACTGCTCAGTTAAGAAGTGGGTCTATGAGAAGAGGATAGATGATCTAAACGTCGATGACACTTAGATTCTCCTTATATACTCAACCCTACTTACCATACACTGAATAAAGAAATCCAGTACCATTAAGTAATGGGTAGATTTATAAATAAAGCCTAACAAAAGTATATACCCTGCATAATCACTGTGAACATACAATTGTAGCCTCAAACTTCCATGACTAACAATGGTCTCATGTGACACTTTACTTCTTGCCAATTAGACCGATTAATGAAATTCAGTCTCAATGTTTTATTAAAATAAAGCTCTGAGGCCTATTTTCTGAAAGCAATTTAGTCACTGGGAACTAAGTAATCAGAAGTTTAATTTGAAGGTATAAGAGTATCACAAGAAAAATCTGATTCATATAACAGAGAATAGTATGGGCTATATAAGTGAAGAGATATCGTTATTAAGAAACAAAGAGAGAGTGCAATTAAATACAGTAAGTAAATAAGAATGGAATATAAAATGAGATACAGTTAACTAGAAATACAACAGAAGATTTCTCCTTCAGTTGAGAAAACTCATCTCGCGATTCTGATGTATGAAGGAAAAATACAGTAGGTTTTCCAATGGCATCCTTTATGAGCAGTGTCCGGTAGCACCTTAAGCCACCGAATTTCGCGATCTCTAGGATCTCAACCAGTCTCCATAAACTGACAGATGCCAGTCCTAAGTAATTTTCTTTCATGCCACGGTGACACGTCATAAATTGATCACTTCTTCGAGCCTATTACAGCCCGTGCCGTTGCCGGAAATTAATGCACAACAAAGAATCGCTAAGACATCCGTCCAAACCACCGAAGCTGGTGTCTCACTGATGACACCAAATGACTATCGTGAAAATGCTCATGCACATATTACCAAACCTTGGGATATACTTTTCTAAACAATAATCAGTTCTCTGATCAGGAGTTCGACAATATTTTAAAGACGATCCAGGGGTGTCTTCTAAGCCCCTTTATTTGTAAGGCTTCAGAAGTTGAAGTTCAGTGCGTACATCTATCTCGTTAAGTATATTGATGGTCACCGACTAAAAAGTACAGGAAATTCTGACCGACGTTGCTGGGGTGACAGACCAGTTTGACTATTAGTCAGAAAGCTATATTCATCATCGAAGACACCATCGTACGTTACTAACTGCGGGTTCAACAGATTGCTTCACTGACACTTCATTTCTCGCTCGGATGAGTTGAAATAGCCAATGACAATTACTAAGAATATCTACTGTTTCCAATTCGTTAGCGCAAACCAACCCCCAGAGTTATCGGTCCCTAAGAAAACGGGGAAATGTTTAATGTAGGGGTCCATGTTTATCATTAAACCCATGGTCGGCTGGAGACGTGTCTCAAAGTATTGTAAGGATCTTGAAGAAGCCCAATAATTGTTGGTGTGGCGTTCCACGAGTGACTTTACCAACCAACTTCGTGACGTCATATAGATGTAGCCAAACCCTACTTATATTATACAGTGGACTGGTAGTTAACCTTGAACGTAAAATAACTAAACCACAGTATAATCTTCCGAATATTGGTGTTCAGATCACTCGATTCAGGTAATGTTTTGGTAACTACAAAGTGCATATTTTATTGATAACTTTTTTCATTGTCCATGAACTTGTGTAGGGAACAATTGGAGTGGTTCACATACTATAAAGACAATATTATTATTGATTATGATCAAACACTAACTGAAAGTTTGCTAGACAAACAGAGTAAAATGAATCTCAGAAAATCGATAAACCATATAGACAATAAAAAATTGGACAGATTGGTTTTCAGCGTACCACAAGGAAGCACCAGAGCAGGTAGGTTGATTTAATAAATTATTAACAATCTGAAACAATTGCAGTAATTTACTTTTCTTAAAAAGCCATTTCATATGAACATAACCCAACACATATTTTCCCATACAGTTACAGAACTTCTTTGGGGTTACAGCAAATTATCGATCATTCTGAAAAACCAACACTGCATTTTGAAATACAGAATCGACCATTACGTTTTTAGCGTATAGTGTGTGTCAGTTTCAAAGTCAACAAATAAAGTGGAGAATTTTAGCAAGATTACAAGTCCTACAGCACACCTTCGACTTCAAGAAATTGACTGTTCGAACACTTGTTTGGTTTGTTTCATAAACAGTAGTCATGAACGCAATGTTTTCATTAACTCCAGATTTGAAGTAGTGGTTTTATGTGGGTGATTATCAATCATGTCAATCGTTCACTTCAGACCTAATTACGCTGAAACGTCATTTTCAATAGTTATGAAGAAGCAAAATTAACTCAACAGAAGTAAACCGCCAAACCACTGTTTCGAATGCAACTGGTTAACTAGTGTTATTTCTGCGTACTTAACCAGAAAATCTGTAGGCGAAACGACAAGAAATTTAAAGTTCATGTCATTTATTCGATTAGACCTGTAATGTGGCAGACTTCCCTCTACTACACACCTACGGAGATCTTGATTACCCAATTTATTTCAAAGCATATGACTGTGCACTTCCAGTGTGAAAAATACTATTCAGAATATCTTAACCACGTAAAACGCTAACGATTTAGTCCAATTAAGCGAGAACGGAAGGAAGATTATAAAGAAACGATAAGCGCGACGAAGTGTGATCACGTGAAATACCGACTTCAAATCCTAAATACTGCTGATACTCCTGGGCAAACTTGCTGAGTCATGATCCTGTTTTGCCTCCTCAGTTTCGTAGAAGCAATACAGTTTCTCATACTTTAAGCAGACTAAAACTGCACAAATACAGAAAAAGAAAGAGATCGATATCTTTAACTTTATTAAGTCCAGTGAAGTTGCAAGTACAAAGTGACGATATGTGCATACCAAACTCATAAGTTTCACGATCATTTTTGAGACGAAAATACAAGTATACGGTAATCTTGGTAGCTGCTGATGGATAGGGTAGTGTCACATCAACTATGCGTACGTTAGTTGGTCATACCGAATGGTAGAAGTCTGCCAACAGATTTTGACGACCACGATAGGCCAGCAAATTACTGTGAAAAAAATTAATAGCAACATGGACTTACTAGATAAACCGTTCATCAGGGTGACAACCGATCGTTATGACACTCAAAATCGTTCAATGCTTTAAATTGACGAACGAGCAATTCCTCATCCTAGACGATAGCCGATTCGGTGAACGAACATACCTCGATTATGTCCTTTATACGTACAACACTCGGTGAAAAATCAAGCAATGGGAGGCATGAAGTATCACAACGTTGTTCGTGATTTGCAGTTATAAGACTCTGATTACTTTTCTAGCGTGAAGTTTTGAAACAATCAAAACTGCCTACCATTTTGTTAAGTGTGTCCTGAGTATATCTATCATATAGCTCAACAATTCTGTCTCTGCAAGCTACGCGTTTCTTTACAAGGTTCATCAACTCACAATTTAAAATCCCAGAGCCATCCATTTCAGTTTTACCGCGCTTTAATTCCATACAATAGCCAATGTGCGTCACCCTCGAAAGCATACTTCAGTCTTTTAATTGTGTAGTTAAAATGTTTTGTTGCATCCTCCAATTTTAAGCTTTACCAATTTGCAGCGTTCTTACGTCATGGAAATTAACGTTCATTACATCTGTGTTGTAGGATCAAAATCTTATATATATATATATATATATATATATATATATATATATATATATATATATATAATGATCCAATGTGTATCATTTGAATAACAGATCAGTCAGAAAGTTGAATCATTGAATTCGAATAACCATTGGTAGTTAAAGCCACGTTTTACATGTGATTTATCAATAAACATCACTTTGCTCCATCGTCGTTGAACTGGTTCGAGCACATCCGCTTTTTACTTGAAAGAGAGACTCGCTGATTGAATCACATAGTTCAAGTGCTGCCCCACAAATTCGAGTAGAATGTAAAGGAACCTTTTCAGATACTGTACTTGAATCCACAAAAGATACATTTACCTGCATTATTCTATCTTTCACTGCAGTTCACTCTTCCCTTTTAATGAGGGGTTTTGTCAAGCATGATTGGGCTTTTCTAAAACCATGTTGTTCCCTGGCCTTAAAGTTATTCGTTTTCATATGGATAGTTTTTTCTATTTGTTCGACGATGACACTGGTGAAACTAACTAAGAATTTTCCCCACAGATAATAGACCAAACTGATTACTGCGTGTTTCCAATAGCTTGAGAGTTTCGACTGTCTCAAAGACTTAATAAACAGTATCGCAAAAGGTACTAACATAACATCCTCCAGGGCTTTCACAATTACTTACTTACTTACGCCTGTTACTCCTCGTGAAGGAGCATAGGCCACTCACCAGCATTCTCCATCCAACCCTGTCCTGGGCAATCCTTTCTAGCTCCGTCCAGTTGTAATTCATCCTTTTCATATCTGCTTCTATTATCCGACGCAATGTGTTCTTTGGCCTTCCTCTTTTTCGCTTCCCTTCAGGATTCCAAGTTAGGGCTTGCCTCGTGATGCAGTTTGACGATTTGCGTAATGTATGTCCTATCCATTTCCATCGTCTTTTCCTAATTTCTTCTTCAGCTGGAAGTTGGTTTGTTCTCTCCCACAGAAGGCTATTGCTGATGGTATCCGGCCAATGGATGTTGAGTATCTTGCGTAGACAGCTATTTATAAATACTTGTACTTTCTTGATTGTGGTTGTTGTAGTTCTCCAAGTTTCAGCTCCATACAGTAGAACTGCCTTGACGTTCGTATTGAAGATTCTCACTTTGATATTGGTTGAAAGTTGTTTTGAGTTCCATATGTTCTTCAATTGTAGGAATGCGACCCTTGCTTTGCCGATCCTCGCCTTTACGTCTGCATCTGAACCTCCTTGTTCATCGATGATGCTTCCCAGGTATGTGAAGGACTCTACATCTTCCAGAGTTTCGCCATCAAGAGTGATTGGATTGCTGTTCTCCGCTTGAATTTGAGGACCTTGGTTTTCCCTTTGTGTATGCTGAGGCCTACTGATGCAGAGACTGCTGCTACACTGGCTGTCTTCATCTGCATCTGTTCGTGTGTACGTGATAGGAGGGCTAGGTCGTCTGCGAAGTCCAAATCGTCTAATTGATTCTGAGCTGTCCATTGTATTCCGTGTTTTCCTTCAGATGTTGAGGTCTTCATAATCCAGTCGACCACCAGAAGAAAGAGGAAGGGAGAGAGTAAACAGCCTTGTCTGACTCCAGTCCTTACTTGGAATGCATCTGTCAGCTGTCCTCCATGCACTACTTTGCACTGTAGTCCGTCGTATGAGTTCCGGATAATGTTGACAATCTTCTCAGGAACTCCGTAGTGTCGAAGAAGTTTCCATAATGTCCTCCTATCTACACTGTCGAATGCCTTTTCATAATCAATGAAGTTGATGTATAGTGATGAGTTCCACTCAACTGATTGTTCGACGATGATCCGTAGTGTTGCAATTTGGTCTGTGCACGACCGATCCTTACGGAATCCAGCTTGTTGATCTCGAAGTTGGGCGTCTACTGCATCCTTCATCCGGTTCAGCAACACTCTGTTGAAGACTTTCCCTGGTATTGACAGTAGTGTAATGCCTCTGTAGTTTTCACATTTGCTCAGATCTCCTTTCTTTGGAATCTTGACGAGGTGTCCTTCTTTCCAGTCCATCGGCACTTGTTCCTCCTCCCAAATCTTTTTGAATAGAAGGTAAAGCATGCTTGTGGTTGCTTCGATGTCTGATTTCAGTGCTTCAGCTGGTATGTTGTCGGGTCCTGCTGCTTTCCCGTTCTTGATTTGTCTGACGGCCATTCTAATTTCTTCCGTCGTTGGTGGGTTGACATCTATAGGAAGATCTATGTGTGCTGCTTCGATGTCCGGTGGATTCATTGGAGCCGGCCTATTCAGGAGTTCCTCGAAGTATTCTACCCATCTGTTACGCTGTTGTTGAATTTCGGTGATTGGCTTGCCTTCTTTGTCTTTGACCGGCCTCTCTGGTTTACTGTATTTCCCTGCTAGTTTCTTCGTTGTATCGTGAAGCTGTTTCATATTTCCTTCTCTAGCAGCTTTTTCTGCCGTCGTTGCTAGTTCTTCCACGTATTTCTTCTTGTCGGCTCTAATGCTCCTCTTCACTTGTTTGTTTGCTTCTATGTATTCAGCTTGTGCTTGGACTTTCTCTGCTCGTGTTCGGCTGTTGTTAATTGCTGCCTTCTTGTTCTTCCTTTCTTTGATCTTGTCCAGTGTTTCTATAGAGATCCATTCCTTATGATGGTGTTTCTTTAGGCCCAGAACCTCTTGACACGTTGAAGTTAATGCTTCCTTGATGCCTTTCCAGTTGTCCTCCATAGTAGTTTCTTCTTCATTCAGTAGATCTTGTAAGGCTTGGAACCTGTTGTTGAGAGCTATCTTGAATTCATTGAGTTTGTCAGTATCTCGAAGGAAGGCTGTATTGAACCTTTGTAGTGCTGTTTGTCCACTTGTCCAGTTCTTTTTTAGCTTCAGTTTTAAATTGGCTACAACTAGGTGGTGATCTGAAGCTACGTCAGCACCTCTCCTGGTTCTCACATCTTCCATTGTCCTTCGGAATTTTTTGTTGATGCAAATATGATCTATTTGGTTCTCTGTAGTGTGGTCCGGTGAGATCCATGTAGCCTTGTGTATACGCTTGTGTGGAAATATTGTGCCTCCTATGACCAATTTGTTGAATGCACACAGATTTGCAAATCTTTCTCCATTTTCGTTTCTTTCTCCCAGTCCATGTCGTCCCATAATATCTTCATATCCAGTGTTGTCTATTCCGACTTTGGCATTTAGATCTCCCATCAGAATAGTTAGGTCCTTTCTTCGGCATTTCTCAATGATTGACTGCAGCCGCTCGTAGAACTGATCTTTAATGTCGTCGTTGCTATCATTGGTGGGTGCATAACATTGGATAATATTCATTAAGATCCCCTCCTTCTTTGTTTTGAATGATGCTTTGATGATTCTGGATCCGTGAGACTCCCATCCTACAAGTGCATTTCGTGCTACTTTGGACAGCATAAGAGCGACTCCCTGAGTGTGTGGAGCATTTTCCTCTTCGTGACCGGAGTATAGCAGCATCTCTCCCGTAGCTAGCCTTTTCTGTCCAGCTTGGGTCCAGTGGGTTTCGCTGATTCCCAGTACTGCTAAGTTGTATCTCCTCATTTCCATTGCTATTTGACTGGTCTTCCCGGTTTCCCACATTGTTCGAACGTTCCATGTACCTATAAAAATTTTTGCTCTGGTTGTTAGAAGGGGCATCGGCCTCGTGGCTTCCGAAGGAACTCGGCTTTCACCATGAAGCGTCATAATTCTTCTAACTGAAGACCTTCTAACTCCCAGGGCAGAGTTTAAATGGTTTGGATTATTTTTTCTGGTAAGCGTTTTTTTAGCGAGTTAGTTTTCTACGGGATGGGGACGCTAACCCCATGCCCAACCCTCCTCCTTTATCCGGGCTTGGGACCGGCAGTAACCCTGTTAGAGCTACAGGCGGAGTTAGGGCTTTCACAATCCTACAATAAATTTCGTTAGGACCGCTACATTTATCCGGTTTGAGATGTTGAATAATCATAAGACAGCCCCTTTTTCAATAACCAGAGGATCCATAGATAAGCCACCATTAACATGTCTTATTGTTATCCTTTCCCCATTGTCAATAAACACACTTTATTAAAATGTCCTGATAGAAATTTAGATATAGTAACGTCATATCTAGCCAGTTTCAACAACATTTTCGTGCTAGAAGCGAGGGAATTCCATCGCTTCTCTGAGTTCACCTCTTTATGTGAAAGAACAACTCTTCAGGACTGTTTTCATAAATCCTAAGCCGTTGTTTTTATACAAACGTACAGCCCTGTCAACTTTTTGCAAGAGTAACTAGACTTTCAATGAATAGATTCGTATTATCCAAAGCTTGTAGAGATAGGCACACTTCCTACGTCCAAGACGTTTTTTCACCTGTTCAGTTACCGACGAAAGGATTTACTAGGTTACATCGCACTGATTAGTATATGAAGCGGAACGAAACTAAGGTAAGTGGGCCTTTGAATATAGACCACTCGTTCAATGGATGAGTTACTGTATACTGACCAGCCCGTTGATGCAGCACACTCATGTATGGATGTTATGTTTGCTTTCCACACATTTAGGAGAGCTCCAACCTGATCATACATTATGTCACACGTCCTAAGTAAAAAATGATGTCTATTTGCTGACATGAAATATTATCGGTCTCACGAGTGATTGCTGAGTCTAATAAAGAAAGTTCTTGTTCTGAATCTAAACATGCGGGCTCGGATATATACTTTACCAAGACAAGCACCATGATCATCATCGGGAGCTTGCTATCGAAAGAAATCACACGGCGTCTATCTCTGTCCAATTATTATCAGGTACATAAAGATCATCTGGTATCAGACACCAGTTATTCTCGTGAAATGGTCGAATGTGTTCTAAAATGAAGCCATCAGCCTAGCAGATGACTCCTTCGAGGGTGAGTTCACAGTCAATGACTCAACAGCTTCTAGTAAAGGAACGGATTTTCATAACGTTAGTTATGCATATAGGGATCCCACCCCACTTTCGTTATCTATTCTTATCACTTCTAGGCAGTTGTATCCTGATTATTGTAGAGTAACGCCGAAGTTACTAACCCATCATTTTTAAGTTGCAGCTACAAGGGGTGGCTTTTATTCATTCACTACTACTCCTGGTTCGTGGAATTCATTTTACGGACTACGGACATCTGTATATAAAATTCTCAAAGAGGATGATTTATCTACACAGGTCTCGGTAACATTTATTTACAAGATCTGACTACTTAAAAACTCATTAAGCAGTTGTTTCCTTCCCTACTATGTCGACGGTTCTTTAGTTTAGCTATTTCTTTCTTCCATTTTGATCAATCTTCTAGAAGCAAATTAAGTTTTGCAAGAAAGTCAAGGCTTCGAATACTTGTTAACGAAAATTTCATTGTTCTTTCAAATCCAAATTTGCTTTCAAAAATAAACATGGTCGGGGTTCCTCCTTTATTCAGTTCTCTTATCTATTTTTACCAACTTTTTGGTCTGTATTCTGGAACAGTTATTTAGTAAGATGGTACTAATAAATGTTCAACCTTTTCAAATCAATGAACTTATTTGAATTTTGGTCAGGGTTGTCTGGCTCTAGCAATCAACGTACAATAATATTCCATAAAGTCTAGCTGTTTCTTTGTATGCTTGCGTTAAGTATAGTCTTACTTCTGTGGCTCAGGAAGGGAGTTTACCAAAGACAATCCAATCAAACAGGCTGTTGTGACAGGTGTGGGTTGTTATTTGGCTTTATTTTTCCGTGTTTCGTAATCAGATGTTGGACTCCTTCAGTACTCTGTAGTGTGGCGTCGAGTCGCGGTTGACTATGATCACCACTACAGGAAGACTACGTGCCAGTTAACTGATAATATCCCCCGCAAGTCAAATATCAGAAGGGAGTTGATGACTGTAGTAGAGCTGTATTCGTTGGCGATCTTGTGTTATCGAAAGAATACCGAGATCGTGCCAGGCTACAAGTGTGGTTACTAAGCGTAACCGAATTCGTGCAAGGTCACAACCAGCGGAAGAATGCATGTTTTGGTACAGTTAAACAATCAAGCATGGTAAAACAACACCTGGTACAATTGGTTATAATAATAATTGTTTCCATTACATCAGTAACGTTCTCTTAATAGAAGTAGGTCACTACAACTTCTCTAGAACTTTCCATGCTAGTACGTACTTCAATGTCAGTGTAGTGACGAATGTATTTGAATACGGAATTGCAGAACAACATAGTAAAATCTAAGAGCCATACAGTAAACACTTAATTTGCAAAATGTCAATCAATCGTCTCAAACTTGACTGTTCCTTTTGCAAATATCAGTCAATCGTCTCAGACTTCATTGTCATTTCATTTCCACATCAATCATTCTTTGTCCTTATTCTATTTTCTTTGACCTTATTAACTTTCTGCCGCCAGGCATTTCACTTTTTATTGATGATACATACTACTCATATCTGGCAAAATCAGTAGCACACACCGCATCAGTAGTCAAGTTACCAGTGCAGCCATCATCAACTTTCTTGATGACCAGCCACAGAAGGCGTTTGGTGGCCCTTTGTTCTGACTCCAATTTAGAATGTACGAGTGTTTGCTGTCGCCTTATTCTCGTATATCATTGTCGACTTAAATCGCGTTATCCAATAACAGAATTAAATAAGTCGAATAACGAGAATTGACTTGAGAATACATATATTTCGTACATGAAGTGGATGAAGCACAGCAAAGCAAAACGACACGTATGGAAGATGGCTGGGAAGCCAACTCCATTTTAATCAAGCGTTACTCAATATTTATAGGCAGACAAAATAAAGCTACAGACATGTGATGAGTCATGGGACATGAAGTGTTCACACATATACGCTCATATGAAAACAGTCAAGGCCAATAAACGAATAATTGACAAGGTCAAAATATGACTCAAGTAGAATGAATAGAATGGAATGTCCGAAAACTAGAATGTAAGATATATGGGCTTAAAATAATGACCGACACTACAGGCGCATCACCTCTGAGATCAGTTTATGTATTACTCAGTCACAACAAAATTAAAAATTAAATGTCTAAGTTATGAGACGGACGTTAAAGTAAATACCGACAAAAATTTTAAAATGCTCTGGTCACTTTTCTTCGTGTATGTGTGGAAATATTTATTCCAAACTTCTATTATTTATGGCGCTACTACTCAATTATTAGACCAACGTTGTCGTCGATACCAGTATTAAAAATTCATCTCATCGCAGTTTTAGAGGAGACCTGTATCATTGAACTATGATGGCCCTATAACCTCTAAATGTCGGCTGGATTAGTCATTCTTTCAATAAAATTTATCACTTATTTGTCGGTCTTCCAATGTAGATCATATTCAAGTTGAATGATAATTTGGTTGAGATTTTGTGTTACTTACCTCTCGGTACAATTTAATACCTAACCTGGTTTATTCTCATGTTACTAACAGGTTAAGCGGATTCTTTGGTGACTGAGTCAAGTAATTAGAATTTTATTAAATTATCATAGTTGGATAAAATGGACAGATTACATACGTGCACTACTGTATGGATAAATTCATAGGGTTCAGATGGTTAATCTTTGTTAGTATCACCCAACTTTAACAATCTTCGGCAAACTGTTTAACGTTTGGTGATTCGATTTTCAACATAGAAACGATGCAACTTAATGGATGATTTAGCTAAAACTTTGGTATATTTTGCTGGCCCTATGCACTTATTGACTTTGTGTATTTAAATGACACACTGCTGTTTGATAAAGTCGCTAACAAAATGAAGTCTTCCGATCACCTTAAGTAAAGACAAAAACATTTCTCTTAACATATTTTTCGCTCCCTTAATTCAAAACATTTCCCTAATACTCTTCTGCAATAACGTCAAGACAGTTTGATAAGCAGTTTGATTGTTTAGCTCATCAACTACTACACTTATCATGAATATCTCATCAGTCTTGACTGCCTGCTGCATGGCAATATCTGGACCAACGTCTGTCACTCTGAATTTTTTTGTGGAAGCATACTGTGTAGATTTCCATAACGTATACGCTATGCATCTGAAACATCATCTTTAAAAGCCGAAGACATTCTTAAATCATCAGTCTCCGCCTATATTTGTCTTCTTAGTGTTGCCCGTGTATTTTTGGTTCACTGACTGACCAATATTGTGATAAGACCTAGGGGAGCAAGTAAACACGGCAAATTGGGTGACAAAATCTTTAATGATTATCGATTGCGGTGGTTGGTATGATACGTTCGTCAAACACGTGGCTAACGAGGATGAGATGCTCATTATTATGTGCTGTTTTATAAGTGCTATGGATAGTTTTTGTGTCCATTTTTCTTATTACATAGGAGGTTAGTGAATGAGAGTTATTCGTCCTTAGAACATGTCATCATTTGATTGGCTTAGTTATAAACTTGAGAATTCTGAGTATGTTTATTATTGTTGTGGACTTATTTGGTCGATCTGTCTCTCACAGTGTATTAATTTGAAATGGTTGCGATGCTTGAATGTCATCGCACTACTGATCAGCTGTTTATAAATAAGTGAAATCGAAGTTTAAGAGGCATTTGGAGATTCAAGGATATACTGAAGCCATGAAGCGAAAGAGTGAATGATCTTTTTGCCCATCCGAACAACAAAAAATCTGAGTTCATCAGTTTTTGCGCCGCATGTTCAAACGTATGTGGGGAAAGGACAATTACAGTTTATTGAAAATGCTTCTGAAATTGAACTGTTTTGCTGCCAGTTAATCCACACAAATACGCTTTTGAATTATTACTTCATTTGTGTTGTTGCTCAACAGATGGATTACAAGTGACTGAAACCATTTATTAAAACAAGGTTGAAACGAAAATGAGTTCTTCTCTAATTATGATTGAAAATACAAGCTGCATATTAACTTATACTTTAGAAAAAATTTGCCTAAAATGCCTCACTTTAAAGTAAATACACATTTTCCTTATAAATCCAAGAGTTAGAAATGTTTATGTCAACTCACCCTCATCTTAAGGTGTAACTTACGAAATACAAATCAGAACTGATATTAAGAACGAACGTAAGCGGAACATAAAATATTCCTTTGTCAAAGTACATCTCTTACTAAACATATATTTCTTCAGCTTAATATAAAAATAAGTAATATGAACGCTGATTGCAATTTTTGAACAAATTATTTTCTAATGTTATATAATAGTTATGTATTTTATATTTTAGAAATGTCTGACAAGTTTTGTAAAAAAATCACTTGTTTGAGTCTTTTTCTAAGTGACAGTGAAATAAGTTATTTTGATTTTTGGTATAAATTTTAGCCGTAAAATGATCGATGTTTAATTTGATGCTTAAAATATCATGGAAATTCGGAAAGTGGAACATTTAAACTGTACAGTAATAATTTTGATTGTTGTTATTCGTTCAAATACCTATTTGATATATGCTAACAGTCTATGGATAGTCATAAATAATCACATTAGAGATGATTATGGAACGAGATCTACTTGTTTGTCTGAATTGACTTATCTCGATTCTGATATGTATTGAAATATTTGATTAAGTAGAAGAAACACTGAGTAGCTGCAGTTCATCGACGGAGTTTTACTTATCTAATTGTCAGTTAATTGTCCTAACATAAACTCATTATCTAAAAGATTACTTAAGAAATAAGAACATTTGTAGTAATCACTGACTGAATAATTAATGCAATATCTTTTCTACTTTTAACAGCTTATAAAGCATCCCAAGCTATATTCAATTATTTGGGTTCATTTGTTCAGGAACATCTATATGATACCCATAATTATGAAAAAAACGATAAAAATCAGTGTCCAGTTATGGAAAATGAACACGAAATAAATGAAGGTAATCAACAAATCGAATAACCTAACAGCAATTAGTTTTATTCTGATCCAAAACTAGGGATTTACTGCTTTTATTCACACCGATAGAAACTGGTACGATTTATCTGACTAATTTAATTTTAGTCATTTTTTTATGAGAGGTTCATACTGATAAAGACATGTTCACTTAAGTCAAATATTAAATTGAGTCTATTTTGTGAATAAATTACTGGCTACCTGTTCGCTGGCAAAATCCCTAGTTAGTTGATTGAAAATATCAATTCTATTTCAATCATATGGTCTTATGCCTAAGGTTCCTTTCAGTCAGTAACTGCGATTACTGTACACTTGTACATATCCATGGTGACCAATAAATGTGGGTTGAAAAACAAGTTAAAGATAGTTGGATCCCGGTAATCAGTTTCGTTAAAGCTGTGCTGTAACCTAACATGTTCGAAATTTACTACTAATAAACCCTTTTCAATGTAATTTAATAGTGAAGAGAAATTCTGAGAAGAATTATATCGAGTTTTGAAGATGTTGAAGCAAGTAAAATAAAATGGGTAGGAGAATTAGTCTATCAGAGTAATCTGTCATCAGCTAAACGAACAGAAGAATATAATGTAAACTAAGTAGATTCAACAATTGATTAGGTTTGAAACGAAAAAAAAGAAAAATATTACTTTCACATATGTTTCTGACTGTTAAGTAGAGAACTCCTTTTAATACGTCGATAGAACAAAGATAGAAAATTTATCTGATCATTTTCTAAATGACTTCTATAATTTGGCTAGTGACATATATACTCTTAGTTTTATCTTGATATGGGTAATACTCAAAATCATGCAACATAATTTGTTGGCAAAAATTGTGACTTGGAAAGAAGTTGGATAATGCAAAAGTTGGATAATGGAAAAGTAAAGCAGAAGGTTACAAAAACGGAAATGATTATCCTGAACAATTTAAACACGAGCATAACATAAATAAAACAGCATAGAAGAATACGATGTTGTTAGAGAATTCACAAGACAAACTTGATATTGATGCTGGATAATGGAGATATGCCTAGCTTATGGATACTAGCCAGCATGAAAATTTAGGTCCAAAGTTTGTTATTGACTAATTCTAACCATCAAACATCAAGGTAACTGAACAACCATTTTAAATTACCTAATCTGGTGATCATGTGATTAGAAGAGTTTAACAGGCCTTTAACGACTAATAATTTGTTTTCGTTGTCTACTTTACACATTAAGTAATAGTATCATTATGTCATAGAAATATTTTTACACAAAGAAAATAAATGAATATTTATTTACTGTTACCATTACAACCAAATGTGAATGTAAATGTATATTTAATTTGTTAAATAATTTAGACTTGATGATTATATTAATTATTAATATAAAGTTGATTGTACTAAAAATGACTAGAATGCTCAATTAGATTGACAATGAATAAGCAATTACAGATTTTTAGTTATTAGCTTAAATAAACTACCTTCTTACAAAACCGGTAATTATATGAAATACCCTCTAAGTGATTTGCTACATAAAATTACTGCTCATTTAATCATTTTTTTAGATTTTATTGACACTCAGTTTGTTCTAAAGTTATCAGACAACATTGAAAAAATCTTTGATTTTATAAAAAGATCAACAAATCTTGGATATCGAGCTAAATGTTGGCCAAAAGTGTATAATGCTGCAAAATTCTGTTGGAATGCAACATCATTATTAAGTTCACTGTTGTGTAAACTATCAGTATGGTGCAATGAAGCAAAAATACGCAGAGAAACAGATGTAAAGTTAGAAGCAAACATCAGAATAACTAACAAAAATTCACGTAAAGGAATAAATACAGACGGAGAGAAAAACTCACTCCAAACACAAGCACGTAATAGCTCAGTTTCGGAAATTATGAATTACTTAAAGCAATGTACAAATCGTAGAGCATTAGCCAACATTGCATGGTCTTGTTGGTTTATGTCTACTGATAATATCTTAGATTTATTTGGATCTTCACTGAATCATACGAAATCACAGAAACAAAGTCCAGATATGATGTAAGTTATAATATTCTATGCTAAAAGCCCATTAATCCTTATTTTGTATCATTATTTCATGTGTCTGTCAAGGTAAATTACCTGATTACATAGATCCTAGGCTAACTATATATATTCACTGTGTTACATTAATCATACCTTGAAGGCAATGTTTACGCAACGTCACCAAAAGACATGGAAGTACCATAAATTTTACTACAAATTTAGTAGAACCGACCTTTAATAGTAAACGTTTATGAATCTCTTTAAAATCGTTATGATAATCCATTTCTCCATGTCCTAAAGTTAATAACGAATAGTCTGACTTGCCGATATCGGTTTTATACAAGAAATATACAAAAGAAAACGTAAGATTTTATTTTTAACGCCATTAGTTTATTTATTTTCTTCTGGGTTTTTTATGAAATTAAACTTGTCATAAAACATACTAAAACTAGATGTATCACGCAAACGCAAAGTGTTCTATTAAATACTGTGACCCATTATATACATTAGAAATGTAAGAGTGAAGACAATAGCAAATATGATAATAGAGAATAAAACGACATACTGACTTTTACGCAAGAAGTGATACACTTGATTTTTTAAAAATAAGTTTCATTTTTATTGACCCATTAAAATGATAAGTGATGTGCCAAATTTATATACATACACAGTACTTTGTTTTTGATAATATGGAATTATCGTTAAAATGTCAAACTTGTTTGGATAAATAAGGGTAGAATGTTAATGGAAGACGGTAGACGTAAAGAATTGATAATGATATAAAAACATTAATATGGGGAACATTTGAATGATTTACACTTCCTTAATAACGTTTACGAACTACACTCATGACTGAATATATGTCTAATTTTGCAGTTCATTAAATAGTGATTTTCTATTCTGGTGAAGTTTTAGATGACAAACCAGAAATCTAGAGGCAACTTCAATGTAGGTTGCTGCATAAGTTTATGAAGAGGAAATATCTTTTTTTATATCTCTTTTATTGGATCGTCATGAAATCCTGAATCCACGTTTAATGCTGACTGGTATTCATTATCTGGGCGTATCCACAATATCTAAGGAACTGATTTCCCTATTAGATTCCAAATGATACTTGCATTTTACATTTGAAGATGTTACCATATTAGTACTTAGACTGAAAAAAGACCTTCGAAGAGTTATTGTGTGTGGAAGAAAATGATGCATTTTGCTTCATATTTAAGTAGTAACCATGCTTTTCTGGCCCCTAACGTTTCTTAGAGTTTTTTAGCGAGGTAGTTTTCTACGGGATGGGGTTGCTCACCTCATACCCAACTCTCCTCCTTTTTCCGGGCATAGGATCGGCATTAGTGTCAGAGGGGCTCCAGGTGGAGTTTTTTAGCCTTTAGTATTGACCAAATATAATCATTTGCGTCACAATGCTATCGTTAGCCAATGAGACACTATATTAACGTGTATCATATTTGATGTTAACTGGCTGAAACGCATCAGTAGAAAGCCATAAAACTAGGTTTCATAATAACAGATAAGTCTGTAATCCTGAAAACCGCTTATTTTCCCTGTGATACACAAGACAACATTATAAAGAAGACAAATATGACATTGATTTTTACTTCGTGATCGCATTAAGTTCAAATGAACTCAGTTTCCAACTATAAAGATATGATTAATTTATAGAATTACAGTTTGTTTGTTATTCATTTTGTTGTTTAACTTGGTGGTTACATTAAATCATAAGTAGAAAACAAAAAGGATTTCAACTATCAATGACTTTATTAATTTTAAACCATTATCTATCTAAATTATTAGTCATATAAAAAGACAATCAAATGTCCTACTTATTATCATGTTACAATGAAACCTCATATTTCATTTGCAATCACCAACCTTTTGTAACATTATATGTATGAACATTTTAAACCATACGGTTTTACTGCGTGCTCTTAGTAATTAATTTGAAATCACACCAAAAAATTTTTTTGTTTTAAAATTTACTTACCTCTCTTTGTATAAATTATTTTTAACTACTGTCAGTTAGATTTAGTTTGAGGAGGGGAGGGCGGGGTAAAAGTGAAGAAAAAAAGTTTAATAGATGATTTTAGGCAAAGAGAAATTGATTCACTGATTTGTTTTTTTTTATTTATTAAAAATAATAAAGTTGAACTAATGAGAGGGGGGGGAAAGATAACCTAAAATGCAGTTTTGTTTTCTCTTCTATATAAAATTATTTCAATACATTTAACATCTGCTGCATTTCAACGTGACCAGTTTATTTTTATCTTTAAAGAATTATGTACTGATTAAACATATTGTAAAAGAAAAAAATTTTATTTTTTTACATTTTGTTAAAATTGTTTTATTTTATTGATTTTCAAAAAAATTCTTTTAGAATGATTGGTTAAATGAACAATCGGGAAAGATTTGGCGATCAGAAATAATGAATAATCAACTTGATATAGACTGGAATTGGTTACATTGTTTTATATTGAAAGCATTAGAGATAATATGTCGTGCATCTAAATGGGAATATCTGACTTATTTAGGGTTAAAAGCAGTAGGTACATTGGGGTAAGTAGTAATTATTTTTAACATAAAGAAAATAAAACAAAACGTTGGGATGTTTTTGTTCAATTATGAATTCAGTTATTTGTGGTCAACTTATTCAATACTATAGTAATTTGATTGAGATCATGAATCGATTGATGTCAGATCACTATTGAAAACCTGGAAGCACTTGACGGCTGTTTCGTCCTATGATGGGACTCCTTAGCAACGCTCGTCCACGATTCTACTCGTGGAATCCTTTAGTAATTATACCGACGACTTGTCTCTGAATTTTTAAAATATACACTAGCTGAAATGATTACTTTAATACACTTATGGTAATGTAACATTTCATGTTGACCAAATAATGATGTAGTACGTACCAAATTCTATTTTGTTGGAAATTATTGATAACAAACGAGGGTGGCTTTAAATTTATGATTGATTCAGCTAGTAGGAATAATGATATATTAAAATCAGTGGGACAATACATATAAGTGAACAATATAGTTTTTAATTAAATTGCCATCAGGCTTTACTCTAATACAAATGAATATGAATATGAGTAATGAAAATATTTAAACCAGTTAAGGCAATTTATCTGTCAATAAAGTGTATGAATGAATGCAAAACTGCGCACCTTACGTAGCAAATATACTCTGTGACGAACAGGTTGTTAGAGTTAACCTAGTCAATAACCCGCATTCTTAACATGTCTCTAATTTTAAAAGTTGTACAGTTTTTCGGGTTTTTTTAAAAACATTTTTTTTGTATTTGTTACTGTGTTTTTTTGTTGTTGCGTAAGTAACTTGTTGAAATACCCTGTGCTGAGAATTCTATATTGTACCGAAATATGATATTGAATAAAGCCATTAATAATAAATAAATAAATAAAATACAATCTAATAGATTAGCGAGGCCGATTAACAGGAAATTTTACGCAACTAATCCAGAATCGGCATTTTCTATAAGACCAGTATTGTTTAGTAAAACATAGAATAGTTTATCCGAGTTGACCTCTTATGTTTGTATAAACATATTCAGCTGTTTGTTTATGAGGAGTTAGCTGTAATGGGAATAATACCGGGCAGCTTAACTAACTAATAGGTAAACATTTTCTCAATTGGTTTGAAATGGCCAAACAAAGACAATTCATAGCTTTACCTTTCCACTCCTGGTCAACAGTAGTTATATGATAATTAGAATCAAATCATTCCCAGTGATCTATTGTGTACATTTTCCGTTTCCCAATGTGATTCGACCCTGTCTCCTAAATATAGCGGGGGCTATGGGAATTCGAACCTATAACCCTAGTTTCTGTGTCCAGAACAAATTCGTGAGCTCTTTGTGTCTTTTATGCCGGGATATGATTCGATAAATCACTTTGCCAATTTTTTAACATCCTGTAATTGTCTGTCGTCCTTCACATCTTTCTGTTTACGTTCGTCACTATCTGATTATTTACACATACCTTAGTACGTAACTTCAATATTTCAAAGTTTCAAAGTTTGATCTACTTCCTGTTATTGAAATATTGATTAGAAATTTTTATTTTTATTGTTCTTACCAGTACTAGTACACCTATCTTCTTACTATAAAGTCCTACTTTTACCTACTATGTATACTTTTGCATTCATTCATACGTTTTATTGACGGATAAATTGCCTTAACTGGTTTAATTATTTTCATATACGCATATTCATATTCATTTGTATTAGAGTAAAGCCGGATAGTGATTTAGTTGAAAACAATATTGTTCACTTAGGTGTTGTTCTAATTTTCACGATAGAAATGTTTAATATACTTACATATGTTGAAAATGAAACAATTTGTTAAATAGTCTCTGTGGAATATATTAGTTATATAAAGCTTTATAATTTATCTAACCAAACGTTTTATGTATACACAAGGCAAATTACTTGGAAAGGGACTTGTAAGGAAATTATTTATTCGTTGCAAATATATGAATATTATCCTGTAGATAATCTATAATTATCGTTCGCTCAAGTAAGCGATATATTTTCTAAGTACTATTCCTTGTGTAGACAACAGAAATATAAGTACATAGTTTCTGTTTTAACATGTTTACTAAAAACCAAACACTTTAAATCATGAACAGTAAGCATAATTATCAACTTTCACCTTCTCAGTGAATAAATCTGACTATCTGGTTATTTTAATGTAGTTCATAAATTCAATGTAGGAAACCATGTTTAGTGTGTCAAATGAAGCTACACAAATAAGTATACCAAGGTTACAAAACTATTATTATCTAATCATTATACATTGCTTCTCATTGAATATTATGAATAGGATGTCAAACCATAGCGAAAGGTATTTATTATGATTAATATATCTGTAAAATAATCTAAATTGTTGTATACAATGTCAGGAAAAAATCTTGATGTAAATCCAACATTTTGCTTGATAATCTGGTTTAAGCTTTTTCAAAGAAATAATGTGAGATGGTGTTTATTTTTATTTCTTTTTTGTCACTTTTAAACGAAAATAAAGTTTGACAATTTACAATGAATAAACCCACCATAATACTGAAGAGAATCTTAAATTCGATGCATTATTATGTATAAGATTTTATAATCAATGTGTATTAAAATGAGTAAAAAAGAAATATTATTACTAACTAGAAAGTGGATAGTATTTCAATTATTCACTTAGGGTGGGGGCTGTTTGCTTTTTTCTTGTAAAAAATATGTCACAAAAGTAAATAATAAACAATTCGATCTTTTTTTGTGTGGAAAGTAATGAAATAGGTCTATATGACTGAATCCACTTACCACTTCCTTTTTATTTTCTTAAGATTCTTTTTGTAATAAAGTAACAACTTGAATAAGAAATAAAAAAATAAAAAAAAGAGAACTGCCTTAATATGGTGTGTGGCTTTTAAATAATTGAAGGATAAAATAAAAAGAACTTAAAATGAAAACAAACTGAAATTGTTTACACTACAGTATTGGTTTTAATCAGAGAAAAACACTTCCTTTCTTAACTTTATTATTGTGGTTACTTATATTGTTTTTCAAATAACTTGTTTATAAGAATTTTAAGAAAATCGCTTGATTTTTCTCTGTTTTGTTTTGTTTCTTTTTTATATAAATTTGGTAAAGAATTTGATTACGTAAAGTTGAATAATAGAGTATCCTGTTTTCTATAAAGTAAAAAAACAAAAAAAAAAAAAAAATGAAATCCAATTTACTAATAGGCAAAAACACACACAAAACAATATGAACATTAAGGGCTTAAGGATTAATAACCTAAATATAGAACATCATAAACAATACACTTAAACCAATTTAAGAGATTATATTATAGCATATTCGAATATTATAAGGTTTTGTTTTATATACTATTTCATAAAGTAAAAAGCAATTATATCAAACTCAAGTTGATCAAATATACAAAAATGCTTAGTTATAAAATTAGGATATTAGGAAAATATTATTTAGCAATAATGGAATACAGTATTGATTTCTACCTTCAATTACGAAGATAACCGGTTTATATTCTATACTAAAGTGAACAGTATAAATACTTTCAAGTATTTAGTTCATTTGATACATTACGATAGTGTATTAAGAAAAAGAAGATGAACAGAACTGTGTGATATATTAGCGCAATACATTTCGAACAATCTGATCACATATATACTTGTTAAGAAAATCTCTGTATAAAAATGAAACGTCAACTAGACTGGAAATGTTTCCTTATACTTCGTTTCCAGTCTACTTGACCACTTATTTCTATATACAAATGTTCTTAACAAATATCTCTGTAGGGGTTTTGTGGAGATTTTAGAAATTTCATTAGTTGAAATGGTGGATCAATTGAAGCTAGACCACGATGGGAAACCTGGAAATACTAGACAGCTGTTTCGTCTTGCTGAGGAGTTCCATACTAGGATGACACGGCCGTCCAATGCTTCAAGGTTTTCGATGGTGGTCTAGTTTCAATTGACTCATGATTTCAACCACTGAAATATATCTGTGATCAGATTGTTCGAAATGTATTACGCTAATATATCATCACATAGTTCTGACAAATAATTTACTTAATGATTGTATTATTTTAGGTTTATAACATTAGACACACTTTGGTAAACATTTATTTTATAAAATTTAATTAGGAAACATTGGGCACCAGGTATTTTACCTTTTATTATATTTGGACAAAATCAAATAATGAAACGATTAAAGAAACAGAAAACTACGAATACTACTATTAATGATATGAATAATATAGAACAAGTGAATGAAGATTTCAGTAAACTTGTTAATCGTTCACAAATACAATTATATTCAGCTTTGTATCACTACAATCTTATACAGGTAAATAAAAAAATTGAATTTCTCTTCAGTTTGCTTATACAAACTATAACAAAATGCATTTTTTGAAGTTTATGAATCAAGTTAATAGTTGAAATAAATGGTTTAATTCAGAACAGTTAAATGACAGTTGGTTATACGCAGTTACTCCAACATTGGAAAAAACAAACTTAATCAGTTTATGACTAGATCTGCTTTCGTTGTAAGTACTTTAGCAAGTATCACTCAAGTAAACAACAGTCATGTGTTTAAAACTGATCCAATTCAAGATAAATCTTAATTACTAGTATGAACAACTAAATTTCGAGTTAAAAATTTGCTGATTAAATAAAACAATCATTGTATCATACCGCAAGTCGACTGAACTTTGAAAAATGAATAATAGGATCTCTATTGAAATCTTTGATAGTTCTGTACTTTCTACGAGGCTAGAAAAACTTGGGTTTGATTATATGTAGGGTCCTGAGTTCACCGTGATAAGAACTGTCAATCTATGTTGAAACAGCCGTCTGAAAATATTGATTACTAAAGATTCGCGGTGGTGATATCAGTTGTATAATTTTATTAAACAAACTGTTTAAGAAAAGTGTGCTCGACTTAATGAGCATGAAATTAAAATGAAGTGACAATATCTAGTTACGACTAAGTTTCATTATGTTAGCATGTTTGACTATAATTAAACTGTGAAGTGTGGGTTTAGTTTCATCTTGAAAATTTATCATTGTAAACTCCATCCCCTCTTGATGGATTTGATTTTCGATAGCCTATTATATTAAGAATAATTGAATGAGTACCTGCAAGCACTTCTTACTCGAATAATTCATATGTTTAACTTGTTAATAAACAACTGATATGGTCTTGTGGTGTAAACGACTATTCAATTTAGTAAAATAATGATTAGATAGTTTTAGGCTGATTTTATTTTGAAATTAATAATGAACAAACTAATTTAAATCATTTTTTACTCTTTTTAACTAGTGGATATGACAAGGCTGACGTAACCAATGGTAATATTTTGTCAGTAAGATAGACTTGCCTTTTACAATTAGGTATGTCGGAACTCATACGTCATTTAAACACAATGCTCTGAAAAAAACAGTTAGGATATAGATGGTTTTTTTCACGCATATGTTGTAAAAGTTACTCAAAAACGTGCTAATTTCTATGTATCTAAACTCTACGTGACCTGAAGACTTGCGTAAATGTGTCTGGACAACTAGATTCGAAATTAGTTTACTTACATAATCAAGCAAGTCATTAGAACCTTTAACAGCTAATTTTTGCGCGGACAAATGGAAACCCAATCAAAATTATCATTCTGTTGAAAACAGTTGTAAAACGAATTTCAGTATGTTTAATGGCTTTTGCCTAAGAAATAATAGTTTAAAATGTTGTATTGTCAAGTAATTAAACGTAACGGACAAGAAATCCTGGGCCTAGGTTTTGTACTATTTGACACATATCAGCCACGTTTACCACAGTTAATCCGATCTCGTATCATTCAACTTCACGGTTTCAAATCTTACCACAGATATCTTCGGAATGCATTTGACTTTCCGCAGGTTTCAAATATCCTTATGACTGATGGATATCTGAGCAATGACTAATGTTGCAGACGTCAAGTCTTTTTTAGTCCTGATCGACGTCTACCAATCAAGTTATGATGTTCAGATTTTTATTCTGTTGAGTCAAACATTCTGATTAGTTTGAATGATTAACACTTAACTACTGATTCATTGTTCTATTTTTGCGCACAACTTGTTGTGAAATATGTGAAATCTGTTGCCTTTATTCAGAAAATAACATGACGTTACACAATTTATTTACATCTTTTTATAATATCATGAAATCCGTGGACTATCACTTACGAACAAAATACCTGGCAATGTCAGTTTGTCAATTAGTTTCCAAATAAGTAAATGAATCATATTAAACTGAATAATATCAGACGGATTTTGTGGAGATTGTAGTAATTTCAGCGGTTAAGATCATGAGTCAGTTGAAGCTAGACCACCATGGAAAACCTGGAAGCACTGGACGGCCGTTTCGTCCTATTGTGGGACTCCTCAGCAGTGCGCATCCACTACCATCCACGTCCAGTGCTTCCAGGTTTTCCATGGTGGTCTAGCTTCAACTGACTCATGATCTTAACCATTGAATAATAGTAAGTAAAGTTTTTGTTTATTAATAAAAATTATAGTAAATAATGGTGACCATCGTTATGAAAGGTAAATTTGTTTATGATCAGATAATTAGAATAAATTTTGCGAAAGTGTAAACGATAAACAGGATGGTTTTCATATTGTTTTCGATGCTTAGTTCACGATAATAAAAAAATACTATTTGAGAAACTTCAGAGGTAATGTATACACTTATTACATATTATTTTTAGCCAAAATCAGAAGAAGCTTTTACTTTAGAAAACAATAACTTTTTCAATAATTGCAAATCAGATACATTTGGTATTTCATTAAAATCTAATCAATTCTTGGAATTAATAAATCAATGTAAAACGTTTAAACAAGGTACTTTTCCGTGGAAAAAAGACACTGTGATTGATACCATTCAAAAGCCCAACATTAGTTGGATTGATTTTTCACAACAGGAAAGTGAAGGAGTAAAACCTGTACAGCCTAAAGTACGCATGAGCGGATGGCTTATACCACAAAGCCATTTAAAGGATGACCAATTAATTTCAAACGTAAGTTGGCTAAAAAATCATGAATATTTAACGTTTTATTATAGATTTAACAATTTTCAACCAAATATGCTCTGAAGTTTGCAGCTGAAGAAGTGAATAAGCAAAACGTTATATGTAAATTTAGATCTAAAGTATTTTTAGTGACATTATTTCCTCAAATCATAAAATACTGCAAATAAACATTAATAGGATCGTTTCTTATATTCAAATGTTTCTCGATTCTTTTCAAAGATTGTTCCGCTTGTAGCCAAACTATTAAATGTCATTCATTAAAGTTGATTCTCTAATTTAAAAAATTTAAAAAAAACTGTAGACGGTTAACGTATTTGGAAGTGGGAGTTTCCAGATAAATAAAGAAACTTAATTATTATCATTAGATTCTTGGTTATATTAGCCTAAGTGTTTGTTGTAAAAACCACCATTCTTTTAAATTGTCATTAAGACTCAATTTACTTTAATAGTATAGTAATCCAACATTCAATATACAGTTAATTCTATGCAGCTGGGCATGTACACTTACCTTTGAAATTAACCAATATTCATGTACTTGAACAACAAAATTTCTTTTATGGTTTTCCAAAATGTCACAGAAATCGTTATTACCTGAAGTAGCTTTGATTTAGAGACATTTAAACCAGTTTAATTTGTGGGCAGTATTCATCACAGACTGGTCTCATTTGGGTTACCTCTAAAAACTACGGAGGATTGGAGAATTGTTTTATTTAAGCATGCGAATCCTCAGAAGCACAAATATCAAATATTACCAAAGACAAAAAGCGATACTAAAAAGTCTTTCAATTGAACCATTAGACCACTATGTTGGCTTCCCGTTGTACATATTTCAACTGATTCACGATATAGTCTGACAATCATTGATTGTCGAATATTTTTTAATTTTTCAAAGTGATATAATCATTAAAAGACATTTTAAGAACGTTTTAACAATCAACTTCTCACTATCTTTTATTCCGTTACTTACATCTGTAATAATCATTTGCTATTGTTTTTACTGCCGTACTATTGTTTGGTTTAATATTATTGTTGTTATTCAATTTTTGTTTTTTTTAATATTGTTTATTTCAGCTCAGTATACATAGATATTTATATTTACTTTGTCTTTGTTTAGTAAACAAAACTAACTGTAACAGTCCATATGGGCGTTAAATATACCAACAGTGATAACAATAATAATAATAACAGCAACAACCAAATATTTGCCAGTTATTCTGTATAAATAAATTCAAGCAGTACCTTATATCATATTCATTCATTCATTTAGAGTGTATATCCATTTGTTTATTCGATTTTGTTGTAATCTTTGTGAATAGAATATGCATGATGGCGATATATATATATATACTGTTTGAGGTATTGTTGGTGAAATTGCCTCTGTTTTATGTATAAGCATACATCTATAGCTTATCATACTCATATTCCACATCAGTAATATCCATCAGTTTATTATAATATCAGTCAATAGATAGTAATATTGTTTATTGAATATAAAAGTAAACAAAACAAAAAGTGGAGTATGCAACCTCCTTTGTGGACATTCGTGATCAGATTTTTTCTTGTTTTTATTGACAAACTTTTGTGATAATATAATGAAATGAAAATAAATGACTGATTAGAACGATATTAATAATAATAGAATACAGGATTTTTAAAGATTCTATAAATAAATATTGATAATAAGATTGATAAGTTCGAGTACATTTTTTTGTATTTTGTTTTTGTTTTCTTTTCATTTGTTACTTACTTTCCTTTATTTTACTTTATCCGATATATCAAAATAAGTAAAGGTTTGAATTGTTCCTATTGTGTACAAATTAATAACATACTTTTAATTCAACATAATTTGTCATTATTTCAATTTATGTCTAGGACATTATTACCCATTTATATTATTCCGATAAAAATAATAAACTAAGATGGTAGAATACTGTAATTTTATTAATTTTTGATGCTTATCACAAGATTATTATATCACATCATTTAGGTGGACAGGTATTTCAGTATCTAGAATAACAAAGTAGATTTTGGTTCAATAATCTATATAAAATTAGGATTCGAAAAGCTCGTTGGTTTTTTCCAACTTACGTCACCTATGGCGAAGGCGAGATATCTGTCTATCTACTTTACGGCTGCGAAACGTGAAATAGTTCTTGCATCTGCTGGGATCACCGAGTAAGTAATAGTGAGGTTAGACGCAGAGCATTTAGGAATGATGGTAAATCAGTTGATGAGGTTGTGAACCTTTATCGACTGAGACGGTTGGGCCACGTGTTGCGTATGCTCAATCACCGATTACTACGACGCGCAATGCTGACTAGTGTTGGGAATGGTTGGAAGAAAGTTAAGGGTGACCAATCCAGAACGTGGCATCAGTGCTTAAAGTCACTAACTTGTAGTCTGAGCCATGTTGGTAGATGCAGACAACTTGGTTGGGGTCCGTGTGACTATCATAACCGATGGTTGGAGACTCTTGGTGACATGGCTCAGAATCGATCACAATGGCGTAGGTGTATTCACTCTATGTCTTCACTTAAACTAAGAGATTAAAGTTATTTCATATTTTTCTTTCTACGAATTAATTCTTTCTTCCTGTACTATATCATTATTGCAGTCTTTCTTTTATATATTACCACCTCTGAACTAACTACTTTTATGAATCCGGTTTTCATCTTGCTGTGCTAATGCGATATGGAAACCTGAAGTGATGCATATATGTGCCTGATCCTACATTGTAGCTGACTGACTGATAAAATTAGAAAGGGTCTATGTATCAGCGACCATCTGACAATGTTATAACCTTGAAATCCAAACATTTGATTTGTTACTTTCCCACAATGAGTTAAGATGATGTTATTCTCATTTCACACCTTTGATCAATTTCTGTACAGAAAATTAAGTTTCTCAGATATTTTAAATTGAATGACAGTTTTATAGTCAAGGTACAAAAAAGACAGACTGGATAATTGCAATTGATGTACAGAGAATATTTTGATAAAATTGATGAAAATGAATTTCGGAATTAAAAGTATTAGTCTACTTGTCCACTAAAAATAAGAGGGAAAAATATTAAATGAACTTAATTTCATCTGTAGAGCTTTCAACAGTGGACTATGGATAATACCTTAATATTTTAATCATTATAGCTAATATACTAATTTCTTTGTTACGTCAAAGTATTTTAACTTTTTTACCTTGTGTTTACGAATAATGGGATGTTTGTTTACACAATAGGGAAATCGATTAACTAAATTGTATTTATTGAGCATCATATCTATGAGCGCCTTTGATAGTGTGGGTTTTGGTAGCCGTTTAGAAGGTGAATTAATTTTAAATATTCACAGAGTAAGTGATTCTTAATGCAAAATAATGTAGCTCACATCAGAATGAAACAATATGCAAGAACGAATGGCTTCTTCTTAGTTATTTTAATTAAACCATGAAAAAGGTATCACTACAATGTCCGTTATACTGCTACAATTTACCGGTAACCAACATTGTATTGATCCAGGCGATCATATTTAAATGTGATACTATAGTACTGTTTGTTTATAATAAGAATTTCAAAGGAAGTTGTTTTCTTTTACCACGTTTGTCCTACGGTAAATTCGCAGTCGATAAAATTTGCTTGTTTTAGGACATTGGAAATAATTAGAAAGTATTACTTCAAACATCTCCTTTTGTATATTTCATAGACGAAATCAATGTCAGAGGAAGAAATTGCATTGTGTAATATATTCTTACCTCTAAAGTCAAATACCATAGAAGATGAATTAAAAGAAGCAGAATGCTTGCATTATTCTGGAATTATGAATAAAATGGATCAAGCAAGATTGTACCAGTCCCTTGTCATTTATCTACTACATTCACTTTCAACGAAAGAAATTAATGAAACACAATTAAACACCAATTATGACTGCAGCTATGTTATGGTAAGAATGAAAGTTTTAAATCAACAACTGGATGCGAATAATTCTATTCGTTTTTATCTACTAAAAGTTTAACTGATAAATGTGAATTGCGTAGATGAGTTTAGTAACGTAGTCTTTAGTTCGCAAAAAAAGGATGACATTACTGTCATCCATGTTGTTTTAATTAATGGTTAAAGAACATAGTATTAGACTATTCAAATTATCGTACACTGTCCGCTATGATCATGAAATAACTTGCCTTCGTATGTTATAGAATGACCTTGAAATTTATCCTGTAACTGGCTATGAATTTGATAAAACTCGTAAAACAAGACATTCATTGTTTTTTTTTAATAAAACATCCGAACATGAATCTAATTTGTTTAATAAGCGTTTAACAGAATAAGAAATTGTCTTTTAATAGTAAAAAGTGTTCTTCAAAAAGATGATTGGAATTAGTAATTTCAGAATTCGATATGTAATAATATGTAAATTTGTAAAGAGGATTTCTGAAGTTTTATCACTATGTTCAATAAATATGCAGTCTATTATATACGCTTGTCTTATGATCAAAGTCCTTTTCTATTGTATACTGATTCGGTAACTTTTTGAGTTTTGTCCTTTCCATGAATATCAGCCATTTAATTTTATAACATCTACCCACATTGCAACGATAAATATATATGGTACAGGAAAAATTACACACTTGTTTATGATTATATTCATACAAGGATGCCCAATAGACAATGTTACATGAATTCATTTAAAAAATGTTCAGGATTCTGTATTTCACAGTTGAGTAAATATGTAAAACTGAATGAGAAAAAATGTGTCGAATTCTAATGCTTAATTTCACACATATATATCTTCCTTTATAATTATGCATGCTTTCAACTTTCTAGATTGAATTCGTTATGCTGTAAAGATTTCATTGAAATAAACTTTAATTTACCCTTCATATAGAATATTTTTATCAACATGTTTTTTTAATTTTTTAGTATAAAAATAAACTGGATAAAAAGTATTTACAGTTATTTGATTGACATCATGAGTCAATTGAAGCTTGACCACCATGGAAAACCTGGAAACACTGAACGGCCGTTCCATCCTAGTATGGAACTTCTCAGCAGTGCGCCGGCTCAGTGTTCTAGTTGGTTAAGCGCCTGGCGCGAGATTGATAGGTCGTGGGTTCGAATCTCGCAGAGTGCGGGATCGTGGATGGGCAGTTCTGGGGAGTCTCATACTAGGACGAAACGGCTGTCCAATGCTTCCAGGTTTTCCATGGTGGTTTAGCTTCAACTGACTCATGATTTCAATCAGTGAAATTTTTAAAATCCTCACAAAAATCCCCTGATATCTACAGTTAGTGTATACTCAGTTTCTTTTTTTGTAAAGATTGTATAATTGTAACCAGGCAAATATTTTATTTTTATTACATTCAGAAATTAGTTGATTTGCAAAATGATGTATCTCAGTGGGAACGAAAAGTTTTGTTTGTTATAAATTCAAAAGAAGGTTTAGAAAGAAAAACTTACGAAAATCTAATTCATCATACAATAAAATTCTATAATGAAGCTTTGGGTAATTAGAATTAAATTTATTCAAATATCCTAATTAATTGATTTTTAAATTTAGAATTATTAACACCGTATAACAATACTTTACAGGAAATGATAATTCACTTCGAATTATTAAGATTCTATTTAATAGTTGATCAGATAAAGTAAGAGTTGAATACATTTTTTTTTGAACCACTATATTAACCTTTTTAATAGACGGGCTAAACATCAAGCTTTATTAATCATGGATATCTTATTTGAACAAAAAAATACACCTGACAACTTTGATCTTATGATAAACAATTGTGATTTGGAAAATGTTATGAAGAGATATTCATTTAGAATTATTCAAAGATATGGTATATCTGGTTGTTTGCTTGGTGCATTAGTAATGGGATTATTGTGCAAGTTAGTTAATATTTTATGTAATAATTGGTACATTTACTTAGGTATTCTCTGATTTCAAATGATCAAGTATACAAAAGTCAAATGATCTGTGCAACGTTATTCAAGGTGAGTTCTAGATTTTCCAACCTAGATCAATAAATTGTGATACTTTTTCATTGATTTTCTATAGTAGAGATTGAACCTGAAAATATAGATTATTAGCCGCTAATTTAATAGCATTTGTCACAAACACAAATTTCTGTGGTTAATCTTTTGCAAACTTACAAGTGTTCACTACTGAGAAGTCACAAACCAGAATTAAACAAATGCTCCCTGGCGTTTAATTACTTTATGATCTGATATAAGGTTATATTTTGATTGCAAACACGTTTCACATGTGTTAAAATATGTTATTATATGACTTGATTGGAAAGCAGCACTCTTTATAATAGATAAAATTAATAGGACTATAGTAAAATTATTATACTTAACAAAATACCTGATCAGTACAACGCTTCGTTATTTGCCGTGGTGACAGACTTATTTTTCAGTGAAAAAAATCAAAAGGCAAAACATTTTAGTTGTAGCAATGAAACTTCAGTATGAAAGTATCTAAACTATTAACATTGTTTTAGGAAATTTCTAAACCTAAGGACTAGTATATTAAGCTAATTGTCAATATTATACATTTATTTCTTTATTTTATCTTTACAGTCAATGCTACATGGTAGTTTGTCGTGTGCAAGAAAAGATATTGATTATTATGGCAATTCTATTTCAACTGAATCCTTGAGAATTTTGAAACTGGATGAGATTTTTACCAACTATTGTTTTGATCTAAACAATGTTGTTGATGTATTGAACAATACATTGAATTATCTAATAACTCATGAACAGTTTACTGAAGTATGATACTGATCAATGATATTTATGAACTTTTTTAGACATTTGTTAAATAGGTGTATATCGACAGTCTGGTATTTACAATCAAAGGTTTTAGAATACGTTTGATGTTCAAGCGGAAAAGGTTTTGTTTAATTCAATGACTAGTTGAAACAGTTGAATAATTGTATCATGATTAGTCTACTGAAACCTTATTTCTAATTATTTATTAGGTGATGATTGTTGTGCATAACTATGAGACGATAGTCTGTAAAGTTGCGTTTAAAGTATCTAATAAGGCTTGAACGTTTTGATTTGATGTTTAGTAGCGACTTTTATTTTCTCGGAATCTATTTGCTTTTATTAGAATAAATGCAGTTAGGTCCAAAAATATCAAATAGACGAGGAAGTTGACTATAGTTTCTGTTAACACTATCACTTAAGAATTAATGTTACATTTACAAAATAATGAGGTATTACGAAGCACATTTCTTTTAGCCATCTAAATTTATTTTCATTTATTTTGTAGAGGTAGATGAGTAGTTTTATTTTTAGTTCAGAATTAGTTAAACAATAAATTTGCTACAAACAACTTTGTGATCATTTGTAAGCATTCAGATGTTTGTTATAATTCTGAATATTAAGTAAATCTTTTACAGCGAAATGATCAGTCAGACGATTTAGTTAATTCCTACTATGATTTATGGAAGAATCATCCGAAAATGACAACATATTACTTATTTTAGAAACAATAAGTTCTATTTTTTCCTGAAATTCATGTTGTCACTCTAATACTTTGTTTCTCTCATAAGTAAACTTCAGAAATTTATTCTGTTTATTTCTCTTGGGTAGTGATGAGTTTTTCACATAAATATTTGGTTTTCTGTCTTTTTTATCTCAATCTTCATACATTATAAATAAATTACATGAGACTATAATTTATGGACAACCATTGAGCGATGCTGAAGTGACTTTGAGAGTGAACAACTACTAATTAGGACTAAATGAGGGTTATAAAGCAGTTAGAATTCCCACTTACAGTTGATGGTTATGATTAAAAATTAGATTTAAGGTTTTCATCACGAACTGACATCAGATGTAATGTCAAAACTCTATTTAGCCAAAGGTATGGATGAATTCCGCGCCCAAATTCGTGACTCCTTGTCTTATATCTGATTGGTTCGTCCATAAATTATAGTCTCGCCATAAATAAGAAAAGAGCAACAAACAATTTTGGTGATTTTTAGATTAAAGAAGAAAGATTTCATGGCAATTTTCTGCACGTAAACTATTAAGCGATAACATTCCAAGGGTAATTTTATAGTCGGGATCATATTATAACTTATTATTTAAACCAATCAATAAATATTAAACATGTGAATTATATGTAATTTATTTCATTGATAATATCTTATCATGACCGTTATCATCTGATAATGCTAAACATTATTTTGATTACTTTCAATCATTCATTGATTAAGTTCATAGTATCTCTACTGTAAAGATGCATCTTCAATTTATCTTGAGAAAATTAGGAAATAAGTAAGATTAATCAACCGTATGAGGTTTTATTAAGAATATTCATTTGATATATCCTTACAATTCAAAATCAGATGTTAAAGTAACTGGAATTATGCTCAGAGATGTTTCTAAGTAAAATGTATTTTTTTAAAATGTAAATTGGATATTTTCAGTTATCCAACATTTACAATATTTAATTTCTTGTCACTAACTATAACGCATTGATAATACGAAGTACTACTCAAGAGATATATTGAATTTGATCATAAAAGATAACAGTTTTCAGTTGCTCATTACTCAGTCAACAACATGTGTATCATTAAAAAAGTGCTAGAGCATGTAATGAAGATCAAAATATGTTTAACTGTTCGCGTAAATATGAGTAATTTATTGTCTACACTAATAAGCACAAGTAGATCTGCAATTAGGAGTAATAGATTTACAATGAATACTACGACACTGTCAGTATTTAAAATAACTTAACCCTATTTAACCTTGTATTATGTGAGGAATTAAAGAAACTGAGCACAAATAAAATAAATGTCGTATGTATAACATTTCATATCACTTACGATTTACAACCACGTACAGCTAAAGAAAACCCAACTTAATATACAACAATGTGTTCATTTCTTTCTTTGCATTTCTATGCATCATAAGATGATAAGTAAGAAATATGTTCATCAAACGGCAAAGATGACTAGTTCACAGATCTTTTACCATTTCATGATAACAAATGAAATTAAGTTTAATGATTCCAAGTCTATGATTAAAATGTGTATTGTTTTACAATCATAGTACAATAATGATTGATAAATTTATTTTAAAGGCATTTCCAGTTGTCTACCTACTCAACTACATTGGTAAAAATCTATTAAAAAATATACAACTTGAATTTAAAGCAAAATTATTCCAAATAAAATGTCTTATTGGCATCGGTGCATTAAAACAATCTCTATTTGAATTATGTGCTATTTTGCAAGAACAATCCAGCATCAATGATACACATGATTGTCATATTTCCTTGATAAATTTCGATGATATCAAAATGCAAGAAGTGAGTTTTGTTTTGTTAAATACTTACTGGATTTTTTAGAAGTTACTGCTGATTAAAATTGCTAGAAATTAAATGGTGTATATCATCATATATCATCTAAGGTGATAAACTCTTCTTTTGTGTATCCTCTCAGGATAGTGAATTATGGATCCTACATTGATTAGGTTATTTTTATTTGAAAAGCTTACTTGAAAACAAGCTTGTGCAGAATTTAATTTTTGTTTTCTTGTTCAGCCATGGACATCTACTTGATTATAATGCTACTTCTTCGATTTTTTAGCATTCTATTTATTTACAAATTTCATAGTGTGCAAGAGCTGAAGGTACCTAAAAAATAAAGTAACAAGATCACTTAGGTAAATGTAAGAAATGATCAGTCATGTAATACCTTACTAGAACTATATAGATGATACTTTCATAGTTTTAGGAAAAGAACATGAAAAACATAGCATATCGTTTCTAGATATCATACTAACAAGAAGAGTAAACGTGTGGTGTTGGCTACTTATGTTTGAGTATTTAGGTAGTATGCAACACCACTTGGAAGTGGAATGTCTTTGAGCAGAAGGTTGAGGAGATTGAAATGAAGAAAAAAGAAAAGGAAGCTGATAGCAATCAATATAACGACAGGAATGAAGGAACAATGAAGCTTGTAAGAGACAATTCAAAGATGTGCAAATGATGTATGGTTTTCACATTTTACTAAACCATTATGCATTAAATAATAAATTGCTCTTTTCACCTGGGTGTTCCATCATTACAGATGGGACATTAAAAAAAGGGCTGAGTAGAAAGTCGACAGTTGAACATTATACTCATTTTCATAGTTCTGTAGCAGTCAGATATAAGAAAAAATTGGGAAAGATCCTGATACATCGCGGTAGAATGATTTATTCTGATGACACAATTGCAGATGGATTGAGTAATATTCTTAACGTGCTTAATAGCAATGGATACCCGACTAAATTTACTAACGAAGAGATAAATAAGATGAAGAAAATATCAGATTTATCTACCGTTCGGAAGAAATTTATGTTCTGAAAATTACAATTCTTAAGTGATGCTACCGAAGAAGTTGCAAATTAATGGTTAAGAAAGGCGATACAGAAAACATTTATTACAGCCGAATTGGATGCTTTTTCAAATAACCTACCTATAATAAAAACCGTCAACAAAGACACACTAACTGAATCAGTCTCATACATGTATATTTACTAATTTAACTGCTCTTATGTAGCCAGTTATATATGGCGTACAGTACGGCAAGTCTGTCATCACATACCAGAACGCCATCCCTCTTGGTTTATGAGTTCGTCTTTTGCACATTTATAAAGCTATTGGAATCAATGTTTGCTAACCTAACCTTTGCATCTGAAAGAAGTGTGTACAACCACTCTCGCTACCTTGACCTTCATTATGGGAGCGAGGTTTGAACCTAACTCTGATTAAACGCTTTCCTTCAAAAATATTTAATTTTTTTAATATCTTCCACCTTTTATTTTACATAATTTTAAATATTCGTCCCTTGGCTCTTATATAACTACAAAAATATTTTGTCATTTCATTTACATATTATGCAACGTAGAAACTGTTTGAATTTTCCAATATTTACTTTGATTACAATCAAAGAAGGGTTTTTTGTGGACATTATATTAAGTTAAAAGTTGAATTCACGAGTCAATTTTGAAGCTAGACCACCATGGAAAACCTAGAAATGCTGAATGGCCGTTTCGTCTTATTGCGAGGCTCTTCAGAAGTGCGCATCCACGATCCGCCTCGCGAGATTCGAACCCAGGATCTATCAGTCTAGCGCCAGGCTCTTAATCACTAGACCACTGAGCCGGCATTCAAGGGTGTTAATATCTAACTTCTATCAGTCTAGGAATTCGCGTCTCCGTTCATCATTGACATCGATGAGTTTGTATATCACAACAGATCAGGTTGAACTCCACCAGTCACGGCTTCGAACTAAAACTCCAGGAACTACTTCTTGGAGACCGTCATCAGTGAGCACATGATGATCATAATTAGAGAAGAGTTTTTGTGGATATCGTAGTAATTTAATAGTTGAATTTATGAGTCAATTTAAGCTGGACTACCATGGAAAATCTGGAAGAACTGAACAGTGAGGCGGTATCATGGATGCGCACTGCTGAGGAGTCCTATACTAGTACGTAGCGGCCGTCCAATGCTCCCAAGTTTTCCATGGTTGTCTAGCTTTAACTAACTCATGAATTCAACTATTAAATTACTTTTATGATTATAATCCTCTTTCTTCCAATTACTCAATATTATTTTATAATTAATGTATCATTATATATTTATTATGTAACGCAACTACTTGATGAGTATTATTTCGTTTCGATAGAACAATAAGAAGACGGAGTTGATCTGAAAAATGTGATGTAATTGCGCTATACATTTCGAACAATCTGGTCACACATATACTTGTCAAGGCATTTTTATATGAAAATTAATAAAGGTCAATTAATAAACGTCAAACAAATAAAAGTACATATAAAAATGCCTTGACAAGTATATGTGTGACCAGATTGTTCGAAATGTATAGCGCAAATACATCACATTTTTCAGATCAACTCCGTCTTCTTATTGTTCTATCGAAATTTATAAAAGGGACTAATTGCTTTATATTATTTCGTTGTTGTAAATGAATATACATATATACATATATTAATGTAGAGCCATGATCGAAAAATAATTGGAAAGTATATTCTTTGCTCAATCGGTTCTTTTTACCAAATGTAAAAATGTATTCACTTTATTTTAATAATTCAACTGCATTGTAAATCAGGATATTTACTTTCAATAGAATTACAAAATATCTAAACGTTTGTTTACTTCATAAGGTTTAGTAAATTATTTTGTTTTAGAAGAAATCTCATTCTTGTATTACTAATCTTGATGGAGTTTTGTTCTCTGAGCTACAAATCTCCACCATGTATTACTAGTCGTTTACGGATTTATAGAATTTGATTAATTTAACATGAAAGTAATATTTTTCTTTGTAGCCATACCTGATATTATCATAACAATCAAGACTAATATTAAAGTTATTGTTATAATTATTAATGATTCATTCCTTAGAATTTAGGTATGAAATTATTCTTTCAAACGAATATTCCATTTCTGACTTTTTTGTTTTGTTTATCACAGTATTTTATATTCTTCTTCTTAGTTTATCATGAAATTATATAATAAAAATGAGTTTGGTATTTCATAATGTAATTTATTTTTATTTACACAAATAGCCATTATCAGCAGATAAGTTAACATATGCTTCTTTTTCGAATAATGAATAAAAAGAAGTAAATAAATTTTTCCGGTACATATAAACACTGACGCCCATGGATTAAATATATATTGTGTGATCTAGATTCAATCCAATCAGCAGTGTGTAATAAAATAAAATTGTAAACCTTGTTTATATAAATTCATTTGGTGTTGTTTGATTTGTATCGCCCTATTGTTATTTAGGACTGCTATTGGTCAGTTTCATCTAGGACTCAGTAGTTAAGTGAGTAACGCGATGACGTTTGAAGCGAAAGGTAATGATTTCGAGTCCCGGAGTGAACATAAACTCTGGGATGTAGGTATATCCAGTTGACGAGTCCCAAATAGGACGAAATGTGCGTCCTGGATTCTACTGATGGCCACTATCCATCTTTGCTTAAAAAGCTTGTTTACGTAGTTATACAGAATTGAATTATTAAGATGAAGATAAAAACTATTTTTAAAACAAAAAATTTAGTGTGTTTTGTTCATGTGCAACTTTACTGTTTATTGAAATTTATTTAATTTAATAATTGGGAGTAACAATAAAGTATTTGGTATGATCACAAAGATTCAAGATTTAATTTCGATAGTTGATACGAACAATTCTAAAAAAACTTAACTTGTATTCATAATTAAAGTTTATTCGAATCATTCAAAAAAATGTTGGCTATTTCGAACCGAAAAAGTGAATGTTCATAATATGTTTTGCTTTTCAAAACTTTTTCTTTATTTTTACCGGGTAACATAAAAGTTAAATGTGAATATAACGACATAGTAACTGAAACCAAACAAAGTAATTGATTTCTTGAACTATTATAGTATTTTGTATAATTTCATTGAATAAACCGTAATATTTTATACGTGAAGAATGAATGATCAAATATGTTTAAGTGAAAATACACTAAGAAACTGTTACAATTACTGAATTATAGATATTTACTATGCACTAATTATGTATTGACTATGATAATAGTGATATGCTGATCACAGCCTTTTATTCGAAGTCGTTTCATTCTTCAGAACCTATCAATAGAGTTAATGACGATAAAAATTTACCTCTAATTATTCTGGTTAATAAACTTCATTATGTTGACCTTATTCTCTAACACGTTTCTTTTATAATGTTTGTTTCGTTTCCTACAGATAAATATGTTGTAACAAATGTACTTCAGGGTTTATATCAAAATAAGTAATGAGTTTTTTTATTAGTAATCGGGACAAAGTTAACTGAATTTTAGTACCATTTGTTATTTTGCTGACAGAAACGATGGGAATGTTGGTAACTTGAACTATAGCTCTTCAAATCACCTGAAAAATAAATGTATATTTTCTTTAATTGTCCCTTTGCAGTTATGTCCACCATTTTGTCAAGATGAATATATATATATATATATATATATATATATATATATATATATATAGCACCACAATAGGTTGGATGCAGCCACTAAAGCCGACATTATATCTGTGACGATTTTAAATAACTGACAGTAAAATAATCGATTTTCGTTGGTTGAATATTCCAAATAGTATTCATAGGTCGTTTAAAGCATGAGGCATATTTCATTAAAACCCCCAGACTTTATTCCGAGCTCAGAAGAAAATTAGTCATACTATCTTTGTTTTGCACCACTGTTAACCATATTGTTGTACATAGCGCATGTATGTAACTCAAGGTAAATTGAATGTTCAGATAAATGACATACGTTCGACTGCCATTTATAGCAGAAATAGGGTTCTATATCATCATTTGATTAATTGAAAAGTACCTGATTGCGTCATCATGTTCCATTTGCCAAACGGAACTAATCTACAAGTTAAACTATCATCATAGCATTCTTGATAGTAAAGTTACAAAAAAAGCTCGTGACTTTAGGTATCAGTCAAAGTCGTATTGAAATAACGGTTTGATGTTCAGAATCTATGCAACTATGAGAAGTGTCACCTTCAGTATTGTACGTTGCAAATAATTTTATCCAAGTACTAATTCATTTCGGATTGAATTTTATTCAACCAAAACGTTGAATACAGTTATTTAACCGTTTTTCATTAATGATCAATATAGTCATATAATCAAAATACTGCCAAAATATACAAAAATCTAAACCAAAGACACCTTTTTCTTCTGATTATTTTTCGTAAGTAATACACCTATAACAAGATATATATATATACCAAAGTACACAACAATTAGAACATTTATACGAATATTTGTCAAGATTAGAACGAATAGTTTGACAGTAATTGAGCGCCGAGTATGAAGAAGTCATTATATGTGAAAATTATATTTGAAATATTCTCAGCTATTGGAATATAATTTCCACATATAATGAATTAGAACATTGATTAATACTAATTTTCTCATTACAAGAGTTTATATTTGAACATTTTTCACTTACCATTTTGGTTTAGTATGATGCTTTTTTGTAAACTCTAAGTATTTATATCTGAACTTTTGATCTAGAAATGTCAAAAAGTGACATATATCTTTTATTTAAAAGAAATATGTTTTGAATTAGTTTAAAAGGTTTATCATACAATTTATTATGTGGATAGAAATGACAATAATGATAGAACACAATATAATTTATCAGTATTTCATCTTTTGAAATAAGATCAAGCTATAGGCAAATTATAATATAATGCAAACTGATATTATGTGGTTACTTTAAAAGTGTTTTATTGTTTTTGAATGGATTATGTTAACCGTTTAATTAGTTCCCAAGGAAAAATGCTTCAATAATGGATACGAAATTTTGTATGAGGCCACTACTCACTTATTTATACTTGCTACAACTCTTGGGTAGAAAGGATATTATGTAATGATCCAGTGGTTTACAAAAGTGTATGAATAAAGATAGTTTATAGATTGATGATAATTGTCCACTTGATGGATTTTAAGAGCAAAGTGATAAAATGTTGCAGATATAGCTACTTAATAATTTTGAACAAAAATCAGTGTAAAAAAGAAGGAAAAGTAGAAAAAGTTTAAGATCATGATTAAATGAGAGATTAAACATGTTGTCTCTGTAAATATATAATGGGTTTACTTGATGGATTGTTGGATCTTTCGAACCAATTCTTTTGAGTGTGTAGATGATTTTGAAAAGAACGATTGCGATGAATAAGTATAACCAGAATTTATGAAATGTTATAAGAATTAACCATTGATTGTATTATATAATGCTTTAAACATCCGAGCAGAATAACCTTTGATGATATATTTCTTATCAGCTCAATTTATACGGTCTATATTACCTATTCTAAAAAAGCAATTAATCTGGGAGATACACATTATTGTTGTTTAAAGAATAAGTTGATTTTCCACACACCTACATTCTGCATGACTTCATTTCGATATTTAATCATGTAAACGACTTATAACATAATATCTTCTATATTCATCTAAATACAAATTACTATATTTGATATTTAAAATTTGTCATAACCATCTACAGTTATTTACAATACTAATAGTATAAAAATCGCATTCATTCATTTACTACGATGTTGGGGATTAATAAGATCCTACTTTTTACTGAATAATAAATGTGTATTCGTGCAACGAATCGATTCCTATGCTATATTACTGTGTTTTGTTTTATATAAAATAGTGTTAACATGATGCACACTGGTAATTTGTATTGTTAACTAATGACTAGAACAATCATGTCAATACGAAATAGAGTTGCTTAACTTTTTAACAAAAAGAAAAGAAAAAAGAACAATGCATAATAAATGAATCAATCAATTTTTCATGCTTCATTGTTTCTTTCAATAATAATAAAAACAATAAATGAAACTGTCAATCAGAATAATTATAAATATATAAAAATTTCAATTAAATTATTTTATCTGTTAACAATAAAGTTATATTATTTAATAATGGTCTGTTGCTATGGCAACGAATTAAACATTTTTCTTATTACATATTGTTAAGTTATTCTAGTATTAATAATACAGCTTTAAATTATGTTACATCTGTATCAATTCATAGAACATTTTATAATAATCTATTAGAGTTTAATTAAAATATTGTAATAGAGCAAATTATAAATTGAAGCCTATAAAGAGTAATACAATGAATATAATTAACTTCAAATACCTTTCTTTGTAATATGTTTTAAATGATCAAATAAAGTTTAATAAATAATCTATGATAAGTAATTGGTAATTCATACTTTTGGAAAAATAGTTCTAAAAGCTTATTTAATTAATTGTTGACAAAAATATTATTCTTTTTTTTTAAAAAGAGACTTAATTCAGTCTCCGTATCTTAATTAACGTAAAGAATAACTGTTTAGCTAAGATAAATAGATTGTTCATGTTCAGAAAATCTTTAGGAAATTTATGAGATGTCATGGAATTTAGGTCAAAATACATTCCAAGAATAGTATGATACTAGTTGGATGTATTAATCCATGTAAGACACTTAATGAATTTCATGGTCAATGATCAAGAGAAATGAACAGTAGACAAGCAAACATAATGGAATGAATGCTATAAAAATATCAAGTGACTATCAGCGTATAGAGAATGAACTGACTCAATGCTTGTATATTAATTGTAGGAAACACTACTTCTAACTGGTGTAGGCGCTAATCGTGCAAACTTAAATAACTTTGACGATCCTACATTTATACCATAAGGCCTAGAAGACGTAACGCATTTAAAAAGACATTATCATGGTACTTTTTTTCACCCGTTTTTTCTACTTTATTAACAGTTTGTTTACTTTTAATGAAAGGTTTTAACAACTAGTGTTGATTTAAAATTATACGAACAGTCAATAAAAAATTTACTTCATTATTATTCTCCCTTATTTGAATATTTTTTTAACAGTGTTTGAACATATTACTAACAAAAAAGTTGTCAAAACAAACAATTCACAAATGGGGTTCTATATTATTCTGTGAAATACAATTGGTTCGCGCCGAAATTTGCTATGAAATCGCAAAATCTATACCTTATTTACCAAAGAAAATGATAATTGAGTAAGATATATCATTGCACAAATAATTATATAAATACTGGATTTTAAAACAAAATGTTCGGAATAAGGCAAATGAAAGGAAATAGCCTGTCTATAGTTAATTAACTGTAGAAATTAAAGGCATCAAAGAACGTGGGAAATATTGGTTATGTAGTGAACTTCGTTAACTTTTATACATAAAATACACTTGGTAGTTGATTCATTTTTCTCGCTTATGAATCAGAATTAATGTAATGAACTATTGAAATCTAAATAATGCTAACTTACATTTAAAGATTTTGTAAACATCTGATTCCTAATTTATCGGTCGAGCTATAACACTATTTAGGTAATCTTCTTTGTATACTTGACAGTTTCAACTATAAAATGTAACGGTTAATTTCAGTTGTTCTCACAAACGGACTAACATTCATGTTAGAGAGAGAATATATAGGAAATCTGAGAAAAATTCAGAAGTTCAACTACATACCAAATCTTCTCATGCTTTTCGTATTGTTGAAAATAACATATAAGTAGTATTAAGTTATTCCTAATTTATTTTGTTTGAAACTGACATAAACAAATGCAGATCTAACTAATGGTGCTGTGAAATTACTTTAAGATATTTGAAAAAAGGCATATTAAGCAATTCATTTGTATTGATTTCCTGATCAAATATTCAATAAAAATATTTAATAATTAAACAACAAATGCTGTATTCATTCAGCAAGGTGTGCCTGTAATCTTGAGGGAACCGGTGCTCCCTGACGGATTCGACCCCGTGTCACCCAGCATTACAGTCACAGACGTTACCACTAGGCTATCCGGGCTGCGACTGACCCTCTGTAGGACTGAGATGTGACACGGGATCGAATCTGTCAGGGAGCATCAGTTCCCTCAAGATTGCAGGTAAACCTTGCTGACGAGTGCCAAGTGGCACGAAACCCGGGTCCAAGGTTTCCTGTTGACTACCTCCAACCACCATCTAATCGTAACATAGTACACGCAATTTTGAGTCACCTAGACTAGTGGCCACATTGCAACTTTGTCGATATCATTCGATCTGCACTAAGAAGGACTTGACACATATGACATTAAATTGTGATTTCAATTAAAAATTGTTTCAGTTGACTATAGTTGAAAGTTGTTTTTCTTCCTGCTTAATTATTTAGTTAAGTAATGTAAACTTGGTTATTATTATTATTATTACAGAAACCAAATATCATCTACAAATCCTAATAGAAATCAGGTCACAAAATCTAGTGGCCGTAAAGTTAAAAATCAAGGTAAACAATATTTCATTAGTATATACCATTAGTTTGTTTGTATTTATTTCATGACATATTGTTTTATTTTTTTTGTTTTTTTAATATTTTTATTGATTAATATTGTGAACTTGGAAGAAACTAAAACAAACTGGAATTATTTTATCAAAAATTATAATCACGTCTATGAGATCAAACTTAATTTATTCATGTTTTTACCTTGATAATCCATAAGTCATTCTATGGCTTAGGATAATGTGACAATTTCTTATTCTTTCTATACAATGTAAAAATTGTTTCTCTCCTCTTTATTACTTTTTACTTGAACTTTGATTTAATTGACCTTTATTAATTTTCATATGAAAATGACCTGACAAGTATATGTGTCCTTGGAGTTTTTCCTTATTGAGCCGTTGCCTCCTCTTTTTAGCCACGCCGGATAATGTTCTTGAATTCTTTTGGATAAAGTACGAGGCAATGGCTCAATAAGAAGTTCTATAGTCGAACACCTTGTGAACACAGGTCATTCAATCAAGACAGACTCTGCGTTAAAAGTCATCTACAAGGTAAGTAGAAGTTTCCCCAAAACAATTAGACTGCAACTTATTTGTATTGCCGAAGCAATACAAATACATCTGCAAAAACCAGAATCGTGTGTGCAAAAGCGACTGGTACAACCTCTTCTTCTACCATGGTCTTAATGTATCAAATTTTTTCTCTTTCTTCATACTCTTGTTCCTTTACAACCATCTGCTTCACCTTCCATCTTCCCTCTAAATCTTCTACCCCCAACTGGTTTGTTTTTAATTCCACTATCATTCCGATTACATTTCATCTCTGTTTCAACATTTTATTTTATCATGCTGAGCCATCCTTTCCCAATGGTAATTTCCCTATCTATCATTTGATGAATACTTAAGCCGTTAACAATCAAACAATTATTAAACTTTCCTTGTTTTAAAAAAATTTTAATACCTTTTTATTTAACCTCATTGTCACCATATGTATTACTATCATCCTGTTAAAATAAGTATATATATTTGCGATTGTACAGCTTTGAAAATCAATTCGCTGAAAAGAGAACTCTTCGCTGCACTAATCTTTCTTATTTAGAGTATATGTGTGACCAGATTGTTCGAAATATACAGCGCAAATATATCGAATTTTTCAGATCAACTAATTCTTCTGATTGTTCTATCGAAACTTATTCATGTTTATTTGTTTATTGACTGAAATGTTTATTCAATAGTTCGTTTAAATGGAATCCAGATTTTTCATGGTGGTCTAGCTTCAATTGACTCGTGATCTCAACCATTTAAATATATTTTGCTTTTCTAAAATTTTAAAGTTTCAGATTAATAATCTATATGTTACCATTTTGTGAGGTTTTGAGCTATTTGACTGTTGCTTAAAAAATTAGATTATGAATATGTCTGCTTTGACACTATGAATGTACATTGATGTGAAAAACAAATTTTGGTAATCAGACTATTACTAAAATACAATTTTACAACGTACATGACAAATCATATTGAAAACTATGAAAAATTACCTTCACCATAAAATGTTCATGGTGATTCTTCAGTTTCAAATGTGTCATAGAGTCTCAGTAGTTTTCAGGTAATGTAATAGTAAAAAAATAATATCAACAGTTCGCTCTTAGTTATGGACGTGAGTGCATACTACTGTGAAGTTTCAAATTTGGCAAAAAAAGTCTAATCAGTTCAATTAACTTTCCAACGGTTATACAATCAAAATTACTTAGTGACCCATACTATCTTCAAAAAATAGTTCTGTATTTCTTCATCGAAATTTAAACATGCATTTGAAGTGAATCATTAATAATAAACCTTTTTGATTAATAGTTCAATTTTATGAGAAAGACTATCTTGAAAATGTAGAATTTATGTACTTCTTAATAGTTTTATAATCCTCAATTTCAAATTGACTGTTTAGATAGTGTAATTAATTTTCATTTGAGATTCGATCTATTTATTCTAGGTGTAAACTATTTTTGTATTTCGAATTGTTTACTATTGTGACAGTATTACTATTTGTGTACAGTCTTTGAAATGAAAATTCTCAAATTTCCACAACTACTTTTTCTACGAACAATTTAGAAGTAAATATAAATCATCTAACAATCAGATAATCTTTAATTTGTATATTCATTAGTTTTGCTTTTAATATTTTGATTTAGTTAACTTGTTAACATAGTCTTACATTATTGTTGTAAACAAGGAAATGTGTATCATTTAAATGGATCAGCTATCCATAGTATCAATAAGTAGTTAACATGTGTGTAACTCTAACATTCCGGATCATAATGGACTTAAACAATTAAACGATTATTCTATTAATTTAACTTAAAATAATTCATTCAACATTTGAATTAGTTAATTTTTTGGTTAGCGTTTATTAGCGAGTTAGTTTTCTAAGGGATGGGGTCGCTAACCCCATGCCCAAATCTCCTTTATCCGGGCTTGGGACTGGCAGTAACTCAAGAAAGGCTCAGGCGATGTAAAAACCTTTAAATATCTGGGCAGCATCATTGGTGAATACGGTGGATCTGATGCAGATGTGAAGGCATGGATCGGCAAAGCAAGAGCAGCATATTTACAACTGAAGAACATCTGGAACTCAAACCAACCTTCAATCAATACCAAAGTCAGAATTTTCAATACAACTGTCAAAACAGTTCTAATGTATGGGGCGGAAGCTTGGAAAACTAAGAAAGCCATCGTCCAGAAGATACAAATGTTTATTCACAGCTGTTTACGCGAAATAGTTCGGATTCATTGGCCAGACACTACTAGCAACTACCACACTTGGAATCCTCAAGGCTAAAGGAAAAGACGAAGACCAAAGGACACATTAGGCCGAGAAATAGAGGAAGACATGAAGAGAATGAACAACAATTTGACAGAACTAGAAAGGAAGGCCCAGAAGAGAGTGGGTTGGAGAGTGCTGGTTCGCGGTCTATGCTCAATTAGGAGTAAGAAGTATAAGTAAATAAAGTAAAAAGTAAATCTATTCAACATTGATTTTTTTTATCTACTGTTCATCTATGTATAATCTCGTATGGATAACCTCAGTTTGAAACTACTTATTAGTGAATATATTTTATCTTTTAAATTGTATGTTAAAATGTCGACATGAAAATGTTCTTCTATTTTAAGACCTAGATACTTTCTTCTTGTAGAAAATGTAAAATGAATGTTTGTTTTTTCTCGTCTTAATAACTAGACAGAATCACATTAATAATATCTAGCCAGTATTGATTAGAATTTGGTTTATTTTATAGTAGAAAAAAATATTGTTCGTTTATTGTATGAAATGGAAAATCAAAATTCAATGTATCATTCAAATTTTCAATCTTATCTAAAACAATTACTTTTTAAATATGGATCTGATGTTTGTCAACTAATGATAAATAGTATTTGTAATGAAAGTAAGTGTATTTTTGTAGTTTATTTTTATATTATTTTAATGACTACAATTAAAAAGACATTTGATATTGTTTATTTGAATCTTTCCATTGATGTTTAATACTGCAATTAATTAGACTTTTATTAGCATATTTGCATATTGTGCGCGATGGCGTTTGAAACAAACGGTACTGTGTTCAAGTCCCAGGGTGAACATCAACTATGAAATGTAGGTACATCCAGTTTGACGAGTGCTTAATAGGATGAAAAGCGCGTCCTGGTTTCCAGTGCTTACCATTATTCATCATCGCATATACTACTATCATAGTTTTTTTTTAAATTGAAAATATCAACAACAAAATGTTAGGTGTTATACGATAATAATAAAAAAACAATAATGTATGATTTAATGGTTTACTTTAAACTATTCTATTAAACTCAAATAACATACAAGATATTCGATAATATGTTCATGAATTGCTTTCTTGTGGAAAAAAGAGCCCAATTTTATTGTATGGTGTTTTATTCAAGTGTTTATAGATAGGGAACAATAATATTCTTCTGAACTGCAGAACACTTCGAAGAGAGTTGCTCAAAGTGGATTAGAAAGTATTAGTAATTGTTGTACGTATGACTAACACCAAATTTTTAGTTAATGTTATTCATATTTATTTTCAGTAATCATTATATCTTGTTGATTAGTTAGATAATAGATTTTATGAGTCATGGAAATATAAATCAAGAGTGCTTCTAAATACTTGAGAAAATTTAAGTTTATCAATAAAGGAAATTATTGTATTCAGATGAATTGGTTTTTTATTGTTCATTTTTGAGTAAAATAAAGCTTCCAAAAGAAATGATTAAGTAAATTCACTTGGAGTTGTTTTATTTGTATCTTTCCATTGTCATTTAGGACTGCAGTTGACCAATCTCATGTTGGAATATGTGTATCCTGTGCGGATTGCCTCGATATAGCCATAATTCACAAGCTATTTAAGCAAAGAGGGATAGTGGCTAGTAGTGGAATCTAGGACGCGCGTTTCCTACCTGTGACGCAGACGAATTCAGTTGTCAAGTCCCAAATAGAACAAAATGCGCGTCCTGTATTCCACTGCTAGCCACTATTCATCTTTGCTTAATGATTAACTAGTTTACAAAGGTTTATTTACATAATACTGTTTAATTTCATTGATGTTTGTGTCGTTCAAGTTATCCGTAAATTAGAATGAAGTTATTTTTCTACGAGTTGTATATAAGTAATTGTTTTATTAAATATTTAATAATCTTGACTTGGTTATGAACTTATTATTATGAGTTTAATTTAGAGTATGATGATTAACAAATGGTATTAGTGTTATGAACGATTAGAAAACATTGGTCATAAAACATAGATTCAATTGGTCCTAGAGCTAAGATCTGTTTGAAATGGTAATTTTTATCATAATATATAAAACTGTAAACTTAACAGAAGTGAAGGTCTACAACAATGAACAAATAATATTCCTGTTAAGATTTCCAATGTTTGTATGTTTGATAAGATTACATAAGAATTAATAGCATAAATAAATATTTAAAAATGTAGTTATAGTGCATTATTCCATTGAGCTTAACATACGTCAATGTATTTCAAATATATGAAATTATCTCACTATTGCATAGTGATTAAGTATTAAATAAAAACTTCAGATACACCTTGTATTTAACATGAAAGTAATAAAGTCACCTAGACGTTTCTAAGTAGAAGGATTTTGAGATTGTTGAGAAGATTTGTAGCTCAGGTGGATGATTTTGATGGAGTTTCGTTCTCTGAGCTGGATGGTTTGGTCGTGGAGCTTTTATCGCTCTTCTGAACGACATAATCAGCACAAAAATTCATCAAAATCATAAGTAAACTGATGTTGAGTGACCGTTATCATTGTGTGAATGTTTGTTTATTAAATTTAAAATATTAAATAATGAAAATTGGTATATATATATAAGTGGTAATACAAAATTAGCTATACACACCTACTAATCCAGTTATTAAAGTTGTGAACGCGGTGATAAATTGCTTAATAAGTTAATGGATTAATAATAAGATGGATACAGATTAAATCTATTTGTCAAGCAAATATGTTTAAGTTAATTAGTTACTTAAATACTTCAATAATAAAGTATTGTATTAGAAGTAATACTGTAGTGAACAATAACATGAGTGAGGACAATCAAATGTATTTGAACACATCTCACTAAAATCTGAGAACTATATAGCAAATAGTTAATTTGCAAAATATCAACCCATCGTATCAAACTTGACTGTTCCTTTTGCAAATAACAGTCCATAGTCTCAGATTTCATTGTTCATGCATTTTTATACCAATTGCGCTCCGTTCCCGTTCCTTTTTTATCAATCTTCTACTAAAATACATTCTATATCTGACCACTGTTATATACTACTTATGTGGATACAAGTAACCTACACCACAATACAAGTGTTAACCTTTAAAATAGAAAAACAACAATGATCGTAAAATTACTCAATATTAGAGTTCTTTTAGTATTTATTTAGAATACAGCATATCATTTTTCAACAGCATAAGTGACATGAACTATACAATCAATCTTTATATAATAAAGCATCATATATTGTGTTATTATTTGGAGTTCCTATTAAAGGTTTTAAAAATACTTTTGAATAAAAGTTAATCATCTATGAAAATCATCTGTTAAACAAAATTATGTAAGTGCTAATGACAGATAATATAATTTACAATGGTATCAAGGGTGTAAATTGATATGTTAATACCTATAAAACTGTTATCATAGGTTTCTTGGTTTAAACTGTATGATTTAATTTCTTTGAATTGAATTAACTCCTCTTTTTTTAGATTTATGTTATTTGAAATAAGAAAGTTTAATTAACACATCCTAATGTCATTGTTTCTATTCACCAAAATGAAATTGGGTTTTGAATACTTTTTATCTTTGTGAATAATGGAGATTATCTGTCACGTTAGTAACTGATTGTTAATTATAAAATACTGTATTGCTTAATTACCACAAACAACCACATTTCATCTTATTTTTATTATTTTTACACACATATACACACAATCTCAGTCCACTATTTCATTTTACAAATGTGTACATTTCTCATAACCACATTCTGACACAAAAATTAATACAGTAACAGGTCATACAAATTCAAATTGACTAAGAAGAAAATGAAATTGACATATTCAGACTTATTATGATTTTGATTATGCTAAAAATATTTTGCAATGTTTTCTTCGTACTGTCTAAACTTGTATTAATTTAATATTAGTTATTTATTTACCCTGAAGAAGTGGCTTTTATTAAGTCATGAAAGGAAAGAAGTATAAGTTTTCTACTCACTGGAATATAACAAAAGTATATTTGTGAAAATTGTAATACAATAATAGTGGAATTCATTAGTCGATCTAAGCTGGACCACTAGGAAAAACCTAGAACTGGACGCGCGTGAGATCGAAGGTTCTGAGTTCGAGTCCCGAGTGCGAGATCGTGGATGCGCACCGTTGAAGAGTCCCATGCTAGTACAAAACGGCCGTCTAGTGCTCCCAGGTTTTCCGAGGTGGTCTAGCTTAGATCGAATCATGACTTCGACTATTAAAAAAATGTTTATTATCAACTCTCTACTGAATGCTCAATTTATTTGAAACATTCAAGTTCAACATTGGTATTGGTACCTATTGCTAGGCTATATTATTGTACAACAATGAAATTATATCGATATTTAAGAAACTAATATATAACACTTACAATGTTCTTTTATATGGCGTTTAGAATCAGTTAAATAATAGTGAGGTCGAGTCGTTTGTACGTTTTCATGATTATTAGAGTATGAAAAACCTTTTCTGTTTGTTCAGAAAGAATGAACTTATTCTGTGTGTTAAATGGCTTAACATTTAAATTTTATTATGGTTTGGCTTCATTATTTTTATATCTATCTCTTTTATAAATCATTCTTCAATATATAAACTTTTGTCTTGTTGAAGTGAGGCTTAAATTCAAGATGGATTAACGTCATAATTTAGAGATTGTATTCAATCTGCTACTAATAAACGTTTACATTACTAACTATTGTCACAATGAAGTAGTAGTTTTATTTTTAATATGTTTAATACTAGCTATTGTATAGTTCTGTTATTCGTCAATTAACCTGCAATATTGGGCTTGGTGTCATTAGTGAATCTATTTCCACGAGGTCAGAACCACTCAGAAATCATTCTTGCATCTTGTCATCTTCCTCCAACTAACTGTTCACATATAGTTCTTCTCAAAAATTATAGATTATGTACTACTATGTATTTTGTGAAAGTTTAGTCTTATTCTTGTAATGTATACTTGGAAGGTAATACGAGGTTAGTTATTTTGATATAAGGTGCAATAAAAATCATGAAGACATTACTGATTTTCAACTACTGCCTTCACTGTAAAGACTTCATCATTTTAGCAAATGGTAATAAAGTGAACGCAACGACCTGAAAATATTTTAGCCATGAGTTAACAGATAATTTTTATAAATACAGCCAGTCATAGACACAACCGAATTCTGATAAAAATATACGAAAGTACTTCTAACGCCATTGAAAAGTATATGAACGAATCCGACTTTGGTGTCTCGCGGAATATACTACTCATTTACATGGTGGTCATCTCTGTTTTTCGTACATAGCGCATATTTAGTCTAAAACAATGAAAACATTCAAGGTAATCATTTATTGCGTATGTCAAAGTTTAGGTAGGCTGATATAACCGAAATATGTAAAAAAACATAACCGATTCGGAAAATTGATTGACCATAGTGCAATTTTTTACGTATTTCGCGGCAGTACTACGTAGTTGATTCTTATGAAAAAAGATTATTTACACTGAATAATTATCATTATAAATTAAAGTAAACATGATTTCAATGATTATGTTTTTCCGATTTCAGACCATCCATCCTTAGATCATTCTGTACTTATGGTAGTCGTTGAAGCTGCTATTCTACTTGCTAAATTATTAACATCACAGCATCAAGCACGCTCTGGCTCAATGTTGATGGCTTATATTTTAAAATATATTCAAAATGTATTAATGCTAATGAGTAAGCATTTATTTTAGATAAACAATGTATTAATATATTGGTCTGTAAATATATAAATTTTTAATGTAATGATATAGTTTAAGAACATTATTCATTAATTGGTTACTAATTATTACTGTAGTGATTTTAAAATGCTAATAACCATGGTTTTCTTTAGTCTAAGAAATGAAAATGTAACTTTTAATCTATGACAGAATTTTTCCACGGATTACCAACTGATCCACCAATTCGGATACTACTCATCGGTGCTTCTTGATAAAACATTTAAAATTTAAAGTTATTTATGAAAAGGAACTAAGTGGTTATGTGGTGTGAGCTACTTATATCCACATAATTAGTATATAAGATGGTCAAACACTGAATGTATTTCAGTAGAAGATCGAAAATGAAAGAATGGGCACGAAGAGCAATTGGTATGAAAATGCATGAACAATGAAATCTGAGACTATGGACTATTATTTGTAAAAGGAACAGTCAAGTTTGATGCAGTGGATTGATATTTTGCAAATTAACTATTTGCTATATAGTTCTCAGATTTTAGTGAGATGTGCTCGAATACATTCGATTGTCCTCATTCATGTTATTGTTCACTACAGTTATTGTCCAATTATGTAGATTAGTAATAGACTAAATAGTCTGTGACTTTATTATTACATGACAACTAATGAACAAAATATCAATCAATGATGAAGCATCATCTTTAAATCCTGATATATCTTGCTAATTAGTGTTCATAAATGAAGAATTATCCATAAAAATTCTTGTAAAATAATTTTTTTAGGATTATAAAGCGAATATATTTAATCAACTATTGAAACAAAAACAAAAATATTCTATTTATACGTATATTTTTTCAAAACTTAACATTAACTTAATCTGGTTTTGTGTGTGTGTGTGTGTATTTTCCATATATTTTTGTTATACGGTAAGTAACTCTTAGTTAATGTATGGATACATATCCATAATCTTTCATTCATTCAAATTATTTAAATAATCACACTTCTATGTTGTTGTTGTTTTACTCTTTTTTTTTCTTTTTCAAGATAAGTTATATATTTCACTGAAAAATAAGTTTTAGGTTTCTAGGTCATTGTCATTTTTTCTTTTTGACCTGAAATTGGAAACAATACTAAAAATAACTAGTTTTCTTAGTGTAAATTATAAGAATTAACCTGATGTAAAATGTCTTTATGTGAAGATGTAAAAAAATAAGAAAGAAACTAAAGTTAATTTAATTAATTAGCTAAATATTATGAATTTTGGGAATCGAATTCAAAGTATCCTAGTCAAGTTTCTATGTTTGTTTGTTTTTCGTTGTTGTTGATGAAAATAATAACAAAATATTAACATAGTTACTTGATAAAGTACATGATTAAAACACAAATCAAAATGTCTTCTATGAGTGATTCTAATATTGTTTCTATTCCATATTCACCGTATCTTAAAGTTATTGAAGTGTTGTTATTTTCGTTTGTCGATATTACAATATTCAAGTGAAGTATGTTTTAATTTTGAATATGAAACAAATAGAATAAGTTTACATAAAGATTTGAAAAAAAGAATTTGCGATATTTGTGATTAATCCTTGAATGTAGAAATTTGAAAGTCAGATTTATCGATGAGTTAACATAGACAGATGATGTGTATTCACTAAATCCATGCTGAATATACTTGAATATATAATTTTGGAATATATTTTTTTGTTCATTATTATTATCCCTTCTAGAAACCATTTTCATTGACCATGTACTTTAGAACAATAAAAAAGGATAACAATTTACTGTAAAATACATTTTGTAAAAAAATTAAAATGTAATTCGTCAGTCGAAGTTTAAACTTCATTTATTGATACTGTATATTGTCAAATGTAAAAATCAAGTTGAAAATGAAAGAAACACCTTTAATGATGCGTGACATAATGAATATTTACTAAGCGACTAGATTTCAATGAAGTTACTTTCAGAGCAGTACCATAGAAATTATGTATTACTTGTGTACTGATAATTAATTTATGTTCTTTTTGATTGTACAGATATTTATCTGATATTGCGAAGAGAAGAAAATACAAATAAAATTATGAGACTAATATGTTGATTGCGAGGGTTTTGTATATTCAGTAAACATGTCATTAAAACAAAGAGTATTAGCTGTGAATGAATTGGTTGCATTACATGGTGAGATAAATTTTGAGAATGGAATGTTCTTAGAAAGAGCATGAATATAGCATTGACTTAGTCAAGGCAAAATGTTTATGAAATGGATAGAAAGGATAGGGATGGGAGTCTGTAAAATTGGACATAACAACCATCATAGAAGTGACAATATATTTTTTCTCGAGTTAATAATTCCCGCACTTCATGATGTTTAACAAAGGTTTACTGTGTACGCGGAATTGAGAAAAAGGCTTGATTTATATTTAATTTGTGCGTTTTATTTCAATAACGATTGGTTTACACGAATTTATAATGTTGGGTCGCGGTTCATTATTTTAATATGTGATGTAAGAGAGCTATAACTTAACATTTTATAAGATATAAACGCAAAGATCTTGCTTACTTTTGATAGTCCTTTTGACGAAATAATTTTAGATGATTTTAAAAACTGCAAAACGTTAAATCATTCAGCAAATATGACTCAAAAGCAAATGACCCAACAAGATGTTCTAAGTTTATGGTTTCGATGTCGAGCAGAATTGGTTCGTTGTCAGATATATGAAGTGGATGGTGGAAGGATACTTCAAGGTATGAATAAACTGATAAGATAAGGTAAAGCTACTGTCTGTATACATACAGTGAACTACTGAGAATAGTTTTACTATTTTAATCTATAACAAATGTTTGTTACTTCTAAACAAACTTCATGTACTGTAATGCAAATTATTTACCTCCCTAAGTGATGAGGCTAAGTTTAGTTTATTTTAATGTTGGTACAATGGTCTTTATTGAAAAAATTACTAAATCCGTCAGAAACTCTCCGTGTGATAAAATTTCTCAACAAATATTTAACAAAACTGTTGAAAGTACATAATACGGTGTTATTTATTACTAAATGTTATTCCAGAGCGTCTTATGTTCATATCTTATAAGCAATCGTCGATCATGAAAAATGCAAGTCTTCTTGCGTCAGATACTTTCCTTTAATATCTTTGACTATGTTTTAATTTCTACGGAAATTGGTTCCTTTAGCTTGAACTTCTTTATTTCCTGAAAACGTTAGGCGTTACAGTTCGGAAAGAAACGTCTGATAAAAAAACAGCTTTTGTTTAGCCAACTTAATTGTTGATAAGGATTTACAAAGTAATACTAACATCCGTTGTCGGATAACGTGATATGTTTGGATCATAAGATTCACCTTTAGACTTTAAAAATGAATACTATAGTACAACAGCATAATTTCAGAAATACCGTAACTTACATATTAATAAATTCAGTATATGTGGTAAAAAAGATAATCATTGAGAGTTTGTTAATCATTTGAACAATGTTTATGCCTGACTATTGATACATAGATTTCAACCGATATACTTAGAAGTGTAGAAATAAGTATAATATAGTGACATTCATTCAGAAAACAAGCTAAATATCTCTTAGTTATGGTTCATTTTCATCTAGAAATTTCTGTTGCTATTTGATAGTTGCTACGTTGAAGATATTATGATATCACCTAGGTCCGGCGAACCAAACGATAGTCAGCAACACAACAAGAAGACGAACTACGCTATTTTACTGCACTCCACTCTGCTAACCATATATATATATATATATATATATATATATATATATATATATACTATGGGGTTATTCTTCATCCGCATCAAAAGAACATGAAGATGATCTGATTTTTACCATTTAACCCAGTGCAAAACCATCTTGAAATGTTTACTTTAATTTCATATGTTGTTAAAAAAAATTTATGTCAAGAGTGACATGTGAAAAATTATATGTTCATTTAGTAATGAATAAAGTTGAGATAGGTTAATCAAATGTACGCATTAATGATGACGCTCATTTTGCTGTGTTGGTATATTCTTACTACGATTGTGTAGAAAAACATTATTACATGTTAAAATAGATTAGTCTTAAATGTTTTGATATAAACATTTTACATTGATAATGTTTACACATGGTGATCAATCAATTAACTCACTTAAATGATATAAATCCATAGTAACATAAACTTTATCATAAAATGAATGATAGAAACAATTTTGGTTTCAGTTAACTTATTCATTTCATAGAATGTTAGGAAAATCCTAGTTAGCCTATTGAATAAAATATGTTAATAATATCTAACGAATAATTTAATTCAATTAATTTTGTTTTATAAATAATAATAATAATAGAACTTCCTGAAACAGAAAATTATGAAACACCAAAAGAAAATGACAATTTAAAAATTGCATTAGAAGAAACAAAAACAATCGAATTTAAAGAATACTGGAATGAATTTACTCTGCTTAACAATCAACTTCTATTTATTAGAAATAGATTAGGCTATGAAAAAACTACCAACATTATGGTAAATAATATTGTGATGTTTTGTCATTGTTGCTTATTTATTTATCTATCTATTTGTTTGTTTACATAGCGATTTTTAGTGAGTTAGTTTTTTTACGGGATGGGGTCGCTAATCCTATACCCAACCCTCCTCCTTTATGCGGGCTTGCGCCCGGCAGTAATGTAGTGTCGGTTATTATGTTAAACTCATATACCTTAATTTAGCTTTCGGACAGCCAAGTCTATTCATTCTAATTGAGTCACATTTGACCTTGTTAATTATTCGCTTATCAATCTTCACTATTTTTATATGAGCATATATGTGTGTACACTTCTTATCCTATTCATCACATGTCTGTAGCCTATTTTTGTGTGACTATAAATATTGATTAACGCTTGAATAAATGTAGTTGGCTTACCCGCCATCTCCACTGCGCGTCGTCTCGCTTCTCTCTATTCCATTCGATTCATATACAAAATATATATATTCAAAAGTTCGTTCTCGTTATTTGACTTATTTAATTCTGTTATTCATTGAACGCGGATGAAGTTGATAAGGACATACGAGGATAGGCGATATATATATATATATATATATATATATATATTTCAATAACAATCATTCATACGATCAAGTTGGAGTCAAATCCCGGGCCACTAAAGTGGAGAGCCCGTCAACAAACATCATTCGATCTAAATGAAGACAAAATAAAAGGCCACACGAAAGTATCCCCAGAGGGGCTCCAAGCAGAGTTGTTTGTTTACTTAATAAGTAGAAAAATAAACCCATAAATATATTTGTATCATTTAATGTGAATAAAGATGATTTACGGAAATTAGAATTTAAAAAAATAAAATAAAGGAAACTGTGTACAATGAACACTTACTTTGTCATAATCCTAATGAATAAACATATAAAGATTTAAAAATAAATAACTGTACGAAGATAACAAAAGAATGAGAAGAAAAAGAAGCAGGCAAATTCTTAAGTTGTGTGCTTTTTTTTCTGTTTTTGTCAATAAAACAATGATAATAATAAACCGTATAATTACATAACTATGATGAAACTTCCTGAAATAGAAATAAACAAACAAACAAACAAAAAATAAGCATTAACAAGAACAATTAATTTACACGAAACTGATTTCATTCTTCAATATTTGTTTATTGAATTCACACTTGAATGGATTATTTTTCCAGGAAATTCCTTTGGAATTAAATTACATATAAATAGACATCTTAATAGATGAATGAATGTATTGAAAAGTTTTTAAAAACAACACCAATAATTGCGTTGGTAAGAATAGCGTTATGTCAAGCATAAAATCTTGTGTTTAAAGAAGAAGACAATTATGTATGTATGTCAATCTTATACAATCGGAAAATGTTAGATTGAATTGTAGTTTAGTTTCCGTAAAAATGTTTTCTAATTGTTTTGATCATATTCATATTACCATTTTACTTAGATGTTTCTTTTTTCGTGAGCTTTATCGAAATAATCTGTTACAAAAACATACATTGTAATGGGCTGATAAGAGTTAAACATGATAATCAGGTCTTAGTTTCGTTGGGTTAAGTAATGGCATGTGAGTTGAGCACCTTAACTTTGATTTCATTGTTAAACGAATCATAATCGTACTTGTTTTGTTATAAGGATGTTGTATATTTGTACTATTCTGAGATAATGTATGATCTTTAGTGATCAGTTATTTATTTATAGATGTTCGTTATTTGGGTACTTTAGTCGGATTACATGAATATTTGTGACTTATTTACATTTCATTCTTAAACTGAGGAGACAAGTGGCATAGTCCATAATCTCACAACCATACTTTATTTGTTTATTACCACATGATCAGTTACCGTAATTTGGATTATAATCTAAAAAACATGAAACGAACTTTTCCAATAAGAGCGTTTATTTATTGTTTGTTATGTATTGGATTAACGATACAGGTTACAAGATGCTAGAAGCCCTAATACCCGATTGTAACTCAGGGTTACATGTGATATATGATCATTTTAACGGTAAAACAATAGATCATTAATATTTAATAAAATAACTCGCATGGTATTTCACTTGAAATTGGCATATGGTTTTGGCAACTGTATATCATTCAATATTCTATGAAAATTGATATAGAATAGATGGAATGTGGCTAGCAGTGGAAACCAGGACGCACGTTTCGTTTTATTTAGAACTCGTCAGATGGCTGTACTTGAATTAAAGAGTTTATGTTAATTCCGGGCCACAAACGCTGTACAGTCCGCTAAAAAAGTTATCACGTTAATCACCCAGTTACTGAGTCCGATAGCCAATCACATAACGGGTATGAATTTCAAGGAAAGTTTAATTGAGTATATCAGTGGTTGTTTCAAATGCTTCCCAGTTAAAAGACCGCTTACTTCGGTAGTCCAGTCCAAGCTAGGTTTAAATAAACAAAAGTTTTTAAGTAAATAAACAAACTACCCTATTGTGAAAATACTAAAAAATGAGCATTTTGTGTTCACTTAGTATTCTGATGTGATGGCATTTTCATGTGATATAATTAGTCCTTTCCACTAAACAAAACAACAAAATAGGTTAAGGCTGATTATTTACTACATTGTGAAGAGTCGTTAAATTTCAAATTATATATTTCATATCTTATATTTGGTACTATAACAGTTTATAACCCTTTGATATATTTGTTTCTTATTAACCAACTTTATAAGATAGAGGAAATTAGTTTAACAAACAAATGTAATCAATTACTTGTTTATGATATTCTTCGTGAAAGTGATTCAGTAGTACAAGAATCATTTCAGAATATATTAACAGTAAACGACGATAGTTTGTTAGTTAAATTGGAAGATAGATTGAAGATACTATTGAATGTACAGAAGATACTAATACAAGAGGTATGTTAAACTAGATTTTTTCATTGTAATAATAATCACTGTAGTTATTGTGAATACCATATGGTATGGATAACACTATTCATATTGTTTTACTTAGAGTCCCAACCATTACTGTCATTAAAAGATCATCCAGAATTTTACGTAACTGAGCATTTACTATCTGAAGGAAAATGTTTTTGATGTCATAAATTTTGATGTCAATAATTCTGAAAGATGAACTGTAATAATGTAAAAATATATGTGACTCATTAGAAGCCTGGCTATAAATTGACTCGTTGAAGCTGCGTTATACCGACAATCATGATATCACTTGATAACTATGTTATGAAAATACACGGATTATTTTTCGTTTTACACACAAAGTAATGTCATATTTGTTTCTAGTGTTCTGTTTCATTCATATTTATTTATTTTTCTACTAAATTTTTTGGCAACAAAGAGAGACGGTTATTCATTATCACAGTAAGGATTTGCAGAGATAGTAGCGTTTTTATTAGTTTAATTCTTGAGTTGATCTAAGCTAGAAAACCAGTGAAAACATAGGAGCACCAGACGACTTTTTTGTCCTGGTATGGGACTCCTCAGCAATACACATCCACGATTCCGCACGCCGGACTCGAACCCGGGACCTTCGGTCTCACGCGCGGACGCTTGACCCTTAGACCACTATGCCGGCATTCAACGGTTTTAATGTCTAACTTCAGTCGATCCATGATCTTGCGCGACCCTTTTATGTATTACACTCATAAGTTGAATCTTAGAACCGATTCAATCTGTTTAATGATATATTACTATTATCATTTTTATTGTCGTTTTTCGAATAAGTGTGAACAAATTATGTTCTTTGTGATTATTTATATCTCCCTGTCGTTAAGATTTGAGGCTGAGATTGATCAATCTCATTTGGACTTCGTGCAACGTGAAATGATATCCAGGATATTGTTACAAGTTTATATTATATTTAATTTGTCACTAGCATTGAAGATCTGGGATTTGTATTTCATCCTGTTCGGGACTAAATATTTATTGTAAAAAAAGTCGTTTAGAAGTTAGATGAGTTGACAATTAATTGAATTGATAATGAGTTTCTTCAAGGTAAATAGTTTATATAAACTGATAACATTATCTCGACTCCGATTTCATATTATTTGTTTTAGTTATTCTAGTGTTGTGACTAAATACACTAATCGTTTGACATATTAAGTCTAGTAAGTGCAATACTTTTACATATAGCCCTAACACAGTAGTAAATTATCTGGAATCGTAATTTCAATGTAATAAACACAGAATAAAAGGAAACTTTCATAACAAAATCTGTGAACCTTGTAACCTTCAAACAGATTATTATACTTTCTTACGTGTAAACATTATTGCAATTTTTATAAAGATGGCTTATCATTGTTATAGCTGAACAATTGTGGTGAGGGTATCAGAAACACTTCATTATTCCAAAATACAATAGCAGAAATCAGACTGCCTCTTCATAAAAATTGGAAAAATTTAATTCAAATTGGATTAAGAGTCTCACTTATTCTGTTATCACTTGGTGATATCAAATCCACACATTCCTTAATTACACAAGCCAATAATATGAGAGATAATCATCCTGATTGCATCAGGTTAGTTTTCTGTTAAATTGTGACCTTCATATAACTGATAGTTTGTGTTAACAGATATTTTAGTTGATTACAGTACACGTTCTAACAAAAAAGACTGGTGTAAGAGATTTTCTTTTTCTTTTCTTGCTTTGAAATCAAATAGTATGCACATATGTAATTCGGATATTCGCCAGTAAGTTAAATTCCTGCAAAAACACATATTGAATAGATTAATACTTAGTTTTACACAGTGATTATATAAGGAATAAAAATTTAAATGAAAGTAAAATAGAAAATTACATTTGTACAATTTATTACTTTGTGATATCTACATTCCATCAAATCAATTCATTATATACGAACAAAATCATAATACGAAACACTAATTCAGTGATATTTGTTAGGGTACTTCAAAACGTACTGGGATTTAATTATTAGATTATTATTATTAGACGATACCATTTGTGAGCGTAAAGTTGGAAAATGAGTATAGTTAAGTTCCTTAAAAAAGCTTAGACAGCATATTAAGTTTGGTTTGAAAAGCTTCAGTTTCTGTATGCACTTCACAAGTCATTTTTATCGGAAATTACACCAAATAACCTCACGTCTGAACATTGTTACACCTATTTCCAAATGAATTCGCAGGAGACACTTGTCTCAGTGGATATAGTATATCTTCAAAGATGGGTGGTGGTTAACAGTGGGATCTAGGAAGCGCCTTGCGTTTAACTGGTGACACATCAGCTAGATGTACCTGCATCTAGGAGCTGATTTCTCCGGGACTAGAACTCAGTACCGTTCGCTTCGAACGTCACCACGTTATCCACTTAGCTACTGAGTCCCGATGGCCACTAGCTTATGCTATTGGGTGAAGTGTTAATTCACTTTGTATTGTCTGTTTGAAGTGAGTCGTGGAGTGAACATCAAATCTGGAATGCAAGTACACTCGGCTGACGAGTCCCAAATAAGACGAAACACACGTCCGGCATCCCATTACAAGCCACCTCCACTCTTTACTGATAATGCTTGTGACTTAAGGCAATATCGAGGCAATCCGCACAGGATGCACATATGCCGATGAGAGACTGATCAATTGTAGTCTAAAACATCAGTGAGAAGATTCAAACACATAATAAAAAATGAAATAATATCCTTTCACGTGCTTCATAATTTCTCGGATTGATACCGAAAGAATATTAAACATATTAGCAAGATGGCTAGCACCTCTTATCCAACTCCATAAAACTAATATATATTTACTAGTTATTTTTTTATAATGGTATGTTGTAGTTGAATATTTCATTGAACACGAATTTGTCTACCATAGTATTCGTTGTCCTTGATCCAGTTTATGAGTCTGCTAGATTTGTAATAAAGTCCATGACTTTTATCAAAATGACTTACACACAACACTATTGAGTTAGAAAGAATAGATGATGTTATTTTGACAAATAACACATCAAAGCATAAACTCACTTAAAATGTGACCACCAATAAATCAATGGAGTTTTAGATCAAATATAAAAGGGAACAATATTTTTCAAAAAATTATTTTTAGTTTTCCAAAATAGTGTATAAGTATTAAATGTCCAATGTATTGAATTAGGTCAAGGTTTAAACAGTGTTTGACATCATTTTGTTTAACTTTTATTTCTCTTTACATACCATATGTTTCTTTGAACTTGATCATTTATCACTTTTTTTTGTTCTTAATTTTGAAATATTTAGGTTAGTCTTTGTATTTATTTGTCATATACAGCACATATTATTTGACTAATATATTTAAAGTTTCTTTTTTCTAAATGTTTCGTAAAAACAAAATTATACAATCAACGTTTTAGTATTAAAGTCAGTATTATAAATAAAATACCTGGTAGGAAATATAAAGTATACTGTGTTATATTGAGCAGGTTTTCTTATAAAGTAAACGTTCATATATCTACTTTATAAAATAAATAACTTTAATATCAAGTGTGAGTATACATTGATTGTGCTTGTTCATGCGTTGAAACTGTGATGCATTGATTCACGATGTTGTTTATCATTGAACTCGAATTGTTTTCTCTGTTTCTGCCTCTCTGAATATGTATAGAGACAAATACACGTTAACTACGCGAAATTAAGGAATATTATGTTATACGTACTTAAAATTTGTCATTAATGTAGGATACGTTTCTATCATTTGAAAACTTGTTATATTTAATACTAAATACTTTGTATATTACTTATTATTGACAGTTATCTATTAAAAAACTCTATTAAAAGAACTTCTCAACCATTACTTTATAACACACCTCTTGAATGTTCAGTTACAAAAAGTTAATATTTTCATCAAACACTTGATCACAAGTGAACGTGTATAAAAGTTTCAGTAAGAAACTTTACCAAATAAACATATTCTCATGATTAAGAACTTTCGTCTAAATTTGAACGAATAGTTTCACAATATTTGGGCGTCGAGTCAATTTGAGACATTAAAAAGAAGAATATATTTGTAAAATCTCAGCGAATGAATTTTAAGTAAATCCAACGTTTCGCCTGGCAATCTGGTCCAAGCTTTTTCAAGGAAAATATAATCCTGAAAAAGCTTGGACCAGATTGCCAGGCGAAACGTTGGATTTACTTAAAATCCATTCGCTGAGATTTTACAAATATATTCTTCTTTTTAATATCCTCATGATATTTTAAAATCTATATGACAGCCGATCAATCAATAAGTTCAGGACATTAAGATTACATAAGTGTAATATCTAATTGCAAATACTTTAGTTTAATATTACAGAACAATCAAATCAAGTAAATTACTTTATTTTCAAAGTGAGAAATTTCCTGTAGATGTTTAACGAATTCTCATTATCATTTGAATATAAGATAAATAGAGCATAAACATTTCGAAATAGTTTAGTTCCTTTTCTTATACGAATGGTCACAAAATAAAATAAATGTATAACAAATTTGTTTTATGATGTTTTACATCAACCCGTCATATCATAACTTATCGTTCTATATTAAAGTATTTCGAAAGAGTAATAATAATAAATAATAATTTATACTACCATGGAAAACCTGAAAGCACTGGATGACCGTTTCGTCCTATTATGGAACTCTTGAATAGTGCGCATTCACCGTCTAATTTCAATTGACTCATGAATTCAACTACTAAATCACTATAATATCCCAAAAACCCCTCTTTGATTATATCTTGTTATAATGTTATTCGAATAATAGCCTTGAAGGCAATCCCATTCAATATCTCAGTGAATATTCTAAAAAATGATAAAAGCTGGATACCACTGAAGAATTCAGTTTATTACATGATATGAATTAAATTCTTTGATTTGTCTAGATAAATATTTTATGATGTGAAATACTCTTATGTTTATTTATTATATAATTATTTATTGTATTTATTTTAGAATAATAACACTGTTACATATGAGCTCTGGTCAAATATATAATGAAGCATTAGATGTTTTAATTTTTTCTCAGAACATATTAAAACATCTTCCACCAAATTGTCCATGTATAGAAAGTGAATTATTGTTCATCAAAGGTAATTTGAAGAATTTCACATTTTCAATAATTTCAATGATTGAGATCATGAGTCAATCGAAGCTAGACCGCCATGTAAAAAAACCTGGATGTGCACTTCTGAGGAGTCCCACAACGGGACGAGACGGCCGTCCAGTGCTTCTAGGTTTTCCATGGTGGTCTAACTTCAATTGGCCCATGATCTCAACTAATGAAATTACTCCACAAAACCCCTTCTGATATTTTCATTAATTATCTATGTGATTTGAATATTATCTTGAAAATGTTTCTAGTAATTCCTTATATTATTCAATTATTTATAAAAGATGATTTATTTTAACTTTGATAAATGAACATAATAATTATGGACTTATAATTGTAATGTCTGATGGTGAAGTTATTTCAAGCATTCACTCTTTTTATTCTTTATTTTTAAATATTCTATAGGAATTTTCAGACTACTGAATATCAATAAGTTGTACCTGCCTATAGGAATAGATGTGATCGTTTCGGTGTCACGATTCCATCCGATTTTTGTTATTATAGATATAGATGATGCAGAGTGATATGATAACTACCATGAACCATTTAGAAAGATCGCCTGAGGTTGATTAGAAATGAACTCATACCTTTAAAATAAGATGTTTTTATTGATTTCTATTTTTATTAGAGTAAGATTTTATCGCAGAATGAGATCAAGTGAGTACTTGTTGAAAATTAAGAATCATTGACATTCATTTTATCTAAGTCTGAGACTCCTCAACAAGGAGTTTCCATCACCTTCCTAATGGCCAGACTCATAATGTTCATGTCTCTAGAGGTGCATGTTTAATTTAGGCTGTCGATTTTGTATTCAATGGTATACAATTCTAATTACCATCAACTGACGATATAATGCAATGCTGTTGAATGTTATTACTGAGTTTTAAAGTTAAGTATTGTTCCTCGATGAAGTGGAATTCAAATGAAACTGAAATGTACATAAATCTGAGCAAATCATTTTTTTTCTACACATACTAGTAGGTAGCATTGTGGTGATTCCGTATTTTAATGAGAAAATGCGTCTTATGTGATTCAACCTTATCGAGTTGACTAAATTAGGAAATTTCATACACATAGTTCCCTTTATAATTTTAAGGAGAGTAAGAACAAAGGTTGGTACAGAATAATATGAATTCATTTTATTTCGTCACGTTCTCATCAGCTGCTTACAACTTAAAATATTTGAAATTCAACGTTATTATAGATATTGACATACTTATACAACAGAGGGCGATGAAGGATGAATATATGTAACATGATGTGGCAAAGATTTCGTTAGAGTTAATGAAGTCATAAAATTTTGTTTCGAATATATAAAGTTTGAGAGGGAAGGTTCTAGAACATTGAAATAGTGATTAGAAATCATGGAATTAAAACACATTAGACGATTATGTAATGAAGTAACTGAAAATAGATTAATGTTAATAAAGAGAGATATGAATTGAAATTGGTCAGTTATGAATGATGTAATTATAAAATTCAGAAAGAGTTGAAATGACGTAATAAAAATAAATAAAATAAAAGGGGTGGGGTGAATGTTACCAGGGCAAAGAAAGATTTATTACTGTTTCTTTTTGTATACAAAGATCTGGTTTTAAACGTTTGATTGCTATTGCTTCCGCGAATTTCAAAAGGTTTGAATTTGATTGTTTGTTGATCACCTTGAAGGACTTCAGTATATCGACTTCGTGTCCTGTGTCAAGGAGATGTCTTGCGACAGCGCTGCTAAATGCTTTTAGTCCGTTTGATCTCAAACTGTTCGGAATATGTTCTTTGAATCGGACGTAGGCTCTCCTTTCTGTTCTACCAATGTAACTGCTTTGGCAGATACATGTAAATTTGTATACACAGTTGGTGGTAACATGAAAGGGATACCTGTCGACCTTTGATTGTGTCAAAGAACATGTCGTTTTGGACAGGACAATCAATTTAGCTGCAGGATATGTTTTTGTCAGTGCAGTTTTTAGTCTCATATTGATTGACCCTGTGACATTATCGCCTTTGAACTTGAGTTGAATAAAAACAGGTTTTTTATTTACTGTAGTTTCTTTGGGTATTTTATCTTCACGTTTTCCATATTTCTCAATGAATTTCAATGGGTATCCGTTATTTCTTAAACACTTTTTAACATTCATAATTTCCTCTTCTATTGTATCGGCAGTACATATTCTTTCTGTTCTATGAAACAGTGTTTTGACAAGTGCCTTTTTATAATTGATTGGACAAAAGCTGTTGAAATTGAGATAAATACCATTCCATGTGTCTTTCTTATAAACTGAGCGTTGAACTGTGCCATCCTTTCTTCGTTTTATCGCTATATCGAGGAAATGGAACATGTTTTCTTTTTCATGTTCCATAGTGAAATGAATATTTGGATGAGCTTCATTGAAAAACTTTAACAGATTTGTTGCATGTTGTTGATTATTACATAAGATGAATGTATCATCAACATACCTCGAATAATACATCATTTCATCAATCGCTCCTTTGAGCTTGGTTCTTTCGAGGTTAGCCATGAAAATGTCTGCTAGGACGGGGCCTAACGGACTTCCCATTGCTACACCATCGGTTTGTCGGTATATAGTATTGTTGAACTGGAACTGAACATCTTTTGTACACAAGAGTAATAGTCGTTTGAATTCTATTGCTGGTAGAGGTAGGATATCAGGATGTTGACAAATTATGTCTATGGTTTCAAGAAGTGGTATTTTTGTAAACAATGATGTCACATCAAACGAAACCATAACCTTACAAGCAATATTCATGTGATTCATGCTATCAGAAAATACATAATCGTTTAATGTGTTTTAATTCCATGATTTCTAATCGCTATTTCAATGTTCTAGAACCTTCCCTCTCAAACTTTATATATTGGAAACAAAAAACAATTTTATAACTTCATTAACTCTAACGAAATCTTTGCCACATCATGTTACATATATTCATCCCTCATCGCCCTCTGTTGTATAAGTATGTCAATATCTATAATAACGTTGAATTTCAAATATTTTAAGTTGTAAGCAGCTGATGAGAACGTGACGAAATAAAATGAATTCATATTATTCTGTACCAACCTTTGTTCTTACTCTATTTTTAAATTAGGAAACATAAACACCTGGATAGTGACTACTTAGTCCAAGTGTAAGATGGTTACTACGACTCCAAAGGGCTATGATTTCGATCTTTAAATGCTTCCTTGGTGAGCAACTCTGAGGATTTCATGCAAGAAATGCTCAGTTTTTAACCCTTCCTGAATTTCAATGGTTTTTTAGACTATATCATTGCGTCAAAAGGGGTTTTTGTGGAGATTTTAGAAATTTCACTGGATGAAATCATGAGTCCATTGAAGTTAGACCACCATGGACGAAACGGCCGTCCAGTGCTTCCAAGTTTTCCATGATGGTCTAACTTCGATTGACTCATGATTTCAACCAGTGATATATCATTGCGTGTCAACATTTCCGTTCTAGATAATCTAATCTCCATATTCCTGTCAACTGAACACTGACTATAAGAGTTTTCATCAAAATAAGCTAATGTCGGACTGTTATCGAAATATCAAAAGTGTTCAATTTAAAAGATTACAAAACATTCATTAATTTGGTTTTTATCTTGCTTTCTTTTCTTCAGAACACAAAATATTTGTAAGGAATTTTTTAATATTGATGAAAATTCATATAACTAGGATCAAAATATTTATTTATGACAATCATTATTAATAATAACCTTCATACTTGAATAATAAAAGCTTTACAATTTATACGATGTTAGGCTTTTGTTTATTAAGAACAATTGAAGGACATATTTCATATAAACAGTTGAGATTTAACTTTTCCATTTTGTTTAATAATATATCGATGCACATATTCGGAGCATACAATATAATGAAGTTCCTAAATTTTATTTAATATGATGGTTCTAACTCAAAGGCTAACATAAAATTCTCATTAATTGTGTATTAAGAGCCAATACTTTTCGGTTATTCTGTTGAATTACATATATAATTCATTCAGGATAAAGTGAAAATAATAAAAATTTTTAAGAGCTTTTGATGGAGTTTTATTCTCTGATCTGGATGGTTTGGTCGTGGAGCTTTCATCGTTCTTCTGGATGACATAATCAGCACTAACTTCAGACAGAAGTGAAGCGTTCGAATTTCTCCATATGTGGCTCACAGCTTGTCCTTTAGACCTCGACGTTTGTTGCTTTGAGATCTCTAAGGTTATTTTCAGGGGTAATTATACTAAACACATTGTTTGCTCATCATCGAATCTATCCATCATAAAAGTACCATATACATTTAAACGATATTACTATGCTATAAGTAAACAAAATATTTAATCATTTTCAATGGTTAGCAGTCTGTAGATTTACATAATATATCTTTATATGTTACTTCTATCAATAATAGGTAACATCAGCTATCTCACAAACCTATGGCTGAATATTTTAATGTTAGTGTGTTATGATCAGTTTTAATTTGTAACAGCGAATGAAAAAAACAATCCGGATGATTATTTCTATATTTGTTTTTGGATACTTTCATGAAAAAATATGATAATTCATTTTTGACAGATTCTAATATCTTATATACACCACTTGTTACCAGACAATGTAACTTATTTCCAAACTTTACATCATATAAAGACTTCTTAATGGCGAAGATTTTCTCTTCTATTTAACTTTTTCTAAGTTTTATACCAAGACCATTCAATTGAGTAAACATGATATTTCATTGTTCCTATTAGTAGACATATATTCTTCATGGGCAAGACACTTCTCTTTACTAGACATTATCATAGATAAAGTTTGTGCCGATGATTTATGGACGAAATTCTACTCAAATTATGCACCTGAGTTATTATAGCCCCCAAATGCCCTGGTACAGCAGAGAGTGGGGAGAGTCAACTCTTCCTTTCAAAATTCTCTCACATGGCCACGCGTATACAGCCACCCCAATGAAAGTCCTACACACTTCCTTCTCTCGTCAGGGCATTGTTTACGAAATCGGGAGGACTAAAAGTGAATGTCCGGCGCTTTAACCGGGTAGGTGCATCCAGAGGGTCCACCTAGGGAGTTAGAAAACCCTGAGTCCAAACCAATGGTGTACATGGGCTCCAGTATCCTGAATGAAGAACTGGCGTATGAACCAATCGTTGGTCATCGACTACCATAGGACTACATCTTACAACGCTGCTGCATTGCCTTGTGGATCAGACCTTTAGGTCGAAGGCTCCGAGTGTGGCTCCCTAAGGAAATCATCTTCTTCGATCTGAGCAGTTGGGCAGTATCACATCCCACATACAAATCAAGTGACTTGTGCTACGAATATGTATTCGGTGCCCCTTTGTATTTATATGTTCAAATAAATAAAATTTCTCATTTTAATTCGGTTATGTAAGTTATTTTAAAGCTAATGTAGTTGTGTTCAGTGAATAATTTGTGTTTGTTTAAAATTATTCTTTATTAATTTCTAAGTTAGATAATATTCATTTGGATTTATTTTTAAAGGTCATATAGAATTGAGATTGTTTTTAGAAAATAAAGTTGATTGGCAATCACCTTCTCAAAGCTGGTTACGTTCAATTTGCATTTCTGCATTTGTTACGGGTGATAAATTGTAGGTCAAACTATAAAATGTTTTACTCCCTTTTTTTATTTATCATAAAATTATTAGTTCAGAATTGATTGTATTATTTAGATGATAAACACATGAAGATGAATTTACGTGAAGACCTTTTTAGATGTAAATTTTAAAATAGTAAAATATCATAGCTCGTTTATCTTATTTATATTCGAGACCGTCCACTTCTAAACTATTGACTGACATTACAAACGGAGATATCTGTTGAGATAATAAATATATATCTTTGTTTTTAATATTTGTTTATTGTTTGGCACAGTGTTATTGTATATATTGAAACATATTCGCAGGTTTACAGTAACTACCGCAACTGACTTTTTAATAATCCCTTTTAGTAGAAAAATGATCAGATTTCGTTCAAGGGAATCTGTCTTTCGGTAAATATTCAAAAAAAGATGAAAAAAAGAGAAATTAATTCGAACAAAAGGCCAGTACAATGAATTAAAAACCCTATATGAACTAAACAATAGAATGGTTAACAGTACTAGTTTGAGTTAGGTAGGTAGATGTCTGTTTGTTTGTAGCTGAAAAGAGGTTAACTTCAAATGTAGAAATTCACACAAAGTTTAGCAAACTTTAGATATATTTGTTAGGTAAACTCATCATGTGCTCGCTGGTGACTGGCTTCAAGAGGTATCTCCTGGAGTTCTAGTGAAACGTGTGAACAGTGGAGTTCAACGGGATCTGTTATGAGATAGTAACTCACTGAAGATAATGGTGGACGGTGGCGCAAGTCCATGGATTGGTTGCAGTTAGGCATTAACACTGTTGGTCTAGAGGTTAAGCGTTCGTGCATGAGAATGGACGCCCTGAGTTCGAATCCGCGGGCGGGTTCGTGGATGCGTTCCACAATAGAACGAAACAGCCGTCCAGTGCTTCCAGGTTTTCCATGGTTGTCTAGCCTTAATTGAGTCATAAACTCAACTATTAAATTACTGAAATCTCCATAAAACCCCCTTTTGATAAAATGAAAGACCTAAATTTACATACATAGTCATATCTGAAAAACATTGACATATTTTAGAATTAACTAGGATGTTTATTAGGCCATGTTTTAGCACTAAACGTCGCTGTAAAATTGTCATCAATTAGAAGATACGCTGATTTTCGAGATAAACATTATAGTAAGAAAGGACATTATGTCTAAAATACGGATGATTGCATAAGAACAAAATGACGGTTGACATACAAGATTTTTCATGCCCTGTACTCCTAAAATGGTTTTATCAAGAAATGTACGATGCTGAGGATCAGATATCAGACTATATTGTTGAAAAAGTGGCTTACATTAAGTCACGAAAGGTCAGAAAATTTAATTTTCTTACTCATTGGGATATTACAAATATATGATTCATTTGAAATCACTGTATATTTGTTTAGATAGTTTTGAAATTTTGTTCTTCTTGAACTGCTGATTAATTCAAATGTACACGAATGTTAGTTAGCTATTCTTTATGAATTTGAACAAAAATGATCGAATAGTTTCACAGTATATGTGTGTCGAGTTGATGTGAGACATAAAAGAGGACGAATGTATTTTTAAAAAACTCAGTGATTGAATTTGAAGTAAAACCAACGTTTCATCTGGCATTCTGGTTCAAGCTTGTTCGAATATAAATAGGTACATGGTTCTCCAGTTCACTGTATACTGTACAAGTTATCCAATCAACGTTAACAAGGTTCAAAGTAGATGGTTGCATTAGTGTGTAACATATATGTGGTGTGAAACGAAAAATGTTAACATAATAGATTGTGTGTAATGTAAGTGAGAAGAAATTTCATTCATTATATTATTGTCTCTGATCGGTGAATTTTAAGATGACATAATTTTTATATATGATATGAATAAAAAATGTCGTAGCATGCATAAAATGAAGATAAATAAACAAGATAAAGGAATGAATTCAAAGAGGAAGAATGTATTTGGAACTGAATGTTTGTATCATCTTAATGTTCCAGTTAATTGTTTAACCTATTCAGATAAGACAACTGATTAGAACCGTTGGATGTAATCTCTGTTATTCAGATAATAAGGGATAGATAAAATGGAATAAGGAGTTCAGGCTTACTTATTAGTTTTTAGTTGCCATGGCACAACTAATTCTATTCCATCTCTCCTAATAATACTGTTTGGATTCGGCTGTTAGTTTTTCACTTAAAACTTTTTGAACAATTCTTGTGTCATTGAAATCAACTGTATGATCCAGTTCTATCAAATGTACTGCTATTGTTAATTTGTTCCCGAGTCTTCTTGCATCATCTGAGGATTTAGGAATGTGCTTTCAGTATAGTTTATGTTTCTTCACCCTCACATTCAGTTGTGATGTTTCATCTACATATATGACAGTCAATACATTTGATTTCATAAACACAATTTTGTTGTTCCTGCTTGTGTACTGGATCTTTGATTCTTACTAGTTTTGATTTTAGAGTATTGTTTGTTCGAAAGAATACTCTTATATTTTGAAGAGTCAAATTCCTTCTGATCTCTTTTGAAATTGACTCGACAATATGGGGTCACCGTTGTGTTAACTCATTCTTTTGCTTAACTCTTTTTTTAATAATAACATTTTTTTCTTCATTTTTAATTATTTTTTTATCATTAGAGTAGATATAATTAAAATCATTTACATTTCTATGTCATTTAGTTCAGTAACAATTTTTTGAACTCTGGTGATCAAATTTTTGACCACTATCAATTTCATAGAGTGTAGATATACTAATTTAAAATCTAGAAATTCCCCTGAATATGTTGACTTTCGGAGAATATTGATTTTTAGACAATCATTATATTTCCTTTCAACTAAACAGTCTAGAAAAGTTAATCAGAAGATTTCAACTCCTTAATGTACTTGATTTTCATTATAAATGCTATTAATATGTTTTATTTAGATTCTTTTTTTTTACATTACAATTCATTCATTCAGACTTTACAAATACATTTTTCCACTTTAAAGATGATTCAATTTGTTCTAATGGGTTTATTTATATTAAAAAAAAACATAAAACAATTGATTATTTCTTCAAGTATGTCTGAAAAAAAATTTCTGTTTCTTTTTTTCTTTTTTTTGTTGTCTTGGAATAGATTTCAACACAGAACAGAAATAATGTTAGTTTATTTTTGGCAATTAGTATATGTTCAACGAAAATGTCAACATTTAGCAACTATTCATGTACAGAACATCATGGATAATGTAAGCATACCTCCTTGAAATATCTAGTTAATATAAACCAGTATTCATTTCATTTTTTTTAATGTAAAAAATGTTGATTGAAAAGAAAAGTTTTGATCATACATAAAATATAGAATTAAACTTTCAGTTTTATTGCGAAATGTCCATATAGAGAGAGATGTTTAATTAAACCATGTGTTAATTAGTTTTATAATAAATATCCATGTCGTGCAGGATATTACTACTACAATAACATACTTTAGCAACAATTATGTTTACACATAAAAGTTTTATGGAAACGAAAAAAATTAATTACATTCTATTTCTTTTTAATACGTAAGACTAGACATGGATTATGAAAATAGACCTTTATGGATTTAATTGAGTATAATTCAATTGACTGCTTAAACTAGTTTACCACTATCATTAGAAAAATATCAATATACATTTGATAGTAGCACTCGAACAAGCAACCCCACAGCTTCTGTGCATTATTTCTGGTCGAAAAGTACCCTTATGTAAAGTTTTAATTTTGCATCGACTAAATCAATTCGAATAATTAGATATAAGTAGAGCAAAATGACATCAACTAACAACAATAGAACAATAACAGAGAAAGTCAAGGCACAAAACGAATACACAGAAGCAAACAGGCAAGTGAAGTAGATCATAAGAGCAGACAGGTAAAAATACGTGGTAAACCTAGCAGCGACATCAGAAAAAGCTGCAAGATAAGGAAATATTAGACAATTATATGACACAATGAAGAAATTAGCCGGGAACTATGGTAAACTAGAGAAACCAGTCAAGGACAAGCAAGGCAGGCCATTCGCTGCAATTCAAGAACAGAGGAACAGATAGGTAGAAGATTTAGAACTATTGAGTAGATCAAGCCCACTTGGTACACCTGACCTAGAGGTTGCACACATAGACCTATCCACGGATGTCACTCCACCAATAATCGAACAAACCAGCATGGACATCAGACGACATTCCAGCCGAAGCACTGAAGTCAGATATAGAAATGACTGCGAAAATGCTCCACATGCTATTCAGGAAGATTTGAGAGGAAGAACAAGTGCCACAGACAGATTAGGGAGAAGGACACCTCATCAAGATACCAAAGAAAGGAAATCTGAGCACATGTGAAAACTACAGAGGCTTCACACTAATAACGGTCCAGTAGACGTTTTTAACAAAGTGTTGCTGAGCCGGATAAAAGATTCAGTAGATGTCCAACTTTGAGATAAACATGTCCGATTCCGTAAGGATCGGTCGTGCACAGACAAAATCGCGACACTACGAATTATTGGTAAGCAATCAATTGAATTAAACTCGTCACTATACATCAGCGTCCTTAACTATGACAGTATGGATACGAGGACCTTGTGAAAATTCCTTCGACGCTGTAGTGTAACTGAAAAAATCGTCAACAACATTCAGAATTCATACAATGGGCTACACTGCAATGTCAGACACGTGGGATAGCTGACAAACGTATTCCAAGTGAGGATCGGAGTCAGACAAGGTTCCCTACTCTCCCCCTTTCCGGTTTATCTGGTTTACGAAGACTGGATTACAAAGACATCTGAGGGTAAGTACGGAATACGATAGACGGATAGGATGGAACATGACAATTCGGATGCGGCAGATGGCCTAGACCTTCTATCCGATACACACCAACAAATGCAAGTGAAGACCGCTTGTGTAGCAATGGCCTCTAAAGCATTATGCTTCAACACACACAAAGGAAAAGTGAGATCCCTAAATACTGTTTAGAGATACCAATCCAATCACACTTCACAGAGAAGCTCTAGAAGAGGTGGAATCTTTCACGTACCTGGTCATTATCGTCAATGAACAAGGAGGATCCGATGAGTATGTAAAGGTAAGGATTGGCAAAGTATAGGCAGCATTCCTTCAATTGAAGAACGTAAGAAACCCAAAACAACTTTTAACCAATATCAAAATCACAATCTTCAGCACGAACATCAAGACAATTCTACTGTACTGAGCTGAAACTTGATGAACTACTACAACCATTATCAAGAAGGCACAAATATTTAATAACAATTGTCTACGCAAGATACTCAGTTCCCGTCGGTCGCTTACCCTCGGCAACAGACTACTGTGGGAGAGGACCAATGAGATTCCATCTGAAGAGAAAATTGGTAAGAGAAACTAGAAGTGGATGGAATATACATCACGGAAATCGCCATACTTTATCACAAAGCGTGCACCAACTTTGGATCCCGAAGGGAGACAGAAAAGATGCCGACCAAGGAACACATTGCACCGCGAATTATAAGTAGATATGAAAAGAATGCATAGCAACTGGAAAGGACTTGGAATGGTTGTCTATGAAAGAGTTCTATGAAGACTACTGGTGAGCGGAGTATGCTTCTCCTCAGAGGTAACAGCCCTAAGTAAGTAACTTCTTTCTTTCCTAAAATCTTAAACACCCAAACATTCTAGATCTCTTTCAATGTATGTATATAAAGTTATCCATATTTCAAGACGCATACGGAAGTTATAAAAATAATCGAAATAATATGTTTAGTATTCGCCGAAATCTTCCATCCATAAGACATATTACGGGGAAAAATTCAGACTCACTGTTATGTTTCGTTATTGATTGAATGCTATTACTGATTCGTCTTACTCGAACGGAACGAAGGATCAATGATTCAGCGACTCGATAGCTATTCTGGTTCGTTGTTCCCGACTCTGCTAACTCGATCAAGAAGTCTGGGTAAGGTGTAGAAAGTGTATTCTACAGACAAACAGCAGATAACAAGTCAAATCAAACACATCAATCAAGCGTATTTATACAAATATTTACAATCGATATTGTCATAGAAAATTTTTAAACATTAATCAATGAGTTCATTAATTGACCGCTATTTAACATTTAATCGATAGTTCATCAATTGACCTATTTGCACATTTAATCGATAGTTCATCAATTGACCCATTTGCACATTTAATCGATAGTTCATTAATTGACCCCAATACAAATATTTAAACATTTAATCGATAAATTAATTGATAAGATGAAATTAAAAAATGAGTTTTGGGGATCTATCGTCCCCAACACTCACGGCTAGCTTGATCTTCCAAAATAATTTTCCTATGATTCAACATATTGAGTTCAGCTAGTTAAGCATATCACTGAGCCACTGTGTCCGTTAAATGATAGTTAAGGCATCTTGTTATTACTTAAATGAGCTATCAAAAATTTTTGGTAGAACAGATAAGAAGGCCGCAGAATTAATTTTTAATGTCATATTCCTTTAATATAATATTTCTAAGATCATTCAATATATTATCTGAGTTCTTTCACTTAACATGTAGAAATTGAAAACATCACTATCGCAAAAAGAACTTGAGGTGATATCAACAAATGAAATAGAGGGGATCGATGATTCGTTTGGTAGATTTTCTCAGTCTGTTAGTTTATGTATCTGGAATATTTTATTAATGATTGATCAATTCTTATCTCAACGCAGACAATGTTCGTCATCAACTACTCTTAAATTAACTGGTTTTCTACATCCAACTGAACTAAACAATAGAAATAAATCAATAATTTCCAAAATATCTAAAAGCGAATCACCCAAACATACAAATTCAGCACTTGATAACGCGTTTCAAGATGATTCGTCAGTTATGCACCAATTTGACTTAGTAGGAAAGAAGTGTTTGGATTCCATCCGGGTAATTTTGCCAGGTATGTTAATAACTTTCAGTAGACTCTATTAAGATATATAACTCCTAGATTGTGAAAGTGAGTATGTAGTATGAAACAAAACAGTTATTATATTCTTCGTTTGACTTTAAAAATCGAAACATAACCATGTTTTACTCCCTTCAACCATTATTTCAAATCATTCATTTTAATATATGCATATTTACTTTGTAATTTTTGTTTACACAAATAATATAAAACCAGTGATTATTGTATATTATGCTATGAATTCAGGTGTTGACAGTTTAAGTACCGTACAACTTTTTTTCATAGACATTATACAACATACAAAATAATATCATACTTAATTTTAATATTACCGACTTCATTAGAAACGAAGTAACCATTTGAGCAATATTTTATACATTTAGAATAATTTTATGTTCTATACTATCCTTAACCGGTTAACTATAACTGTTTTGACGTACACTGTCCTTAGGAAATAGATGCATGTTCAATATATATATATATATATATATATATATAATTATATATATATAATATATATATATATATATATATATATATATATTGAAAGGAATTTGTTAGTCAAATAAATGAGGTCAGTCGATTAAATTAATTAAAATAAACAATAAGATAGAACTGATTTTCAATAATTCATTTGTTGAATTCATAAATAAATAAAAAGAAAATATGATCAAAAAATATAATTAATTAAATTTTTTTTAAAAATTAAATAAAGGAAAATACTTTGATTGGTTAACATGGTATTAGAAGCAAACAATAAAGATGTTATGATCGAGAAAAAAAAAGTTTTTTCTTTCTTTTTTTTAAAAAGCAAACGAAGATTTGATCTAATGATTGCAGTGGTTTTCAGCTTAACATAAGATGATTCTCTTTCTGTTACCTTATTACTAGTGTCTTCAAGGAACAACGAAAATATTTGGGGAAAGCTTATTAGTAGTAGAAATCGAATTTTAGGTGTGAATTCTTCCAATTTATTTTGTTGTAGTATTATGGAAATACATTTATATCGGTATAAGGTTTTATGGGACTCCGTATGTAGCTCTTCTGGGGCAATTGTCAGTACCAAACCCAAGTAAAGGAGAGGGGTTGGGCATGGGGTTATCAATTTCATCCTGTAAAAAACCGTTCTCTCCTGGGGGGTTGAGAGATCTTCATGTAGATGGATTGTCATGCAAAAAGGTGAAAACCGAGCTTCCTCCAAACTGAGGAGGTCGATACGCCTTCTAACAACCAGTGCAACAATTATTATACGTAGATGGAATGTCCGGACAATGTGAGAGATTGGGGTACTAACCAAATAACTGTGGAAATGAAGCCATTGTAGAGTGTGAGATAGTTCTCTACAGCAGGTAAACAGGATGGTATTGCACCATCGTTGATCAATCAAAGTTAGACAACAGCATCTTTGGATTCCCTCTCAGTCGTTTGTAGGTTCGACATTGACGGGCGAGACATAGCGTACTGGGTTCGATTCCTGGGTGAAGGGTTTTTTACGTGCACTGTTGAACAATCCCACATTAAGACGAAACAACTTTCGAATTTACAACGGTTGGCGTATTAAAATCTGTGAAAAAATCACTTTACGACAAACGTAAGTTATACCATGACTAGTATTAGAAAAATGTTGAATCTGTTGAGTTTGTTTGCCTATTTGAGTTTGTTTATCTCAATTACAAAATATCATGTTGGGTGATCTAGAGAGAACTACTGAGATAAATCTGAGAGGATAAGTGTAGGAAATTATCCTGGATATATCAGTAGAGTTTATCCATGTTTTTATTTACTACAACGTATTTCTGACGAACATGTTTCCTGTGATATATTGGACATGTTAGTTCAATTAAAGCCTGATAAACGTTTTAGAAAATGAAGGGGAATATACTTTTAGATCCCTAAAAACATTTTTTAACAGGGATAATTTAGTTTACTATCTGTTTACGCTGATAAACTTGACGATGTACAAATGCATCTAGTTTGTAAAGAAATAAAACAGAAAATTACGTCTGAACTAATATTAGATGTATTATTCCACAATCAATAAACTTTATCATTATACATTCTTCTTGAATGATTCAGCAGCTTGATCATGAAATATACAAATATGTCTTGTTTTTATTACCATAACTTGATCAAAAGAAGAATATTAGATTATTATGAAAGTTACAGTAAAACATTGTTTATTGTTTTTATTTATTTTATTTATTCAGGTGATGATGAATATGAGTTAATAAATTTAATTCAACCATCAAATCAATTTGATGGATTATTCGATTATGTGAAAAATCAAACTCTTATCAGTGAATATTGGAATCTTGTATTCAATTCTACTTCGATGGTTTCTGATGAGAATCAATTATTAATTAATCAGAAATATGAATGGAAGAAGCTGAAGAAAATTAAATTAAATATGGATATACTTAAGTTGTATGAATCAGTTTTATATGAAAATGTATTAAATAATAAACAGTTGTTTGAACGAAATGAACAGAATATCAAAGGTCCTAATGTCAGCAATTGTCAAGGTAAGAAATTATGCACTGATTACTTACTTAGTAAATAAAAAGGTAAGTAATAATTTTGTTTGATAACTTACTGAATTGTTTATATATCAGTCAAATATCATTTATTATAATTAATGTGAACACATCTAAGTTTTTCGGCTATTTCAGGTCAAATCAATAAATCCCTTTGTATATAAATATAGTCTGTGACATTTTGTCTTTAATTTCTTTCAGATATCTAGTTAGTAAGTCAATTTCATCATTATTTCACTCTATTCTGCTTCTATATTACACTCATAGTCAATGGTTATTACGTTTATTTCAACAGTATTACGTCCGAATAACAAATCTGTACACTAACTGTTTTCACTTCATCCTACTGATTACTTACTTCTAATGAAATCTTACTTTTTGAAATCACGGACTGATCAAATTTAGACAATCGTAAGGAATCTGTAAACACTGGACGACCATTTAGCTTTGATATAGGGATTCTTGGCGGCACGAAACCATGAAGCCGCATCCGGAAATCGGACTTCATACCCTGATCTCTGAGCTAACATCTAATGGTGCACAAGTCTGACTTTACTTGGTCCATGATGGTCAGTCACTACCGAGTGTGGAAAGGGTTGTCACAGAAAACAATGAAAGATGGATGGTCACCTCTGAGAATTCTCATGTTAGGAAGAGAAGGTCACCCACGGCTCTTGGGTTTTCAAAGTTTGTGTAACTTAAATTGGTTCATGATTCCAATAAAATTTAGAAATTTGTGCAACCCTATTCTTACAAATTTTATACATACAAAAACAATACAACTGAATTTGCTGACTAAGTATCCTCACAGAAAGAACCGGTAATGTGAAATAAAACATGATATTATTGATTTCTCAGAGCGATTTAAATCACTAGATCAGCAACTTCAAATCAAGTTTTCATCATCGGTGTCAAAGTAATGTTTTATTCATGGCCATAAGTACTATGATCTCAGTTTATCGATATTTATAAAAATATGAATCATGCTACTGTTGGACAGTATGTGGCAGTTCTAAATACACTGTGATAATAACTGTTTAAGAAACCACAAAATTCACCGGAACATGTTGGGAAACAAATCACCGGAGTATTTATATTCGGGTTTTCAGACTTGTTCCCACTTAATCCAATTAATTTTAATTAAATAAAATAATTTAATATTTATGCTGTTACACAAATGGTTAACTGGTCAATGTTCGTATATTCCCAATTAAACAAACAGTGCAGAATAATTGGTTTTCCATGTGTAACACATTTATCCATCATTGAAACCTGTTGAATCTATAATGTAAATTTGTCTACTTAGGCAGTTTTCCGAGATCTATATAACCTGAAGATGATTTAGGTCATAGATTGAGATCAGATATGAAACTTTCGTACACATCACGCCTACCTAATTATAAATTGTATTTATACAGATTTTAGCTATTAAAACCAAGTATTCAAAGCGTTAAATTTGCCACTTTATTTTATGATTCTTCTTCACATTCAACTATACCCTGTAAGTTGATGTTGAGGAAAATTGTCGATACAATCAATCCAAGTCGATGACGGATTCATCAGTAAATCCTCATATATGTTTTGGTTATTTTCTCAAATCTGCGTAACTTAAGGTAGTTCGACTCAATAAAGTAGTCTTACACGAACAAGTGTCGTCTCCGAAATTTATACATTATAGTGTTTATCATTGGTTGAATAATTAACTGAGTTTGAGGCAGTATAGTTAACGGTAGGTTATCAAAGTTTTAATTGATGGGAGATTTATATAAAATTAATTTGTAAACAGGAATTCTGATAACAGAGTATACACCTAATGTCTATAATACTTCATTTAAGAAATTAGAAACATTATGAAATAGTGTTAAAGATCTTACCAAGTATATTATTATTTATTTAATTTTATTGAAAACCATTTGTAGAAAGTCAAAATGAAGATCACATTACCAAAGTTTCGATGCAGAATGTAATAATTCCTATTTCAGCAGTTCCCTACTATTCACAAGATGCAGAATACTGGTTTCAACGATTTACATCACTCCAAGTTCACCTATATGAATTGAATGCTTCTATAGAAACGGAAACGTTCAGCAATTTATCTAATATCATTAAAACTTCATTTAGTTGGTTTAATGATCATACTCCAGAAAATGAAAATTTTATTCAATCATACATATCACCATACAATATGAATTTCGAGCCCAAATCGCCTATTAAAATAAAAAATGAGACTAGACGTGTAGGAAGTAGCTTATCAAAATATTTATTGATGCAAACAATCAATAATTTTGAAAATGATAGCGATTTTTACAAGTGCCTACCGATCCTAATAAGTTGCTATTCACCAAAGGCAAAACTGTGAGTAATGATGTATATATTACCGTATTATACTAGTTTTAATGGGTATATAATTATCATTTATATTTTTACTCATATTTAAAAAAAGCATTCATAGAACAGTAATGATGAGAAAGCTAAAATATAACTAATGAATAAACAAAATCGGTTATATTGGCCTTCGTTTCTTAAGAATTCAATTGTTATCATCAGTTTTTTTTTCAACAACTCGATGTACAACAGCAATGATCCTGAACTAAATTTTCATGGTAGATTATCGACAGTCTTTCCACAGAATTATGAGTTTAGTAAAATTTAAAAAAATATTATGGTGTAATTATGCATTCTGATTGATATATTCATTTTAATATTTATTTTAATTCTAGTGAAACACATCTCTATCAACAACGCTTGATTTTATTCGATAATAGTGATGAATTTTTTAAGATGATAGATCAATTCAACAAAATAGTGATAAAATACAGTGCAGCCAATATTTTCTCTGAAAGAGATAAGGCAAATATAAATATCAAAAGTACCACATTGAAATCATCATCTGTTAAAACAAATGATAAATCATTAGATTCTGAAAATTTCAATCACTCCGATCTGGAATTTCAGGTAAGTTCTCATAAAGGATTCAATACATATTTATATAGGATAGCTCTTTAATAGCTGATACAGACCAACTGAATAAATTAGTTCAAAATATATGAAGAGTATTTCAAAACTTTATCATCACTCAATTTTAACTATAATATATTCTTCTAAATGTCATTCTAATCGTAGAAATAACTAACATCGGTTTATCAGTTATCATTTATTACTTAATTTTCGCTTGCTACATAATTCAGCATTAAAACAAATGTGATTTTACGAAATGTTGTAGACAATAGAGTAATCTAGACTGCTTAGAGTTTTACTGAATTCAGTTAATCATTCTTCTGTGAAATACCGAAGTGTTATCTTTTATCAACTTCATTACATATATATGTAACATCTATACGATTCATGTTATTGAATAATGCACATAAATATTACCGAAGGTTTTCTAATGTACTTTTATGGGTAAGAAAAATCATTAAGGTTAAAGTTTGGCAATAATGTTAGGTAAGACGGTGGAACTATAATTTACGGACGACCTTTCAAGCGACGTTAAATTGACTTTGAGAATGTCCGCCTAATAACCAGGACCAAATGAAGGTTATAAACCAGTGTGAGGAAATAGAATTATGTTTTGCAGTTGATGGTTAGGATTAAGAATTAGATTTAAGGTTTTCACCATCAACTGACATCAGCTATAATGCCGAAAATCTATTTATCCAAATGTATGAGTGAAGTTTGCGCCAAAATTCGAAACCTGTAATCCTATATCTGATTAGTTCGTCTATAAATTGTAGTCTCACCGATAACACAATTTTAATATGGGTGGCTGATTCAGAGAAGCCACTGATCAATAAATTTAGATAGCGAAAACAAGTTACCGAAATCATAATCTAAATCAGATAGTATTTTAAATAAAAATCTGTTCGCCTCAATTTATCATTTATACATTTCAATAACATGGAAACATAACGTTTAACTGTTTTTGTTCATTACATACTACTTATTTGGTATCTATATACAATTAGAAAGAATTTACCAAAAATCGAATTTTATTACTGAATAAATACCATTTTCATTGACATAGTCGTTAATATAATTTGAAAGGATTTTTTAATTGTTATAATCTCTACATAACCGTTTGTGACAACAAGATGCTTGTTAAATTTTCACAATATTTTCGAAGATGGATGTAGTTTCTTACGTAGTATTACTGTAATGAACAGAACACGGGTGGGGACAATCGAACTTCATTGTTATCGCATTTCCATACTAATTGCTTTCTATTCCCTCTCTTCCTTTCTTGGTCTTCCCCATCTTCTGCTGCCAGACATTACATTCCTGACTCGCATTACATACTACTTATATCAATATAAGTAGCATGTACCACATTACCAATTAATAATTCAACCTTTTTTACTTAATTTAGGATGAATTCAATTTATGGTTAGATAAATTTGATAAAATTCTTCGGACTGGTAAAATTGTGCATAATCCTGATCAAAATAAAAATGGATCAACAAAATTTACATTTATGGTTCCTAATTTGTCTATACAAATAGTAAGTGAAATAAAACATTTGGCTGTTCTTTTTTTATAAACTAAGATTGATGTTAACTATCTTATGGCTAAGGGATGTAATTAAAGTAGCAACATCTCAATTGATAGTATTTAATCAAGTTTATAATACTAGAAAAATACTTTTAGTAACTTTCACTTTAACTGTTCACTTAGACAAATACAAAAGTAACTGTAAATTTGCGTACAAACCAATATAGATTTTGATTGAGATCATGAACCGATTGATGTTAGATCACCATTGAAAACCTGGAAGTACTGGACGGCTGTCTCGTCCTCAGCAGTGCCGTCCAGTGCTTTCAGGTTTACAATGGTGGCCTAACATCAGTCGGTTCATGATCTCAATCAAAAACTTAACAATCTCCACAACCCCTAAACTGACAATATAGATTTAATGATGAGTTATTTTTCGAAACAGGTAATGGATGTTTGGAAAGTCAGTAAGATCTGGGAATGTAGTTTCCTTTAAGTGAATAATTTCTTTACCTATATCACTAAATCAAATTTATTTTACTTTATTTCATATGCTTATTTGTAGAATCAACCGATTGATGAAATTTTTAACAGCCTAAAAGAAATCATTTCATGGAGATATTTTGGTGGTTCATTAATAAAAGGAAAGTTCAGCGAATATATCACAAAGTTATATCGAATGATTTGAATATGTGTACTTTAATTCTATAGATAACAGTTGATGTAACGTTTTTCTTTTGTACTTTAAAACTCGAATGTTATGAAATTTATTTGGAACATACTTATAGTAGCTTTTTCTGTTTCCATGAAAAATTTATAGTAAAGTGATCTGTTTGACCATTATTCGCTGTACATGTATAAACCCTGTGTATTGTATGTGTTATACAAGAATAATAATGATGAATCATAGTGTATATTAATTTATGCTGAAGGCATTGTGATATTTCAAAGTGATCAATCAACTCAAATACTGTATTAATATTCTTAATAGCAATAAACTTGATCCTAGTCTATAGATCTTCAAGCAAACGTTGACTAAATGAAATACTTTTAGTTATAACTTTATATTGGTATGAATTCACTGAAAAATGTACAGTTTCAATGTGTAGAGAATGTTTAAGTAATAATAATAGTTTCAAATTAAGGTTGAACTTTTCATCTAATCGGAAAAGAAACAACATAATTGTACTACTAATAAATATAAATCTATAGTTATATATATATACAAACTGAAGATTTTGAAAGAAAACTCAGTAAAATCAGTGTTGAAATACATCATAGTTTTAACAACTTGGAGATATGTTGATGGAATTTTGTTCTCTGAGTTGGATGGTTTGGTTCCCGAGATTTCATTGTTCTTCTGTAAGATATCATCAGCATAAACTTCTCCATCATCTTAGAGATATGTCTTATATTTGAGTTCGATTATCAGAATTTGACAAAACGTTTAAATAAAACTATAATAGGCTTTTTGGAGATAAAATTTCGATTTGTAGATGAATTAATGTCACGTTTAATCAAAATTATTTATTGAAACAACACGTTTTACAACTGACTATCATTCTTTAAATGTTAACACTTATATTCATCATTAAAATGAGTACAAATGAATTTGTGAGGAGTCCTACAATAGGATGAAACGGCCGTCCAATTGGTATAGCTTCAATTGATTCATGTTCTCAACTATTAAAATTCATAAGTGTTGATTAATTTTTAAACGGTTAAAAAAAACACCTAAACGTAATGTTCACATTGGAAGTGGATAACATACATATTACGGAAATAACTAAATTGTATCACGAGGCAAGCCCTAACTTGAAATCCTGAAGGGAAGTGGAAGAAAGGAAGGCCAAAGAACACATTATGTTGGGAAATAGAAGCAGATATGAAAAGCATGAATAATAACTGGAAAGAACTGGAAACGTTTTCCCAGGTCAGAGTTGGATGGAGAATGTTGGTGGGCGGCCTATGTTCCTCCATGGGGTGGGGAGTACAGGCGTAAGTAAGTAATGTTCACTTCAAAAAATATCACTTGAAGCATCAACAACGAGCAAGATGTAATAAAAAGCTGTTAATTATGTTATAAAACTTCGCAATCATGAACATATATTGAGTTGAACCTATAACTAAAAGCTTTTGTGGTAATATTATTATTAAATAACTTAGAATCAAGTGGTCCATATTTCCTAAATTCAATCAGTTGAAGAAGGCATATAGTTTTGATACAATTCCAAATAAGAGTTCAACATGAAAAGGGTTCAACCTAAAACCTGAAAGTTCAGCGGCAACTCAGTTATTGCCAGTACTTAATAAAGATGACTTACAATAATTCATTTATTTCAGCTTCTACTTATCTAATGATTATTAAGGCATCGTTTAATATTAACCACTAATAAACTTAACTAGAAAAAAAATTAAAACACGATATATATATATATATATATATATATATATATATATATATATATATAAGAAACTCAAACACTATATTCTATCTGAAGTTTGTGCTGATGATGTCGTTCAGAAGAACGATGAAAGCTCCACGACCAAACCATCCAGCTCGGAGAACAAAACTCCATCAAAAAGTATATTTTACAATATTTACTTCGTCGATCTTTAGTATTATTAAGACTGAATCGGACATTTCATATCAGTTATCATCTGTTAAAATAATTTCTATGATAAGTAAGATTACAATATTTGATATGATAAAAAATCAGACATGATTGAAGTGACTGAATCAATACGTTGTTTATCTAAACGATTCTGACTAAAAAATGTATAAAACTATAAAAAAGATAAACAAAAAATGGTGTATGCTGAATATAAATAAAAATTCGATCCAGTATATACATCTGTTTAGTCAAACAGAATAAATAGGCTTTTAGTAGTTCAAATTAATTGACTAAACGATCCCTTATTTATTTAAATTTAGAATATACCTTTGTATTTAATAAAGTATATATTTGCGGCGAATATTTATGAAGATTAAATGCTACATTTTAGTAATCAAAAACTATGTCTAAAGCCTAGTGAATGATAAAAAACGTTTTATTAATTTATGCACATAATTGAGAACAGAATGTAGGATTAGGATTTATGTGTTATGGTTGTGAACACGTAGAATTACAAAACAACATATTGAACAAAAAGGGAATAAATTTAATCATATTACCATGATTTATCAATCAAGGTGTACACTATACACTAATTCACTATACTAAGAGAAGTAGCTGAAGTTGATCTATTGTTTTAGAGAGGATTTTAAGTAGGTTGAACTTGTAGAAATACTTTGAGAGGAATTGTTTTTATCGTTATGAATCTTAGATACCTATAAGCTTCTTCCCCAAACCAGTAGACATCAACATATCTAGTGAATGAATCATCGGTGAAGAGAAAAGTCATATCAATAGGTAAATAATCAGCAACCGCTTCCGAGAATCCGACTCTTCCTATAAATAGTAATTCGACTAAGTAAGATCAAATATAGAGAGAAACTATTTTTTCTTGAAGATATAATACGGCCATCGTCGTTCCAATACTTTCCCGCGTAAACTTTTGGTATTTCAGTTAATATTAAACGTCATTTCAGTGGTTGCTCTTAGCTGATATTTTATTCAAATAATATCATTTAGTATTCAGAATGGGATAAGCAAATAAAAAAAAGATAAGAATCATTCTAATAATCTTCAAATCTACGCTTATCATATTTTTAGACGTTGAGCAATTCACTGCCTATCTCTCTGACCTGAAATATTCCACATTTTTATGCTGTCAGCTTCTCTAATAAGTTGTAGTCATTTCTAATCTTCACTTTTGTTGACGGAATAAAATAATTACCAAAAGATCTCCATTTCTAATAATAGTCAGATAAATTCCTATATGTTTTATTATAGAAAAATCATTATTATATGGAGTATGAGACATAGTTATCAAATTTCCTGACGTCCAAATAAGAAATATTTTTTTCAAGCATTTTTCTAAATTAGAATACTTAGTAAATGTACAACTATCAAACTTCGTCAACATTCTATTCCTTGAACATAAAAAACCGTTAGTTTGATTATTTACGCTGATACCAGTAATGAATTATATTTAATTCACCATCGTATCAAACTTATATTACTGTGAACTGAATAATAACTCAAACTAGAAAACATAACTGTCTCAATCGATTAATCTAGACCAAATTACTTTTTATTTAGTTGACGAAAGTAAAAAACAAAAATAAATAAGAAGGAACCAGAAATATATTATTATAGTGTCATAACACATATTTCTATTATAATATACAATGATGGTATTTACTTCTCTTGTTAACAAAATTCAAATCTTTATAAGTCACAGGAAATTATAGATTTTTTTGAAAAAAATTTGCTGATAGTGACCAAATTTCTTTAGAGATCTTCAACGATTACCGTCAAAATATTGTACATCACATTCAACAAAAAAAAGAAAAGAAGACTATGTACACTTCTTATCAATCAACAGTGAATGCCTAATAGGTCAAATTCACCAGTATGAATGGAAGAAACATGAATTGATAAAACACATTGTGCTTCATTCACAGCTCATTTAAGATAATATAATACATTAAATAATGAATATATACTTGAAAATATTTATGTAAATGATACTTATAATTACAACTGTTCATTGTATAACACTAACATAATTATGATCAACACCTATTGTAACTGATGAAACTTGTTTTTTTGAACGAAATAACATTGGAAACATTAATATAAATTCTCTGTGAAAATTTTCATTTAACCAACCATAGAGAACAGGATTTGCACAAGCTGATACAAGAACACATAATAAACAAAAAGAATGTATAAGTGTAATTTTCCTACCAATACCATATTCTTTTATAATTGTTTCTGTATGATTATGCTCTGGTAATAATGTGAATGTATTCATTTTTGAATTTAAAAGTTTATATGTTTCATCAAAAAGAGAATTCTCTGTATTATTTTTATTTAATATATCTGGCTGTGGCAATGTGGTAAGATCGAATGGTTCTTTAAGTATTCTTGATTCACGTTGATCCATAACAGCATTAAAAATATGTAAAGGTAACCAAGCTAATACAAATAAAAGTGTAATTGATGCAAGTAATGTATTTGTTCGAGTCTGGCGTCGTTGAATTAGCTTAAATCTGGAATTTTCTATCTTTTGTTTAAAATTGTTTTCACACGACGATGTTGATGTAGGTGATACAGCTAGTTTATAACAACGCACAGGATGAAGACCACGATTTTTACAGCTACCTGTAGAAGAATCAGGTATATTGTTAATTGGTAAAGTTAATGTTAATCGACTGTCTTGTTTCAATTTATCATCTCTGCAATTACAATCCGGCTCAATTTCAACAAAATCTAATTGATTTCCTGATATTAATTCAGAAGTTATCGCTGTTGGAATAGGTTTACGTATTACATTGAACTGTCGTTGACGTATTCTTAAACAAATACGTATATATGCATAACTGACCATTGTTAATGGTAAACAATACTGGAAAACAATTGTAATAATACCATAAATGTATTTACTTTGACGAAGCCATTCACTTTGTATTGTACTAGCACTGCATATATGTCCGTTTGGTCGGATAGTATCCACACTAACAGATGTAAAAATAAACATTGGACTAGCCATTATTAATGAAAATAACCAACTACCGAT